GGTAACAAAACATAGGTTACTTTGAAATTCCAATCCAAATTCAGATCACCCTCACCAGCACTCTGGTGGAGGACTGCACTGTGCTGTTTAACACAGCAATGATTTTTTTTTTTTTAAAGCCAGCTCAGTGAGCACTGATGAGGTGACTGAGGTGCAGAAGTTTGCATGAAGCCTTATTTTTGTTTGATGAAACGTTAAATTCACTGAGAGTATTTTCAGCTTTATAGTGTAATATGTTTTACATGTGAAATGTATTGCCAGCAAACCATTAACAAAAAGATTGTTCTCTGCATCCACTTAAATGACTCTGTTAATCTCATAAATCAAATGTACATTGAAACAGCTTCAATTGACTGCTATCAGTAGAGTAGTGCTGTAGAAGCAACCAACCTGTGCACATACAAGTCACTCCTGTCGTGTAACTATAGCTGTTGTCTTCACTTCAGATACCAAATAAATAAACAAAATTGTAGTTAGAGAAACAACTCAAGCCAGCTGGACAAACTAAGGTGGCCGCTGGCACGGATCCAGGTCTATGTGCCAGAACTCAAAGGAGAATAAACTGCTTACTGGACTATTTCACTGCTTGAAATGACGTGTTAAAACAGTAAGTTAGTCTATATGGCAGCTTTTCTTAAATGATGGGACCAAAATGGGTCAGTGGCATGTTTCAGTGGATCCCCACATGCCAAGAATACTAATATGCTTTAATGAGTGAATGTTCCAGACTCACTCAGTATTTGCTCAGTTTGGCCCCTTGGCTGGTTTTAAATCCCTGCAGTAGCTACTATATGTTGGACCCACACTAAGTTAATTTATGAAACAATAAATCACACCAGAACATCAATTGGCTGACACTATGGAAAAGCACACATTTGATTGTAATATTGGCTCACATGTCTCCTAAGTGCCTCTTATTTCCAAGTCCAGAGTTTGGGTGCTCTTTCTGTTTGTAGCTATATTGCTCTCTGCTGGCCATGTTGTATAAAGCAACATGGACATCCTACTATTGAGAGATAGGAAATAAGATGTAAACCATTTGGTAAAAAAATAATCTTTATAGAAATTGAATGATTAAATTAGATCAGTAGAATCACAACATATTTTCCAGCTTTACAATATAGGTGTGTCCTTACTATAATTTTCCCATACCACCTTATTGGTCTTTGTTCCCAGCATCACTGTGAGTGGTGGAAAAAATCAACAGTCTCCTGTTCTATTAGCCAAAATGACCCTTTTTGAAACCCCAAATATTTAAGCTTTTTGTAAAGTACGCTTATCAAAGGCTATGATTGTCAAGAAAAGAAGTAATTAAACTATTAACTCTAATTGAAACCAAGAGAAAGTGACAGGAGAGTAGGACAAGAATCGTTTGATACTCTTCTTTTCTTCTTCTTTGTTCCTCTCACTGCTCCTCTCAAATTCTGTCAGCCTTCCTGGGTGGTTTGTAAGTGTGCTCAGCTCACGTATTGTAATGCATGTGTGTTTATTTAGTCTGTATAGGGGAACAGAGCCATGGCCTCGGCCAATTTTCTTTACACTGAAAAAATGTGCTTTTGGACAGATGGAAAAAGGGGGAGCAGTTAAACAGACTCAGGGCCAACAGATACAAGACCCATTCTTCCTCAAATCAACCACCATCACCCTCTACACTGAGAAACCAGCACCTCAGAGCTGCACTGCTGCTTTTACATGACTGCAGTCTCCACACAGCAAGGTGGTGTACTGAGTAGGGAGACTACCATTTAAAAAAGAACCTGTGCCCCACTAAAGTGTTTTCCAGTGAAGTACTGGATCATTATCAGCTTGAGCAAATCACTGTGTAACAGAATATGTCTGAGGGAAAGGCTCAGAAAAATATTTTTATCCAGTAGATCAAATTAAATGAATGAGCCTAATTTATAACTTGCTGAGTAAGGTTTATAAACTCTTGCAAAATACCCAATGAATGCACACAAAACAAAAAGCTACAGCTGTTGTTGAATGTTGTGACCTCTAAACACAATTGTAGCACAAACGAAACATGCACATTATATGGATGAGAAGAATAACTCAAACATTCATCATCACTGCAATGTCTGTCACTTATAGTATACAGACCATCAGAATACTCAGACAGACACACACATGGAAACTCTTTAATGACTAAATAATAAATTATATAATCAATTGAATATAAATATCATAGACTTCAAAGTGTCATATCAACATTAAGGATGCACACACTTCCATAGATCTATCTCTTTGTAGTTTATCATTTTAAACAGGAAGTTCAAGGTTTAGTCTTGGATTTCGTTGGATATAATTTCAAAAAGATATACAATAGAGAATATACACCTTAAAAGTTTGGATATAAGCTACTTTGACAACACCTAAGAAAACCAATGATTTTCACATGTTGTTTGTAATGATCAAATGTTTTCTGTGGATGTAATCAGGCAAAAATCACTCCTTCTTAACAGTATAATATTTAACAACTTGAAGTAAATGACGTAGGTATGTGAAGCTCAAGCACCCACATGGCTTCGTTTAATACAATGTCATCACAATTAATGTTATTATCGAGCTGACACTTGTACAAAAACATGCAAATAGGACCAAACACTGACACAGAAAAACAGAAGCTTTTTTTTTATGTAGCCCACAGAAGTTGAAAACCTAGTTTAGCCTACTCCATCCACTCAAGGCTGTAGAATTGTTTAGCCTGGGACTAAAGCTGTGAGAAAGGATCGACTGACTGGAGGGGGGTTTGAGGGAGCGAGGAGAGGAGGGTGTCAGAGTCTGGGGGATGTGAGGGAAAGAAGGAGGAGGGGAATACCACCCACTAAGCCAGTTGTGGAGAGGTTCTGGGGGTTGGGCTGCTCACAGGAAACAGTTGTGGCTCCATCCCAGGCCTCACACCAAGCAGCCCTGGGCCACCCAGTCATCAACAGACAGACCTACCAAATGGCCTGGCCGAGCCAAACCGACAGGGATTTGTTTATTTTTCATCCTTTGGTGGTGAGGGGAAATTGTTCAGTGCAAGCTGTTTATTAGACCTTTGATTTGTCATGTGTCAGCGTTCGCTTGCGGGGAATGTGTATACATAAGTCCAGCTTGTGTATAGTTAGAAGGTGGAGGCTGAGAGGGTGTGTGCATGGAGAAGTGGGGAGGCTGGGGGGCAAAAAGAAAAGAGGAAAAATGGGAAGCCTCCCACGCCGAAGGCAAGCCTGAGCTGCATTATGGGTCATTCTCCAGCTGTCCCTGATTGTTGCTGTCATGGGGGACTGAACTGCCTGCTTTGCAATCGGTGTGGGGGGAGAGGACTTAGCAGAATTTGGGCATGACTGCGGACTGATCAGGAAACAGCACTAGTTAAAAGATCCTGTGGAAGTATCAAGTCTTGGATTCACATATCCGTATACATTATATTAGCAGGTGTGTGTGACCACAGTGCAGTAACAAGAGCACACGATATGAGCAATGATGTTAGGCACGAGAAGAATCCCTTGTGATGCAAGACATAGACTGACAAACCTAATACTGTTTGATTTGACAAAGTTTCAGGAAAGTGCCAGCTTTTCCTGCTTGACAGATAGAAGCAGCTTTCTAAATCTCGAACCAATTAGTCAGACACATTGTAAACGCAGAAGGAAAAATTGAGCTAAAGTGGTTTATTTTTACACCTGTTCTCTATCTAAAACATCAATAGTAAATATTTCAGAATAGGAAGAGGAAGATGGTCAAGTGTCACCACACACAAGGGTGTTAAGGAATTGTACCTGAAGCTATTCACATAATATGACTACTATTCTATTCTATTCTACTTCAGCACTGTCAGCAGAGATATTTCATTAGACAGAGACCTTTGACTGGCTAAAATCACTGCATTTGCCATGTCTGCTACATCCATGACTGAGAAACCCCCTTGAAACATGGGGCATGTTGTTTACAGAAGGAAAGGGGTTGTTGTTTGGTCACAATAATACTGTCACAAACAGTGCCATTTGTGAAGTAATGTACCTGCCACTATACTTATCCATATGTTTATATTGTGATGTTGTTCTTACATTTTGTAATCGTGTTGTTTTAGTTTGCATATATTATATTAACCTGATCTGAAAACTGTCTTACTGAGCATATTTCATAAAGTCACATAAGTCAAGTAAAGATTACAAGTCAGGGACATTCAGTAAACAGGCATTATTTTTTTAAATTAATTTTTCACAAAATGAATTTAAATCTAATCTAAACTAATTACTCTACAAGGTGGCTAGGTGCCAATACATTCTTAACAGTGCATCAAACAGTGACAATTTTAAATAAAGTAACATGGACTTACATGACAGCACCTAATTTATCGTATTCTATCCTATTAAATGATCATATTTATGTTAATGTGTGAGCATGTGAGTGTGTGTGTCAGCAGAGTGAATCAAAACGGTTTTTTTTTGAGAGATTAAAAATTTTGCTGTATGTAATGTTTGAATGCAAAGGTATTCAAATGTTACATGTTCATCATGTGTTTTTGCATATATAGGCTAACCTTTATCTGCAAAGGGTGACTAAGACATCAAAATATAGTAAAGTAAAAAGTACGCTTCTCTCTGAAGTGTACCCTTCTGTGCAAAGTATTATGTCACAAAATATATAGTAGGCTTCTCAACATGATTTTGAATTGGCCTATACAAAAACCTATAGAGGCTAATCAGTTGTATTTATGTGTATCACAACAATACTAATTTTCAACTCAGTGGTTTCATTAAAGAGGCGATTCCTAACTCATCCAGGTAGTGGCAATATAACTCAAATTCTGATTTTTACCTTAAAAAAGTCGTAGAAGAAGAAGGACTCGCACGATGACTTGACGAGAACCAATCAGAATCTTAAATACCCGGAAATAACGCCAGTTTAAATCTTGGGCGGCATTGAATTTGGCACGACGGTAAGTAGGATTTTGAAGATAAACAAACGAATAATTAAAAAAGAATAACGTTAGTCGTTTCACACTTAGAGTATATATTTGTTCGTGTATTGATGAAATGAGGATATAGCTTAAAGCGACCGTATCCAGATAGCGCGAATTAGGTCGGTAACGGTGGCGAAACGCTCACGTTAGGTCATCTGAGTTTTGATCTCTCCGTTAACATTTACAGCACAGAGATAGATAAAATGGAGAACAGCCTGTCCAGACTTCTTGTTGGACTATCTGTACAGATCAGTCGAAGTGATGGTGAGCTGATGTTGTTTTCTATTTCAGCGTTGACATACCAAATAACGCCGCATGTCGGTAACAAAGCTTGACTTTGACTTTCTGTTTGTTTATGCGTGAAAAAGGTCGAGTGCATCTGGCTACTGTGAAGTCCGTCGATGCCGTCAAGTCCACGGCTATGGTGGAGTGGCATGAGAGGAACATCTGCCGGGGAAAGGAGGTCCGCAAGTCCATACACACAGAGAGAACAGTAGTTACATTTAGTGATAATAATATGAACTCAAACAACCATCTCTTAATCGTCCATAATGAATCCCTTTTGAAATATCACAAATAACCTCGTGTATTTCTTGTTTTAAGCCAGTTGACATCTATTTGTAATTTAGGTTGAAGTGAATGAGTTATGTACACTCAACCCAGAGCTTTTGGACATTATAAATGAAGTCACAAATAAAGCTGCTGACCTGCCCCCTCCTGCTCTAGACAAGGTATGTATTACCTTACTTTTCCCACATAACGAAGAACTAGTTAAACTTGTTGTCGGTGTCAACAGGATGGACCATCTTTCTAAGACCCTTTAGACTTTCAAATGCTTGATCTCACAGTTATCAAATCAAATAATTCTGTCTGAACTGCCTTCTTGTTTTGTCTCTCTTACAACATCAAATTGGTCCATTTTCTCAATAAATGACCAGGAAATGTCAAAGGTGAATGATGTAGATGAATACATTGCAGGCAGGAATGAAATATATGATTTTACTCTTTGGATTGGGAAACATTGGTTGAACATAAGTCCCAATGGAAAGGAGTTATTGTCGTAAAGCATCTAAACGACTGATGCAGTGAGCAATCTCTCTTTCTATCTTTGTCTCTTCTGTAGAAGTATGAGGGTCGACTGCGCTCATCCAGAATTCCCGCCCCTGCCTCCTGTATGTAAATATATTTCACTCTTGATTTGTTTTTGATTGCCATGTCCTGTAGTTTGTCACCTAACAGCATGTTTCCTTCAAAAAGCCTCTGCTCCAGCAGTCACCATGGCTGAAGAGTCAGGTCGGCAAGGCATGCATGCTCCCCTCTTTAAAGCAATGAGTCGTATTTTCCAATCACTCTTTTCTAAATGGGATCGGGGTGTGAGTCTAGAGAAATCCACAATCCTTGGAGAGCTGAACTCTGCTCAGACCTAGCCACTGATTACACATGAGTAATCATCTGCTATAGTAGGGCTGGGTGATGTGGCCAAAAATGTTATCATGATAAATATTTCTTATTTGATATTGATAATTATCATGATAAATGTCAAATAATTTTTTCTGTGAAATTTAAAGGCAGATTTTTGCTCCTGAGTAAAAGTTGGAGAAACCAGATGGTTAATTGTGGTTTTAAACTTTTATTTATTTAGTCCGATCATGCCAAACACTGGATAATTTCACAAAACATTCAAATTCATTATAATGATAGATGAAAGGTGATAAAATCTTTCTTCCAAAATAAAAATATGCATGAGTAGTGTACAATTAAAGTAAAAACAAACATTTTCCTCAAAAAAAAAATATCTTGATAGAAAAATTAAGTTTGAATTAAATAAAGTGAACATTTATTGAAAACTTGATCTGTCTGTCTGATAGGAAACTTGCATAACAATAATTATTGTTATCATTTTATTGCCCAGGCCTATGCTATAGTGTGATAGTGGGATGCATATGGACAACTCTTGCGTTTTGGGTCATTCTGGGTACAAAGCACTATTGATTTTTGTCCCATCAATCTGCTCTAAATTCTTGGTGCGAATAAATGGAGGGGGGAAAAAGGATTTCTCTGTATCATCACTTAAAATTAACGTACAACTTTTGTACCAGCATGTCTCTAGGATGCACTGCTTTTTTATTTTTCAGTATTGACTGAAGTCAATTAATCATTAATATATGCAAAATGAATCTAATAATAATACTTGGGTTGCACTCTTCTGTAACTGGGGTGATCTCTCATGGCTCACTTCTGTCACTCGGGGGGGGGGGGGGTCTGACAAACTTGTTGCTGTGGCCACTTTTGATTTGGCAGACCACAGCCATGTACATTTAATCTTTCCATTGTACCAATGTTTTGATTACATTTAACACCAGAGAAAACAATGCTAGCAGTATTTAATAATACTAACTTTAAGGCACTCATTCTGCAGCTCTGTTTGACTTGATTTCAGTTGCCACTCGGTCTCAGGTCAGGCAGACTATGTTCCAGGCCTCGCCCGCAGTTTCAGCACCTGTCCTGATCTCTGAGTCTTCTCAGGCAAACCCGGAGACAATCCACCCTAATCCCCCCTCTTCAGCAGTCCTCACAAACTCTGGTTGGTAATGATCTTCTGAAAACATAACCAAAAAAAAAATTCACAAACTAGAACATTTTCCAAAAATCATGAGAAACTGATGCAATCCATTTATTTGTTTCATTTTACATTTGGGTATTCTTATTCTCAGTGCAGGTAATTGCGAGTCCTGCCCATAATGTATATTTTGAGATGACACATTGGTAACAGTATACACTATACTACATTTACAAGGAAAAAAACACGGCTGTTCCTTCAGAATAAAGTGGTAAATCTATGAGGACATTTTTTCCCCTCAGTCATTATTAATACACGAGTCAGTGCCGACCATGCTTTTGGTCTTTAAACAGAAGGCAGTATCTCATAAAACTGCTTGGTGAAACTATCTTAGATGTGATGGCTGTTAACATTTTCATAGAACCTTTTACTAACACATAGTACATTATTTCTTGCAAATTTGTTTTTTCCTTTCCTTACCACTGTAATCCCCAGAGAATATCCATGATTTTTTTTAAAATTTTCCATCAATGGCTCCGTCATTTAAATATTTTTTTTTTTTACCTTTCAGGTATTTTCAATGCACAACTTCATGTTTTGGTGCTTTACTTGTTAAGTAATTTAAAACTATTTGGAATCTTTATAAAACTCAAATGCATTCTCCCGCCTTATCTAGCAGTTCCTAATCAGCAGCGTAGAAAGAATGAGGCCAAACCTGCGCCGGTGCTTGTCCGTGAGGCAATAAAGGAAAATGAACCTGAGAGAATGCCTCCGCCACCTGCACTAAAAGGTCAGAAACAAATTTTACACAACATATCACATGTATCCACTGATTACTTATAGACATGTAATAGATAAATAGTAAATGTCTATAGACATGTACACAGAGGATTAACTTAACATGTTCAATGAGAAGTAAGTACAGGGAATGCATGATATGAGGCACACACCCTTCTGTGCTTGAATTTGTCAGATATTGCAATGATGACAAGATATGAGGTCATTATGTGTTACTAGATGTTTTCATCTGCTGACAAAAAAAAAGAAAGTTTACATGACGTCTTTGCATTTAAGGCAGAAGAAAATCTGTGGCTCCCCAGGAGCTAAACAAAGGCAACAAAAGGCTGTCTTGTGTTGTAAAGCCTCCCGACATGCAGACCAAAAGGGGAAAGGTGAGAGATATATATTATATTTTATTTTTTTTAATTGGGAAAGTTTAACACAAGATAAGTTCCTTCACACATTTTATTTATATTCCCTTTTGCTTCCTTTTTTAGTTTGGAGAGCCTTCTCGACCAAACCAGAAGTTCTACGAGATGATCCAAGACTTCAGAGAGACTTTGGAAGTAACCCCCTTATCAACTACTGACCAAGTAAGTTTGGACTGAAGAACCATGTGCCTGGTATGAAGCCGGATGCTGGTGTGCCTTTATAGCCCATACTTACATCTTGTGTTTTCCTAGATTGAACCTCACAGGATTTGTGTGTGTGTTCGCAAGCGACCTCTTAACAAGCAAGGTATATTGGGAGTGACATCTAACATCTGGTTTACGGTATCTGAATATAAAAGATTAATTGATGACGCTGTGCAAAAATATTAGCCATTGGATGTTTTTTTTTGTTGTTTTTTTAATACTTACTTTTTAATGTTTTTTTGACAATTTTGTGTTTTCTAGAAATTAACAGAAAGGAGATAGACGTGGTGTCTATACCTGGAAAAGGGACCCTGTTGGTTCATGAGCCAAAACAGAAGGTGGATCTTACCAAGTACTTGGACAACCAAGTCTTCCACTTTGACTACTCCTTTAATGAGACCGCCACCAACGACCTGATCTACAAGTAATTACTTCATTTGTCCTTTTTTATTTAGCAACAAGCAGTGATTAATATGGTTGCATCTGTTCAGTAAAGCCTACTGTCCTGAATTGAAAATGAACCACTGATTTACCCCACAGCCTGACGGACGCCGAGCGGCAAATCGGGCTAAAAATCGTGTAGTGTGAAATAGTACTTTTCATGACTGCTGTTGTTGTCTTTTTCTTAGATTTAAAGTATTCCTTTTCTGACAGATGGTAATTATTTATTTATTTTTTCTTCAGGTTCACAGCCAAACCTTTGGTGCAGTCCATTTTTGAAGGTGGTATGGCGACATGTTTCGCCTACGGCCAGACGGGAAGTGGGAAGACACATGTACGTCTCTAACTGCTGTATGGGGTCGACTTGTCATGAAGCAGTATTTTCCATATGAAGAGTTTTATTTATTTTTTGTTTTGGAACATTTTCTCCCTAGACAATGGGAGGGGATTTCACAGGGAGGCAACAGAACAGTGCCAAAGGAATCTACGCTTTGGCAGGTAGGACCGAAACCTTCCCCACGGGCTCTCCATGCACTTAACATAGAAAGAAATGGTTCATCTAGCCTAGGTTTTCACATTAAGATCACGGGAATCAATCAAAACAATTTTTCTAATTTGATATGCAGAATTTGTGTTTGTTCCAACCAAGCGGGAAGCTTCCTAAAGTCCCATAAATCTGCATTCTATTGAACGGCCAGGAGGGGGCGACTCTTCTGGTTGCAAAAAGAAGTCCAGTTCTTTTTAGAAATAATAGCAAATGATCCTTCTTCTCAGCTGAATAATTACCTCAGTAAACACTTTCATAATGAGTTTATGGTCTCAATCACTATTTTCAGGTCTTCTTCAATACAACGTGAGGTTCATTTAGTAAATTGTCACATTTAGAGGAAAACGGACCATAAAGCACAGTATGTTTCAGGGCGGGATTAACTGTGATTGCATTTAGTTTAAGACTAGTTCGCTAGACAAATTTATCAGTCCTGTTAAAATGCGAGTTAATGTGAAATACAGATGCACCTAGCCATTAGCTCATTAGCTCCACCGTCTTGTCCAAATATGGTCACCTCCGGGCACTTCCTGGTTGCGCCCTATCGGCCAAACTTAAGGCTTCAAAACGACAGTCCCGAAACCAACTGGTGACGTCCCGATGACTATGTCCACCTTTATAGTCTATGGTTCCAACTAATTCCGGAAACAAGTCCCATTCCTTTTATTCTTTAAATACAGTACAATCAGGATTGTCATAACTTTCCTCTTCACTTTACCTTTACCTTCTAGCCCAGGATGTTTTCACCTATCTCAACCAACGGAGGTATGGTAACCTGGATCTCTCTGCCTACGTCAGCTTCTTTGAGATTTACAATGGAAAAGTAAGAAAACCCTCCTACCTCCACTAACACCTTTTTTATTGAGAATATTTGCCATAAAAAAAGAATTAGCTCATTCTAATCATCATTAAAGTGAAAATGTACTTTTTGATTTAGGTGTATGACCTGCTGAACAAGAAGGCCAAGCTCCGTGTTCTGGAGGATGAGCGACAGCAGGTTCAGGTGGTAGGCCTGGAAGAGGTTTACGTGTCCACAGCAGAAGAAGTCATCAAGATGATACAAATGGGCAGTGCATGCAGGTACTTGATGTGTTAAGAGGCGTGTATGTCGCGTTTTTGTGATACATACTACTTCAAACTTAAGTTCCATTCCTCACTAAACAAAAAGTTGACTGAAAGCGCGCTAAATATGTTGTGTTCATTAGTTTTTTAGTAACAGCCCAAAACTGAAATAAAATACTAATACCTAAAATACTTTTATGGTTTCACATCAATATTTTAAGTGTGACTTCTGGTTCAATAAAGGCTTAAAACTTTGGCCTAGCAGTTAAGAAATCATACCATGTAAGAGCACATTCATAAGTTAGACGTGAGTAGTATTTATTTTTCTGACTTGATTTTTACCTTGTGTCCTACTGTCCCTCCAGAACATCAGGCCAGACCTCAGCCAACGCCAACTCATCCCGCTCTCATGCCATCCTCCAGATTGTCCTACGGCGCAACGACCGAGCCAGCACGCTGCACGGCAAATTTTCATTGGTCGATTTGGCTGGCAATGAGCGCGGCACAGATGTCAGCAGCAATGACCGCAACACTTTGGTCGAAACTGCTGAGATCAACCGCAGCCTGCTGGCTCTCAAGGTAGACTATGGCTGTGGTGTGCAGTGCACACACCAGATCAATAAGTAGCTGTGGCCGCAAAGTGAGAGGAGTTTTTTCCCTCTTGCACCTCTGCTAAGGTACAGATAACCATAAAGAAGAGTGAAGTGTTCAACTCCTGACATTCTCAGAACTCTGGGAGGGGGGAGGAGAGGAGGAGGATGCTGTAAATCCCACCTAACATGCGCTTATGTCCACTCTTGTGTCCTGTAGGAATGCATCCGTTCACTGGGAAAGAACAGTGATCACATTCCTTTCCGCATGAGCACCTTGACCAAGGTCCTCAGGGATTCCTTTATTGGAGAGAAGTCCAGGACCTGCATGGTACGTTAAAACACCAATCTTGGCTTATTGTCAGTTTGGCATATGGTGTATTATGGTCTGGTTATGCATCATAGCAGATGATGCAGATGCACGCCAAACAAGCACAAACTCGTGTGTAATGTATGTGTGTTTTAAGTACAGAATGTATGTCGACATATTTTCCCTTTCTCTTATTCTGTAGATCGCAATGGTGTCTCCAGGCATGGCTTCATGTGAATATACAATGAACACACTACGTTATGCTGACAGGTATATATTTCGTTTATGAACTTGATTCCAAATAGTTTTTTTTTTTTTTTTTTTTTTTTGTGGAAGTACTCATTTTTTTATTATGAAAAAATTATCATGCCTGGGAAGATAAAACATGAAACATTTTCCGCTCTTTGGCAGAGTGAAGGAACTGAATGGCAATACCACAACCAGTGGAGCAGCTAAGGCAGAGGAGCCTATAAATAGCTCCACAGAGGTCAGATTGCAGATTGAAGATAAGTCCAAAATCATAATTAATGTCGATTATATCCTACGTATAATTTGCTAAAATGTTGCTGTTTGCTTTTGTATGTTGTAGGAAACTGTTGTGGAGACCAGTGTGTATGATGCCATATCCAAAGTGGCAGAGCTGGAGGAGGGCGTTTATGCAGAGTTCAAGGTAGCATTTTCTCACGGCTGCTCTTCTTTACAGCACACGTGATAATGTCTTTTTTTGTTGTTTTTTTTTTTTTTTTTTTTAAATTGCCTTTATAAGTCCTCACACTTTTATAACTTTTGTTTCTCAGAGGGGAAATGAATTCATCAAGGCAATGGAGCAAACCTCCTACAACATTGAGGCAGGACTTCCCGACATGTTGGATCATACCCGGAAGTTATTAGGTTTGTTGATTACAGCCTTGTTATTTGACCAGTTGGAGGTCAATGTAGTAGAGTGGAGGCAATTTACAGTCTGCATGTCAGTTAATCTAACAAACCCCTGGGTACTGCATGCTGACTACGGTGGAGACACATGAGAAACCTTGTGCTGGCCAGATTAAATGCCACTAAGTGCCAAGACAAAACTGCTTTACATAAAGGACCAATATATGGGTGGGTGCATGTGGTCTACCTTTATTTATTCAGTCGTATCTGTCCACAGACATGTTACTGGCTTTGCAGTCTGCTGTGGACCAAGAGAGAATGATGAGGCTGAACCACTGAGACGAACCTTCTGGTTGAACAAAGTTTGTCTGTCTGTTTTGAAGCAGTTCCCTTCTGATTTTATTTTTTCATTGTATTAGTGACATATTAAATAAAATGTTTTGACACTAACTCTTTACAAATATTAAGTCTTTAAGAAACCTATATGGGAATTCCTGGTGTGTATTTTGTTTGTCACTCTGCTTGCTGTGGATGTTTTCACGTCTGTCTTACCATGACATCCAGTAGCAGATACTGGATTGTTTAGCCAGGTGCCCAAAACCAAGAGCAACATTGGTTCTATTAACAAATAGTATAAAATTATTGTTTTAATTCTAAAAAGACAAGTGACCTTTAACACAGACTAGAGAACGTCCCATGATGAACCCCAGTGAAGGTGTGACATTTGTACAGTTAAGTAATTAAAGCACAGTATTAAATTTTTTTTGACTCAAATAAATCCATAATTGAACACTGTTTGGTCTGAGTATATCAGCACTTGCTAAAGAAATTGAGATGCATTATGGGAACAATTGTTTAAAATGCTCATTAAAATTGTTTATGCTGTTTATGGATTGGCACCAATGTCACAAAATATATGATCTGCCTGCACTACAGGTGGAAGTAGGAGGAAACCACTGTCAATGGTTAACTGAATAGTTTCAAAACTCATCAATTTATCATTTTATCAACCCCAAGTTGATAAAATGAGATTAAACATGAGAGGGTTGACATTTAAGTTTGCTGGAGAATACATTTGCTTGCAACAGAGAATTGGTTATAGGCAATAGAAGTAGGCTACTCAGGTTTGTGTGAGAGGAAATACAGTAACTTAATTCTAAACTAAGTTCAGTAATATACACTTTCGAGTCAGTTTGTAATCTGTAACTTCATAAAACACATTTCATGATGGTAAAGGAGCATGGAGTAGAAGATGGCTTTGACTGTTACTGCAGGTCAGTTGGACAGCCCGAGCAGTAGGTGGTGCTAAAGGTGGGTGCCAGTAGGGTTTTAAATCCAAGATGAGAGCAAGAGGAAAAGGATTGACCAACCAGTAGCGACATGTACAGATTAACCTGCCTCTATCCGACGGAGTGAGGAAACACGGGGACGGATGGCAATGAAGTGGTTGCGTTTTTCGCTCCTCGTTTTGGGGGTTTTCGCCCTATGCTGCGCCACGTCTGGTGACAGTAGTGGCGTTAAGAAGATGAAGATGCAGTTTGCTACGGGACCTCTTCTCAAGTTTCAAATTTGGTGAGCACATGAGCAAAAATCTGGCGAGTCATTGCAAGCTAACCGTTAGCTAAAGTCTACGACTAACCGCAACGCAACCTAGGCCGAAAATCGACAGGAGCTAGCTCAGCTAACTAACCGGAGGGTAACGTAATGGAAACACATTTAGGGGGAGCGTTGACGTTAACGTTACGCTAGTTATTAACTAAAAACCTAAACCATTGTTCAAACACACGGGGAAAATACATATTATGGAAGTTACTGATTTTGGCATGAACATCTCGTCTGAAACATTGCCCCGCTTCCGCTGTCAAACCTGCGAGTTAACGTTAAATCCCTTAACGTTAATAGTTATCTTAATGCCTTTCTGTCATGTGTAAAGAACTTTAAATTGCTTTGTTGTAGAAAAGTGCCAATTAGACATATAAACTAGCCTTGCCTCTTGCCCACTGGTTAGATGAACTTGTTATTTGCATTGTAATTTATGGACAATAGGATTATTTCACCTTGTGGATATTCTAAATCGTGCCAGAAAGTTAATGCTAGCCAATTAAAATCACCCTAACGTTACATCAAATTAATCCCATTCAGGGAATTTGTCCTTCTTATCTAGGTGTAGATGACGCGGGAGGCAAATGTACAGAAACAAATATAATTTATAGTAAAGTTAAATTACATAAAACATTCACAATATGTGTATGCTAATAACGATGTCACATGATTGTGAAGGCGTGTTTGTGCAATGGAGTATGGCTAAACGAGAACACGAAACAAACATTTGCGTTGTAAATTGCAGTGCATGTTGCATTGAGGTACTAGGTATTGGATTTAAAGACATTTCACACTGCCACTAAAACTTTATCTGTTAAGGAAACGACATACGTTTAACTATGGAAATCACATGTGCAAGATCTCAAGGCTAAATTCACAATTTTAAGATTACTGTATTGTTGTGGCTGCCTTTCCCTGTTTGTTCTTGAACCTATACGCTGTGTGCGTCTTCCCAACAGCATTTCCTGAGGGTACAAGCGGGTGTTTGAGGAGTACACGCAGGCCTTGTACCAGCGGTACCCAGACATCCGCATTGAAGGAGAGAACTATCTTCCTATACCCCTCTACCGGTAAGAGATAGACTGTCTGCTTTGTTACAAGTGGATTATATCCAGCTTTATGAAAGCTGCCCGGGATTAGCTGTGATTTGACTGAGGAAATGGAGTTCTCATGCAGTCAGATTTATCTGGCCAGGGGTTTGTCTTTTGTAGTTTTTATAGATGTAGACTCAACTACTGACCCTAAAGATTACGGTCAAAGGTGTGTCATGTTATTTATTGTGGATTGTGTATATACTCTGTTCTTTGAGCAACCACTAGAAATGCTTAGAACACTAGACACACTAGAATTTTGAGTTAATTTGGGGTATGTGTCTGGATGACACACACTGCTGCAATAAATCCTTTTTAATGTTCAGTTTTTCTGAAAACTGTTGGTTGTGGTTATAGTAGAAGCTTCAGTTTGTGGTGCTGTTGATTTGTATTGCCTTATTATTTTGTCCACCTCTATTAATGATTAATTAAGAAAATAATCAGCAGATTAATTGATGATGAAAATCACAATTAGTTGCAGCCCTAGGACTAATGTTCCTATTCAGTATTTTTCTTAAATGTGTTCCTCCCCTCATTTTAGAATTGTCCAGAAACTATTTATGATTTGTGCACTGTTACGGATACAGACTAGAACTTTGACTAATAATTCATGTATTTAAGTCAGTGGGCTTGTTAAGCACCAGTAGTTAAATTTGGATCAGAGGCTGAGACTCGGTGTGAGACTGTTTTTAGTCCCACATGTTGTAGTTAAAGGTGTGGTCTCACTGAAACCCTCGGGTCCTCATGAGTTGAACTCTTAATTAACACACCAGAGATTAGCTTCATTAAAGAAAGGAGACAGTATCATAACCTGGTTGTCAGATTCTCCAGCCAGTGTTTTTGTTGAATTTTCACTGTGTCTGTCTTCACTGGGTTGTAGTTCAACCAGTTATATGTGTTAAAGTTTAAAGGTAGAAAAAATTAGGATGCAGGCTCTGTGTTACTGGGTGGTAAGTGTGATCTAATGTTAAAGCTGTTATCTGTTGTTTATTTTAAGGCATACGTGTCCTTTGCAGAATCACAACCACTGCAGAAATAGTTGATAAGTATTTGAACGGGAGGAAGCCAGTGCTCCATGGTTGACTCCAATTCCTTGTGTTATTCAACACAATGAAGCTTAATATGCATAAACCCAAGGCCACGCCCTTCCGTCTTACACAATGTTCAACTAACGTGGTTACAATTGTCTTTGAAGTGAAACCATATGTTTTTATAGTTTCTTTTTAATATGATTTATAGGATATTCTGTTATGTTGTGGACAATGTTAAATATACCTTCTTTTCTTTTTACCTCAAATGAATATGCTTACTTTCAGACATGTGAATGTTGTTTATTGAACATGATCAACCTGCTTTAAGACAAGCTTCAGGCTCCATCTATCTGGATAATCTTAATGCATCTTAAATGCTTTGGACTGTTTTAATATCTACTACAAGCCTTGTCTGCTTTATGTTGCTATGTCTAGGAATTGTATTAAAATCCAGTTTCTTGTTTTATTTCCTCAGACACTTTGCTTCCTTCCTGTCTATGTTCAAACTGCTGGTGATTGGGGTGATTATTATCGGTAGGGACCCGTTCGCCCTCATTGGTATGCAAGCCCCAGGTATCTGGGAGTGGGGCCAGGGAAATAAGGTAAGGTTTACTGTAGGGCTGTACATTATTATTTTTCCGATTAGACGATTAATGTACCGACTAACTTTGTTTATTCTAAAGAAAGAAAAGTTGCCTATTACTCGATTAACATACCAATTTATCCAAAATAAATATCAAACATGTCTAATCAATAAATCTATATTTTATTCAATCATCCTGATGAAGCACATTAGAATAATGACAATGGCAGCAAATCTTAAAATGAATCAAATTTCCACGTCACTGATGTGTTGTGATAATAACAATAACCGACATTAATTAGGCTACTTTACTTAAAACTTCAATGCACGTCTACATATTTACGTAATCGATCGTTTACTGGAACTATAGGAATTATTAAAGCTCCGATCCTGCGGGAGAGTTTGTGTTGTAAGAGGTTTAGGAGTCAGGACTGTCTGTATGATGCAGCTGAGAATTTGTTTAGCTGGTTGTCACCACAGATGTCCCACAGATGCATAGATTGAATAGTGAAATGCAGGATAGTGGACTTAAGTTTGGCTCAGTTTCAAATGCATTTCCATACACTGCCAAGTACAACTCTAACCCATGGGATTTCATTAGCTGTTCATGCAGGGTCTTCAGGTTGTGTTGTCAAGTATTGTTTTGCTTGGATCGGTTATCCCCAGGGTTACAGACATGCCAAAGGCTCAGAGGGAGAATGGCCAATTACAGCTAACACCAGATATTTGCAAATAAAACAATCTTGCACTATCGGCTATTCATGTGTTTTGACAGAAAGCTGGGATTGATAAAAAGTAGTGTGCTTCTGGTAGCCGAACAGATAACTTTGCAATTATAAATATAGATCTATATAAAAATAGTAGTAAGCATTTGGCTTGGACTTGTTTTACTCCATGAATTCTAATTTTTTTGTAATCTTATAACAGAACTTACGCTGCTGTATGTATACTTTCAGAATGAATTTGGTAGTATTTGGTTAAACTCTCTTTACGTCCTGACAGTTATCAATAAATCGCATGACTTGAGAAAAGAAATCGGTCCATCAACTTTTCCAGGCAGTGTTATTTCCCACTGCGTAATCTGACTGCGCCCTAATCTCATCAACCAATAAGGAGAGCTAAGTGTCAGAAGGTGTGCCTGTGTGACATGTGCACGACTCGTCTTGTTCTTGACCACTCTGCTAACACTTTGCAGACAGAAAGCAACAAGAGATGAGGCAAAAAGAAATAAATGGAGCGTAAAAAATGTTTATAAGTGAGTTATTTTTCATACACCCTTCAAAATCCAAATTCAGGTCAGTAAATCGACCAGTAAGCTATTTGATAACTGAAGTGTTGCTGCAGCATCGTCTGTGTGCAGAAAATGTTGTCAACACAATATGGGTTATTTTTGGCTGATAATCATTTGAGATTATAGTGTATAAACAAACCATTCTTGCAGTATTTGCCTGCTGACCATCAGTTGTCAGAACAACTTTCAAACAACTCATCTTGCATCATCTTGTCACAAGATCTCTGATGTAATTGCTGACGTAATCTGCACTCTGCGCATGCGTTGGCGTCTGTAGCCACCTGTCGGAAGCTCCGTCTTAAACCTAACTCTTATCCAGTTTTAATCCACTCTTTTTCGTTACATTTTTTATATCCCTTTTATTTAACTTAAGTTTTTAACTTAAGTTTTTAGGTGGGTTAAGGATTTTAGCCATCCGACATGGATTTTAAGCTAGATGACCGTAAAAACGCGATCAACGCTACTGATCGCAACAAAGCTCCGGTGACTATGCTAGCCGAAATAACTCTGCCCCATGAGGACTGCACACTCCTTAAGAAAGCGAACAAGAAGATTGCTGACCTTATGGAAGACATCCGACGACTTTCAGAGGAACTCAAAGAGAAAGATTCCCTGCTTACTGGCTTTATGAATGTGGCTTCAGTACAAGCCAAACAGATTGTTTCTCTTAGCGCAACCGCTAACATCCAGGACACCGTGTTTTGGGACCCCTCTAGCCTTCCCAGGCTTTCATCCTGCTCGACTCCAAAGCATCAGTCAACCTGGGCTGAAGTGGTGGTCCGTGGCTGCAAGAGAGGCTCGGATGGGGCTGCCTCTCCTCCGCACATCGGCCTCTCCAACCGCTATGCAGCCTTGTCTAACGACACTCTGGTCCATCCAGCTGATGCACCTGTGGCTTCGAGTCTCCCTGATATGTACCTCTATCGGCGCACAGTGCCTGCCGACACTGTTGCATCTCCTTCACCGGCTACATCTCCTGCACTGGGCCCCTGGGCCGATCAGGCCCGGCGGCCGTCATCCTGGTCAAAAACCTCCACTTCCCGACGTAGGATCCTGAAGGAGGCTGTGCTCAGACGCTCCGGAGGCCGTCTCTACCCTGCACCGTCGGGTAGCCCTTCTCTCAGGTCCATGTCGGAACAAATGACACAGCTCTTCGGCAGTCTGAGCTGACAAAATCAGATTTTAACAGTCTTTTAACTTTTTAAAGCAGTGTGGAAAGTCCGTTTTTATCTCTGGTCCCATTCCCACAGTTGGTCGCGGTGCTGGCCGCTTCAGTAGACTCCTTGGCCTCCACGACTGGCTCCAGTCCGCCTGCAGGGCTCATCGTGTGTGTTATGTGGATAATTTTAATATTTTCTGGCAAAGAATGTCTCTTTTTAAGACAGACTGACTTCACCCAAACAAACGGGGCTCAGAAATGTTAGCTGGTCACATACAGCATGTGGTGCGGTCCACACATGATTTACGTGAATGACTAATCATTCATGCAGCACACCTGGACACACCTACCGCTCACTGAACAGATCTCTGGCTCACTGCCACAAACAACTCTCCACCTGCTGGCATGTAAAGCCGTCTGCTCCCAGCGCTGTTCCACAGACTTCTATTCCTGTCATCATCACGCATAGACCAGTAAACCGAAATGTGCACATCCCACACAGAAATATTAGTAATCTCTTAAGGATTAGGACAACTGCACCAACTCCAGCACCCAGAACAAACTCATTTAAAATGGCTCTCTTCAATGTGAGATCACTTTCAAGTAAGACTTTTATCTTAAATGATTTTATCTTGTCTGCAAATCTAGATTTTATGTTTTTAACTGAATCCTGGTTGCAGATGAATGACTATAGCCAGCTAGCTGAACTGTGTCCGCCTCAATATGACTGTTTTAGTCAACCGAGGGTCAGTGGTCGTGGTGGTGGGCTAGTGAGCGTGTATAGGAAAAATTTTAAATGTCATCAAGTACGCTGTGATGAATTTAACTCCTTTGAAGTTCTCACTCTTAAAGTTGGAGGGCTGCAACCTATCATTTGTTATAATTTATCGCCCCCCAAAACCGCCTGGAGGATTTTTATCAGAACTTCCTGAATTTTTATCTACTCTGGTTTTAAATGATGACAGAATTGTTCTTTTTGTGGCGATTTTAATATTCATGTTGATGACCCCAACAATGTTAATGCAACTAACTTTTTAAATATGGCCACTTCTTTTAACTTCAAACAACATGTCAAAGGGCAATATAACACACAACGCACATAACCGTGGTCATACACTGGACTTGGTTTTTACCCTGGGTGTCAGCATTTCCTCTGTGGAATTGGTGGACATGACCATATCTGACCACAGATGTATTGTTTTTAGCTGTGATTCGCCTGTTACTCATGCCGCCTCACCAAGCTCGGTGTGTTGTCGCATCTTTAATGAACAAAGTGTTTCAAAGTTTTGCGCATTCTTTCAGAGCCAAAGCCAACACCTGTCTGATTCCAACACCAACAATCTGGTCGATCACTTCAATCATATCTGCTTGTCGTCACTAAATATTACTGCTCCTCTAAAGGTTAGGCCTACGTCTAAAGCTAGTAAGCAACCCTGGATAAATGACAGCATTCGCAGCCTCAAAAGGGAATGCAGGAAAGCAGAGCGCAGATGGAAAAAATCCAGTCTCCAAGTCCATTACCTCAGTCTGAAGGATTTATTAATTAACTACAATAACATGGTTAAGGATGCGAGAACACACTATTTTTCTGAACTCATTACTACACAAACACAATCCCAGGTTTCTGTTTAAGACTGTGGATCAGCTGGTAAACCCAACCCCTCCTTGCGCCTCAGCTGGAAGTAATGATGACTGTGAATTGTTTTTATCTTATTTTACCAATAAGGTGGTGTCAATCAGAGCCTCTATTACCCCCACTGCCTCTTACTCAGAGGTTCCTCACCAGCAACAAGAGTTTTAACCAGTTTTATCCCATCGACTTGTCTGAGCTTTTAAAAACAGTATCACAAATGAGTGTCCTCCAGCCCACTTGATGTAATGCCTACAAAATTTTTACTGAAAGTAATAGATTCTATTGGGCCCCATTTGATCTCTGTTTTCAACAGCTCCCTATCTACTGGTTGTGTCCCTGATTATTTTAAAACGGCTTGCGTGAACCCACTTTTAAAGAAACCTGGTTTAGATCCCTCCCTCCCACAAAATTTTAGACCAATTTCAAAACTGCCTTTTATTGCAAAGATTCTAGAAAGAATTGTGTCCAAACAGCTGCTCACTGTACTGGAAAATAACAAATTATTTGAAAAGTTTCAGTCTAGTTTTAGGAAGTGCCACAGCACTGAGACTGCCTTGCTTAAAGTCACCAATGACCTTTTAATGTCTGCTGATGAAGGTATGTGCTCAGTCCTGGTACTCCTGGACCTTGGATCACAACATCATGTTAGACAGACTGAGGCACTGGGTGGGGATCTCTGGTACTGCCCTAGAATGGTTTTCATCCTACCTGTCAAATAGGAAGTTTTGTGTGTCTGTAAACAATTATGTCTCTTCATTCTGTCCAGTTAAATATGGTGTGCCTCAGGGGTCGGTCTTAGGACCCATTTTGTTTTCCTTGTATCTACTTCCCCTTGGACATATTATCCATAAACATGGCATTTTTCATATTTATGCTGATGACACACAAATATACTTGCCCGTCAGATCCACAGACCCTGGAATGCTGAGTTCACTTAACAACTGCCTTTGTGAAGTTAAAAAATGGATGTCAAATAATTTCCTCCAGCTGAACTCAGACAAAACAGAAATCCTGGTCATCGAGTCTCAGCAGATGGCAAATCAAATACTGCCATCTGCTGGTTCCCTAGTAAATCACATTAAGCCTGTGGCAAAGAACCTTGGTGTTTGGTTTGATAGTAATTTAAATTTCGAGCAGCACACCACAAAGCTTGTTCAATCATGTTTTTATCAACTTAGAAATAGCAAAATTCGATCTATGTTAACTTTTAAGGACACCGAGACCATTTTACACGCCTTCATCTCATCACGCCTGGATTATTGCAACAGCCTTTTCACCTGTTTAACCCAAAAATCTATTGATCGACTCCAGACTGTCCAGAACTCAGCTGCCAGGCTTTTAACCAGACAAAGAAATATGACCACATTACTCCTATTTTAGCTTCATTACACTGGCTCCTAGTATGTTTTAGAATTGACTTTAAAAATCTATTGATCACTTTTAAAGCTCTTCATGGCCTCTCGCCTTGTTATATTTCTGAACTTTTAGTCCCATACACACCAGCACGTACCTTGAGATCCTCGGGCAGAGGTCTGTTGTCTGTTCCAGAGTCTTGACTGAAAACTAAAGGGGACAGAGCGTTTGCTGTCAGGGCCCCGAGGCTCTGGAACAGCCTGCCTGAGGAAATCAGGTCGGCCCCCACTCATCATGAGCTGAACTCAAAGATCTAAGACTCTCTCTATGTACACAAGGCCTATTTCTCTCAAATATTGTTCTCAAATCTGTCAAAATCTTTGTTAGTGAGCACTTCTCCTTTGCTGAGATAATCCATCCAAATCACAGGTGTGGCATCAATATGCTGATCAGACAGCATGGGTATTGCATAGGTGTGCCTTAGGCTGGCAACAATAAAAGGCCACGGGAAAATGAGTTCAGCTCATGATGAATGGGGGCAAAAACAAGTGTTGCGTTTATAATTTTGTTCAGTGTAGTTTAGTGCAGAACTTAACTTTAACTCAAGTTTCTCTCATGCTTCTTTCAGATATATGCCTGCATGATGGTGTTCTTCCTCAGCAATATGATTGAAAACCAGTTAATGTCTACAGGAGCTTTTGAAATCACATTAAATGGTGAGTCTGTGATTTACACCAGCTTACTGACACCCCAACTCTTTTGGCTTTAGATTGATTTCAGTTGGCTGCCACTTCGCAAACACTAAGGTGAAGGGAATGGACTGGTTCTGCAGTCTTAAGCTCCTGTATTGCTATTTTATATAATTGCTTCTACCTATCTGACACTACCCTTTGTGTGGTGATGAAACAAAATGCAGTGAATTACAGTGACTGACTATTGGCTTTCCATAGATGTACCAGTGTGGTCAAAGCTAGAGTCAGGTCACCTGCCCTCCATGCAGCAGCTTGTGCAAATCCTGGACAATGAGATGAAGATGAATGTTCACATGAACACAAAACCACACCACTCCTAACCCTACTCTACACATCCTGGCTGGAGCTAAAAGCCCCTCCATGTAAGTACAACATTGTTTTCACCAAAGATGTTTTTAAATGTTCAGTATTTTACTGATCTTCATCATTATTTCCCTTATGGCTCACCTGCCATACAGACTAGTGGAAGTGTTCACACTTTTTAATTCTCTCCCTCTCTTCCTGTGTAGGTTTGAGGTGGGTTTCTCAATGGGCTGTGAAGTGATGTTTATGAAGGTCTGCGCTGAAGGCAGGCAGACTGCTAGCACAGACTGGATGCCCCCATTGCTCTTCACTTTGCCCCTTAGAGACGTCCCGCCCCGACGCCAGAGTGGGATCCATGGCAACAGGCCGGCCATTCTGTAATTTTCTTGTACTATTCATACTACTGCAGATTTCATCCAGGTGACAGTGGTCCCATAAGGAGATATTTAACATTGATTCTTCTAGTCTTTAACATATTGCAGACAATTGGTGTATGTGAGTGAAAAATTGTCATTTGTACCACTGAGCCATATGTAGAATTTTAAGTTAATTGTTCTAAAAGTAGCTTAGCCATGTAGAAAATGCAACATTTAAAATGTTATCACTGTTGAGAAAAATAACAGGAATTTTGTCTCATGATTTCTGAATAATTTTTATATTTACATAACTTGGAGGAAGCTAAGAAGATTAATAAAACATTGTAACTATTTAAGTGTGAAGCTGTGGTGTTTACTGTGGTGGGATAAGGTGCTTTAAGATCTAGAACTAAGTGAACTAAATGAGTAGTATTTTACATTTTACTTTGACAAACAATGGATTTAAGGTTGTTCATGTGACAGGTATTAGTGAAATCAATGGAAACCTGAGAAGTAGAACATTTGAATGACTTGGACTTGGCCCCCCCGTATAAAGCAACCTGCTTGATTCAAGTAAAGTCATGAATGCACTTTTTTTTTAGCCATATGCTTAACCAGTTATTAGGAGGACTTAAGGATTTACAGTCAATTAGAAAAACACAAAGCAGATTAAGGCTAAAAACATAGTGAAGTTAGTGAATGCACACTTGTTGAAGGTCATCCCTTTGAGTTGTAGAATAGTAAACATAAGACAAATTGGACAGTTTCCTGTGCATTTTAGCATAGACTATGGAGGGGAAAGAAACTGACATTTGGTGAAAAATTGCCTTTTACCTTCATGGCATGGTCTGAAATACCGTCATTACTGGGAAAAACTGCAAATATGTAAGAGCATTGTGATGTAGATCCCATCATACCTCCTGAAATTGCAGTTAAGAGCCATGAAAAGTTGTGTAGAAGGAACTAGGTCTTAGCTTTTTTTTTTTTGCTAAAATAAACACATTAGCTCACAAGTGCCCGTAAATTGATTTGTGTCTCGATACCCTTGAGTTACTGTGGAACACAAACGTATCGTACCCAAATAAAAGTCAATCTTTATGGGTAAAGGTTTTTGACCTGCTGTGTGGAGTATGACTTGAGTAGTGGTACATCAAAGACAGTCTTGAAGACACTCATAAATAAAGACCCTTTTGCTCTCACTTATCAAATCAACACTGACTTCCCGGAGCCTTTGGACAACAACATGGAGGTGGTGGGCTTGGCATCTGGGGATGGGAGGGTATCTTCAGGTACTGATGGAGATGCTGAATGGCCAGGCGGATCTTGATTCTGGCTACCAACAATACCAGCTCCTCCTTCAATGCTGATGGTCCTGAAGCAGCTCCCTCTGTTTTACAGTCACCCTGGGGAGAAGAAAAGTTACCAGTGCACAATGGGTATTCATGCTTATCAAACTCTAACTTCATTGTTATTTTATTTTGACTTTGATTCCAGTCAAAATGCCATACCAAATGAGTGAAAGAGAAACCTGCGATGTATAGAGGAAGTGAAATTGATAACAGGATTAGTATTTGAGCAAGCAGACAACATAATGTGAAGTGATTTTTTTTAAGGTCACTTGAATACCAAAGCTTCTTAAAAAGGAACAGAAGTCAAGAGGTTTGAAGATGTACAGTCAGAATGTTGCATTGAAACTACAAATGTCTGCAGAAATATCAATGAAAAATACAAAGCTTTGCATACAGCATATACTGCAGAGCTGGCAAATGCAAAATGAACATCAGAAAAGATGATGCTCGTAGTTTATTATTTCTCTCTGTAGAAATAATCTGTAGAAAACAATGCTTCACCTGAGCGCAGCAGGCACCCATGCTGAATTTTGCCTGTTGGCCTCTTGCCAGAAAGGAGACAAACACTTGTTCCTTTGCTAGGACTCGGACTCCAACAGATTTGTTGAGGGAGAGGAAGACTGGGTGCAGGGGAGTGGGAGTGAGGCACGGACTGCTCCAGCTCCATCGACGAACCCTGGCACCCTCCTCGTCCAAACACTGACCGCCTGATCTGTTTAAGGTCAGCCTGCAACACAAACATCATTACATGGTTATGGATAAGATAAACCAACATTAGATGCATCCATTAGTACAAACACAGGACAGTAATTAGGCTAATATATATTTACCTAAAGATAAAATAATGAAATTAGCTATACCATATTTATTACCAACATAATACTAAATATAAGCATTTCACATAAAGAAATGATAAATCACTTTGCTTTGTACCATATGTTTCCATTGCTGTGATAACATGTCGCCCTGCCATCAGACTGGAACATGGCTCTGATTGGTTGATAGGAGGCATCGCTGTCATCATACACGATGCAGACCCTTCCATTTTCTTCACTGACGACAACAAGAGCCAAGAGTCCTGAGGGATAACTGTTACCATGAAGATAAGGATGGGGAGCACCCTCTGTAGAGTACATGTTGTATCAAACATACAGTCTTGCACCATCTCTTGGTCAAAACCCAGTGAAAAATGAATCACATGACAGAAATCTAAAGACGTTAAATTGTGAGTGGATACAAGGCCTGAGCAGAGCCATCTGGGAACACGGTAAGAAATTTCATGCCATTGGAATAATACTTCTGTAGACATCGTGCCCCATCCTGTGAACATACAAGATTAAACAAGGTCAAGGATGTTCCATGGTCTTGTTGTGTTTACATGTGTATTAAATGGGCACTCCACCAAGATTATACATCAAAGTCAGAAGTTCTACTCCGCCTGTAAAAACACTTGTATGTCTTCTGTGGTCTGTGATGTGGAGAAGGTTTCCAAAGTCTGTTTGGGCTTGGAGAATACAAATTCAACAGAAAGCCTCCATTACAACATGATGGCATGGAGTCTGTCTCACAAATGTGGACATTTACCAGGCACAGAGCAAGATGCTACAACACTATGGGAAATATAGGATCAAGTATTTTTGGAAAATGACCCATACTAAGGAGTGTAAGTCAGGAAGATATTGTGGCCTTTGCTGATTTTGACACTTTTTAAAATCTGTCTCTCGTCCCCTCATAACACTTCAATGGTAAAAGCTTACATTTCTTAAGAGTGGCTTTTATATGGTTTTATACATTCATCCATCAGCATGACCACATGGAGGTAGTGTAAATATTCATGTGCAAAGATTAATACATATAATACAAGAGTATTACACAGACTTCATTTAACTTCATCACATAAATTTAAATAAATGATGATTATTTGTATGGTCTCATCAATGTTGATAACAATTTCTTAAGATATTCTAGTGTTGATTTTAATAAAACAAACTGTTGTGTGCTTTATGGGTCATGTAAGAAAACTTGATAGTAATTTGTGGCTACCTGATGACATATGCCAAACTGAAGTGGCTTGTGGTTGCATGAAGGGACCAACACCGACGGCTCCTCTTCCTCTTTTATTTTCAAGTGCTTCTCGGTTGCGCTGAAAGGATACACTGTCCAGCATCCTTTTCCTGGTGCACAAGAAAGTCGGAAGCGGAGGACCTTTGATGTTGGGGCAACTAAACAACAGCGCAGTTTCAGTATCACAAAGCAATTTAAAGTCACAGTTGTTTTGTTTCTTACTAATAATGTGAACAAAAAGAGACACAGTGAAAAGATACCCTACACACGTCATCTCATGTTTATTATGACTGGATGAACAGATTTAAAGCTGTCGTGTGTGTGTGTTACTCACATGTTTCTGTTACAGGTAGCTGGATTGAGTAATCCTCGTAGATTATCAATTCTGATTGTTTCCTGATAAAGGATACATATTACATAACTCTTGACTTTAATGCTGTAAAGTTATGTTTATTAAGATTTCCTTATTTTTGTGTTTCTGTGTGTTGCATAAAACATTGAAGACATCTTATAATTTTGTACCCAAGTCCACTCGGTAAATCCATGATAAACTTGTTGTGATCCTCCATCTCCCTGCCTTGGAAGAGATGCTCCTCCATCTTTGTGGCTGGCTTGTCTCCCGGTGATGTTGGAGTACCAATCCTCAGGTCACATCTCCCGTCAACCAAGCATCTCTGCTTCACCAGTATCATACACAGCTGCTGCCACCCGGCACAGCAGAAGGATGGCGCTCTCTAAGATGGGCACAAAAAGGGGTGCAAGGAAGTCAGCAGTGTATCTGGTATATTCGGGGACTTGATTTTAGTATATTCACTTTCTTCCTCACCTCAGGTGCATGTACCCATGTTAGATCCAGTGAAGGTTTGGTGTTTTCTCCACAGTACTCACATTTCACTGGGTACTCTGTCAGGGGCTGGGGCTAGACAGCAGAGTGTTAAATTGGACTAATCAATAGCATACAGCCAAGCCAAAGTTGCTATACATGGGAATTTACAAAAGTACATAGAAGTGTCATCATAGTACCGCTGGCAGAATGTTTAAGTTTATCCTGTGGTTGTCAGACTCGCGGTTGTACCTCAGAACTCCTGCTGCTCTGATACAATAGGTGGGTGGGTCACTGACAGACTGTTGATAGCCCTCTGGTATCCGCTTACCAAACACAGAGAAAAATACAAATCAAGTGAACTAACATCAAGTAATTCATGAAAGACTATGGTAAATTAAATATTTAAAAAAACACAAAAGGACACTAGATTAAAGTATTGTCCACTATTTGAGCTGTCTTACATGGTCATCCATGACAGATAGTTGCTCACTGAGATCATGCTCCCATTTAGCAGCAGCAGCATCTAACAGTGAAACGAACGTTACTGTGGTATCACTGAATTAAGTCCCAGAAAGAGAAGTAAACACTGGCCTGGATAAGATTTAATTGTGCTTGGAGCAGACTCACAAGAATAGCTGGACTTCATCTTTTTGTCTGTCCTTCTGATTGGAGTAAAGCCACTGTGCTCAGCGTATTTGTCATAGGATAGAATGACAGTGTCCACTGCTTGTGTAAGGTTTCTCTCTTGCTCATCAGATTAAAAACATTCCATTTCTATTACACACACACTTGTAAGTAGCAGAAATATTTCCCAAAATATAATATCAATTATCATGCAGAAAAGTAGATCAACAGAAGAAACCAATCAGGCTATGAGATAAATCAATACACCTAGCTTATTACATGTATACAAAAAAGCAATAAAATAATACACACGGTAATGCACTCACCTCAATGCCTCACACTTGCTGGTGTTGTCAGTAACCTTGGAGATAAAATAGCTGTCTACAGCATACCTGACATGGCGGCTGGCTGACTGGTTTTAACACCCACAAATATTATGACACACAGTTATAATATACTCTATAATATTGTCGAAGTGCTGACTGCACATTCCCTCAACCTGGTCTGCAGAAAAGAAGATATTGGTATCTAATGTATTTTATGTAAAACAACAAATACCGATGTCAGACACCCACTTTTTCATACAGTGACAAAAGTTAATCTGGGTCAGAATCCTCCTCTCCTCTACTTATTAGACTTATCAAAACACTGATAATAAAATCGTACACCTATAATAACCCGATATGTGGGTTCATAATAAGCTCACCCCTCCTACCACGCTGACTCTTGACCTCAAGGTAACTGACATTACCCAGGTGGAACCAATGCCAGATGATTACAGAACAATCAAGTTGCCAACCAGCTGCACCTGCCGGCAGAAAACGTTACAACATAAATAGCTTACCTGCGGCAAAGCACCATCTTTCAGTTTGAAACATTTTCACGAGTCACTGCGGAACCATGGGGAAAGGGAAAAGGGCTACTGTCTATTGGGCAGCGGTTGTTATTCTGGTGTGTTATTTGGTACACATGATAGACTGCTATCGACTGAAAAAAACACAAAGACAACACGGACAAAAAAAAGCCGATGCAGCTAAAACGGTAGCTGTCCAAGAAGGGAAGATTGTGTTTGGGAGAGTTTTTAAAAACGGGTCAGCCATTGGCTCACGAGTCCTAAAGGCAGATGCTTCCATGGAGGGTGGAGCTGTGTATCAAGCTGACTCTGCAGGTAAAAAACCTGCAGTCTTTAACCTATATTGAACTGTATTTATGAACTGCACAACAAATTGTAATAGGCCTACATTCACTAGAAGGTTCCCTGTCAGGCTGGCCTAAAGGACAAAGCCCAGATCTCGGTTTCAGAGAAGCAGCATGGAGGCGCATGGCAGCTTCTCTACAATGTGGTGGGGATCAGTTGAAGTTCAGAGCAGTGGGACCAGGAGTATCACAGTTTACAGTGGATCAAGGTAATTAAAGTTTATTATATAATGTCTCAACTGTAGGTATTCCCACAACTGACTTCAGTCACATTGATCTGCATGCCCCCCTCCCACACACAGGAACAGCACCTCCAATGCTTCTGTCCCAGGTGCCTTCCAGTTGTGGCTACAGCATGCAGAGGAACTCCCTTGCACTTGTTATGTTGGTTCCTTATGATGGCTGCAATGTGGTTAAAGAGGTAGGCCTAATGTTTATGGAAATGCAAGATATTGCTGCATGGTGGGAAGGTGGAAAATCTGAGCAATTGACCAAGAGCTTAAATGATGTGTAGAAACCAGCAGCTGTTTTGATAAATGCTCTAATCATTAGTCGGGCAAGCTCAATTGTAGGCCTACTGTAGAACTTGTGTGTTTGGTTGGACAAATGGGCATTTCAATTTTAATGGCAATTTTGAGCATTTTCTCAAAGGCTAATTGATTAGAGCAGATCTGTAGATAACTTTGTGAATTTTCAAAACTACATTACAAAGTGCTATAGAAACATAAGGGCCATATTTAAATAAAGGTATTTAAAAGTCAACAAGACTTTGAAACATTAGTAGAGCCCTGTCGGAGGATCTCGTGCATCAGCCTGGCTTGTAGGAGTTCAGGGCTTGAAGAATAAAATTCTGAAACTCACAGATAACTATTGAATGGCGGCAAGGATTGCTAATCAATTAACTGCATTCATGTAGCCTGTACTAAGCAAGTTCACTGTACAATGAGATCACTTCATTATCTGGCTTCACTAATGTTAACAAGTGATCACGCTAAGCGGTCACACAACTCTAGTTATCAACCCAGGGAAAGGGTGTAGAATTAGGAGGGATGTCGGTTTCTCACAGACTTAAAGAAATTGTATGCTTTAAAACTTTGGTGTGCACATTAAGCTTAATATGAAGTTAGGTTATACTGCCTGTGTGACTACAATGCAAATGAAATTCAAAGCGGAAAGGCTTGCTTTATATCAAATACACTAGTGCTTCAGTTTGGGTAGGCTTGTATCACACACAGCATGCATGGAGCAGTCTGCAGGATCTTCTGCAAATAGTGACACGCTTCTCAGACTTGATGGTCAGGTTTTTTTTTTTATAGCCTTGCTCTTATCTCAACATAACCTGCTCCAGAGCAGGTTGCTCACTACCCTCAAACCCTGCTTTGTTAGTGTAACTTTGGGTTTATGTAATCTAATTCACACTTGTCTTCTCTTCCCCAAGGGTGGAAGTTACGTGCTCCCAATGCATTGGCAGGGTGTTCCAGTCTCACTCTGGTGTCCCACAACTGCTACACCACAACCTGTACCCACTACACTCCATCAAACCCTGAGACGCTCCAGACAACCACAGAGAAACCAGTAACGGCCCAATCTCCACCATACCCCGCTTTCTTCCCTCCTTTTACCCCTTTCCTCCTGCTCCGCCAACCACCACAGCAGCGCCGACTACAACCACGCCTGCAAATCCAACATGGCCTCAATATGTAAAATACCCCCCTCTCTTCCCTCCTTTTTACCCCTTTCCTCCTGCTCCGCCAACCACCACAGCAGCGCCGACTACAACCACGCCTGCAAATCCAACATGGCCTCAATATGTAAAATACCCCCCTCTCTTCCCTCCTTTTTACCCCTTTCCTCCTGCTCCGCCAACCACCACAGCAGCACCGACTACAACCACGCCTGCAAATCCAACATGGCCTCATATCCACAATATGTAAAATACCCCCCTCTCTTCCCTCCTTTTTACCCTTTTCCTCCTGCTCCGCCAACCACCACAGCAGCGCCGACTACAACCACGCCTGCAAATCCAACATGGCCTCAATATGTAAAATACCCCCCTCTCGTCCCTCCTTTTTACCCCTTTCCTCCTGCTCCGCCAACCACCACAGCAGCGCCGACTACAACCACGCCTGCAAACCAACATGGCCTCAATATCCACAATATGTAAAATACCCCCCTCTCGTCCCTCCTTTTTACCCCTTTCCTCCTGCTCCGCCAACCACCACAGCAGCGCCGACTACAACCACGCCTGCAAACCCAACATGGCCTCAATATGTAAAATACCCCCCTCTCTTCCCTCCTTTTTACCCTTTTCCTCCTGCTCCAACCACCACAGCAGCACCAACTACCACCACTGCAAAACCAGCATGGCATCAATTTCCACAATACGCAAAATACCCCTTGTTCTTCCCTCACCCCCCTCCCAACCGCAACTCCTGCACAAACTACAACTGCTAACCCAGCATGGCCTCAATTTCCACAGCACCCCCTAAAATAAGTTTCCACCATATGGCACTTTCACCTATATTCTCTTTTCCCTCCCAATATCCAACCCCTAACCCGCAGATGACTACCACAACAGGCCCCACTTAATGTCTAGCCTACTGAAACTCCTAATAAATGGTATGGAAGGAAAAAAAGTAGCCCCGTCCAGTTCTTTTGTATTCACGCTGGTGCTGTTGAGTCCAGGCTTATCAAGAAGTGGTGCTGGAGGTGTTTGGGCAAGGTGAACAGTCAGCTATTCATATCAAAGATTTGTCTTGGACACTACTATGGAAGATTTTATTGTTTGTAACCCACAACAATCCACATTTGTACTGATGTGCAAATATTCACTATCTACAAATATGTATTTACATTTGTGATGTGACATTTTATCCACAAGTGACTTCCTACACATTTGTGGAATTTTATCCACTCTGTACCACAGATCTGTATGCATGAGCAGTTTATTAGCTACACCAGCAGGTGGCAGTAGACATTGCCTCGTGAGTTGTAAGAATGTCCATTGCAGTACCCAGGGTCATCTGTAAGAGACAGCTTCTGCTAGACCACTGGACTCTTCAGTCTAAATTTTTGTGTAGGTTACTATGGAGTACTTTATCACTGTTCTATTTAAATAGACTACACTTGAACCTACTGGTTGTAGGAGTTATTGTAAACCCTATCTATAAGGTTACAGTCCTCAAAGTACAGTCAATGTGTTTTTATTGAGCTTTTGCATGACTTGAGGCTCATGAGTAGGGTTTACATGACTCCTCAATACTGGATCTATCTTGGGGTGCCATTTGCAACCAATGCAAGACTGACATTACTGGGGGACCTCTTAAACATGAGGGGCAATATTCACTATCAGCCTAGCCCTATTGCAGCTAATGAATAGCCATTTGCTCAACCACCAGGGGTCCTTAAGGGGAATGATAAATTTACTATTTAAAATCATTTCCACCATAAGTAACACAATGATAGAACATGACTATTTGGGTCATAGGTTTCATACACTTTCTGTAATGCATCTAAAAGCAAAAATCCTATCTGATAAGCATGTCTGGGGCAATCTTATCAAATGCATATCTGTGGACTAATTTGTGTGAGTTGTGAAATTTGAATACCACTCAAGATTTGAGTAAACCACAAAGACAATGTAAGGCATGAGAATAAATATACTGTGTACCTAATGCTACGGTCTTGGTTTATTAACACTTTGTACTGATTGTGTATTACACTTTTTTTTTTTTTTCTTGTGATAAAGAAATGGAAATAAAATATTATTTTTAATCATTTCACATCAAAAGGTGTTATAACTGAATTGAAATGCAGTATTCCTGATTGGGCTTTATAGAACTTCTCTGCTTTTCAAATACTTTTACAAAGCTTTCTTTCACAGCTCTGACAGGAAGGTGTAAAATATTACTACAAACACAATTTTCAGGCTCATTTATTTAAATATAAAACAAATACAGTGATAAAGTATTCAATAGTAAACTATATACACTTGCACAGAAAAATTTAGACTGAATAGAGTCCAGTGGTCCAGCAGAAGTTGTCTCCTACAGATGACCCTGGGTACTGCAATGGAGATTCTTACAACTCATGAGAGGCAATGTCGCTACTGCCACCTGCTGGTGTAGCTAATAAACTGCTCTCACACGTACAGATCTCTGTTGACAGATTTCTGTGGTACAGAGTGGACAAAATTCCACAAATGTAACGTGACCTGCAAATTGACAGGAAATGATCTGCAAATGTGCTAAAACTGTTTTGTGTGTAAAAATAGATCTACAAATGCGTAAATAACACTTTGTATGTGAAATTAAAATATGTGAATGTAGAGTAAATTGTACATATTTGCAAATTGCACTGTATTTTAGTGGATATGATTTTACACAACACAAATGTAAAAATACATGTTTTGGGTAGTGAGATATTTGTGTATATTTTTTTTTACAGATCTTCGCAGTACACATTGGACAAAATTCCACAAATGTGTAAAAAGGAAGTTTACACATTGGCAGTTTCACTGCCTCTGCCACCGGAAATGATGGATTGTCTTGTTATATCTCTCATAGTTTGATATAGTGCATCCAAATACAGAATGGCTCTAGTAAACCAAGAAATATGACCAGTATTACCTTCCATCTGAACTTGTTCACTCCTAAAGGGATGTTGGAGCAGACATCACAGCCGGAGGTCGCCATGGCAAATGAAGCAGCATGGAGGCACTTGAATCCTTCCCTGCATTGTGGTCACAACAAGATGAAGTTGAAAGCCACTGGACCCAACACTGCAGGGGGACTGCAGATGTAAATTAGCCTAAGGCTAACTCTGGTGTAATGCATCAAATGTTTACATTTATGTTATTAATTGCACATGGTCCCTTCTAAATAAAAATCAATCAATCAATCAATCAATCAATTAAACTGCTGACTTGCAGCCAGACACGGGTATTGCAACAAAACAAAGCTTCTAAAATGTCAGTTTGTTAAAGCATCACCGTTATGACTACCAAGCCATTTACAGAGAAACCCCCTCAAATCATGCCTCATGCATATCTATTTGTTATGCCAGGGCTGCTTTTAGAAAGGCTAACAATGCTAACCCTGAAAGAATGAACCCTGAGCATGTTATTGGCTGTGGACCATCAAATTGCACAATTACTTTTAGCAGTAAATGCAATTAAAGGACTGATCATCTACTAAGGTGGTAAAATACACAGTCCTAATTCTACATGCTGATATTCTGCTTGTTGCCTCATTCTGTGCTTAATGATCTCTCACCCAGGTACTGCTCGCGTACCCAAGGCTCATTTTGCTGCTCCAGAGAACTTGCCAACTGAACTGAACCTGACAGCCCGGAGATGGGAGCAACCTTATGAAAAAAAGAAACCATGGAATAAATTTAAGTTGGATTACAAAAAATAGTCATACTTTTTCCAAATTTTTACTGTTTCTAAATACTCGTCTAGTTATTTTCTGTGAAACCCCCACACTCATACAGCGTGCGCACACACCCCACACTGTCTGTTCCTATATACTTCCACATGGTGCTCTCTCCTCTGGGCACCCTGTGATGACACACACATACACATCTACGCACATCACAGAAACTAAGCCATACGTGACAACAGCGAGACATGTAATGCTGGTCTTTGAAAGCAAGTATGCACGTCTGTATTTTTTCCTTTTCATTTACCACAATTCTTCATTGTTAGGTGACTGGAATTTTGGAGCTCAGTTAGAAGAAGAAAAACTCTGCAGAGGACCAAGAAATCTTGAAATCCATCCTTTAACGGTCCATCTTCAGTCCATCTGTGGCTATATTTCCAAACCAAGGCCTGTGTGCCTCCCCAAGCCCTGACATTTGCTCCACCCACTCCAGATGTTAAATTGTGAGTGGATACAAGGCCTGAGCAGAGCCAGGGAACACAGTGAGAATTTTACTTCTGTAGACATTGTGCCTCATCCTGTGGACATACAAGATTAAACAAGGTCAAGGATGTTCCATGGTCTTGTTGTGTTTACATGTGTATTAAATGGGCACTCCACCAAGATTATACATCAAAGTCAGAAGTTCTACTCCGCCTGTAAAAACACTTGTATGTCTTCTGTGTTTGTCATGACATGATAAACATAATTAAAGCTGTCAATGTGTGTGTGTTACTCACATGTATCTGCTACAGGTAGTTGGATTGAGTAATCCTCATAGATGATCCATTCTGATTGTTTATTGATAAAGGATACATATTACATCACTCTTGACTTTAATGCTGTAAAGTCATTATAGAAATGAGTGAGGAGTCCGTAGATTGAATCCAAGCCAGATGTGTTTATTACATAAACTTCTGTTGAGTATAATGAACTTACACAGCCACAGGCAACAAGCTATACTAACAACCTGGCGGGTGATGTACACACAGGAGAGGTAAACTAGTGCGCATGCGCACTTCCTCAGGTACGGTGTTTTGTAGTGTCCATATAGAACGCAAACATAATCATTCACCAGAATGATCTACAGTTATGTTTATTAAGATTTCCTTATTTTTGTGTTTCTGTGTGTTGCATAAAACATTGAAGACATCTTATAATTTTGTACCCAAGTCCACTCGGTAAATCCATGATAAACTTGTTGTGATCCTCCATCTCCCTGCCTTGGAAGAGATGCTCCTCCATCTTTGTGGCTGGCTTGTCTCCCGGTGATGTTGGAGTACCAATCCTCAGGTCACATCTCCCGTCAACCAAGCATCTCTGCTTCACCAGTATCATACACAGCTGCTGCCACCCGGCACAGCAGATGGCGCTCTCTAAGAAGGGCACAAAAGAGGATGCAAGGAAGTCAGCAGTGTATCTGGTATATTTGGGGACTTTGTGTTAGTGTACTGGTATTCACTTTCTTCCTCACCTCAGGCCCCTGTACCCATGTTAGATCCAGTGAAGGTTTGGTGTTTTCTCCACTGTACTCACATTTCACTGCCGAGATAATCCATCCACCTCACAGGTGTGGCATATCAAGATGCTGATCAGACATTATGGGTATCGCACAGGCATGCCTTAGGCTGGCCACAATAAAAGGCCAGTCGAAAATGTGCAGTTTCACTGTATTGGGAGGGGTGCTCACTAACAGAGTTTGACAGATTTGTGAACAATATTTTTGAGAAATAGGCCTTTTGTGTACATAGAGAAAATCTTAGATCTTTGAGTTCAGCTCATGATGAATGGGGGCAAAAACAAAAGTGTTGTGTTTATAATTTTGTTCACTGTATATTTCCCAAAATATAATATCAATTATATTTATTATTAATACACACGGTAATGCACTCACCTCAATGCCTCACACTTGCTGGTGTTGTCAGTAACCTTGGAGATAAAATAGCTGTCTACAGCATACCTGACATGGCGGCTGGCTGACTGGTTTTAACACCCACAAATATTATGACACACAGTTATAATATACTCTATAATATTGTCGAAGTGCTGACTGCACATTCCCTCAACCTGGTCTGCAGAAAAGAAGATATTGGTATCTAATGTATTTTATGTAAAACAACAAATACCGATGTCAGACACCCACTTTTTCATACAGTGACAAAAGTTAATCTGGGTCAGAATCCTCCTCTCCTCTACTTATTAGACTTATCAAAACACTGATAATAAAATCGTACACCTATAATAACCCGATATGTGGGTTCATAATAAGCTCACCCCTCCTACCACGCTGACTCTTGACCTCAAGGTAACTGACATTACCCAGGTGGAACCAATGCCAGATGATTACAGAACAATCAAGTTGCCAACCAGCTGCACCTGCCGGCAGAAAACGTTACAACATAAATAGCTTACCTGCGGCAAAGCACCATCTTTCAGTTTGAAACATTTTCACGAGTCACTGCGGAACCATGGGGAAAGGGAAAAGGGCTACTGTCTATTGGGCAGCGGTTGTTATTCTGGTGTGTTATTTGGTACACATGATAGACTGCTATCGACTGAAAAAAACACAAAGACAACACGGACAAAAAAAAGCCGATGCAGCTAAAACGGTAGCTGTCCAAGAAGGGAAGATTGTGTTTGGGAGAGTTTTTAAAAACGGGTCAGCCATTGGCTCACGAGTCCTAAAGGCAGATGCTTCCATGGAGGGTGGAGCTGTGTATCAAGCTGACTCTGCAGGTAAAAAAACCTGCAGTCTTTAACCTATATTGAACTGTATTTATGAACTGCACAACAAATTGTAATAGGCCTACATTCACTAGAAGGTTCCCTGTCAGGCTGGCCTAAAGGACAAAGCCCAGATCTCGGTTTCAGAGAAGCAGCATGGAGGCGCATGGCAGCTTCTCTACAATGTGGTGGGGATCAGTTGAAGTTCAGAGCAGTGGGACCAGGAGTATCACAGTTTACAGTGGATCAAGGTAATTAAAGTTTATTATATAATGTCTCAACTGTAGGTATTCCCACAACTGACTTCAGTCACATTGATCTGCATGCCCCCCTCCCACACACAGGAACAGCACCTCCAATGCTTCTGTCCCAGGTGCCTTCCAGTTGTGGCTACAGCATGCAGAGGAACTCCCTTGCACTTGTTATGTTGGTTCCTTATGATGGCTGCAATGTGGTTAAAGAGGTAGGCCTAATGTTTATGGAAATGCAAGATATTGCTGCATGGTGGGAAGGTGGAAAATCTGAGCAATTGACCAAGAGCTTAAATGATGTGTAGAAACCAGCAGCTGTTTTGATAAATGCTCTAATCATTAGTCGGGCAAGCTCAATTGTAGGCCTACTGTAGAACTTGTGTGTTTGGTTGGACAAATGGGCATTTCAATTTTAATGGCAATTTTGAGCATTTTCTCAAAGGCTAATTGATTAGAGCAGATCTGTAGATAACTTTGTGAATTTTCAAAACTACATTACAAAGTGCTATAGAAACATAAGGGCCATATTTAAATAAAGGTCATTTAAAAGTCAACAAGACTTTGAAACATTAGTAGAGCCCTGTCGGAGGATCTCGTGCATCAGCCTGGCTTGTAGGAGTTCAGGGCTTGAAGAATAAAATTCTGAAACTCACAGATAACTATTGAATGGCGGCAAGGATTGCTAATCAATTAACTGCATTCATGTAGCCTGTACTAAGCAAGTTCACTGTCTGGCTTCACTAATGTTAACAAGTGATCACGCTAAGCGGTCACACAACTCTAGTTATCAACCCAGGGAAAGGGTGTAGAATTAGGAGGGATGTCGGTTTCTCACAGACTTAAAGAAATTGTATGCTTTAAAACTTTGGTGTGCACATTAAGCTTAATATGAAGTTAGGTTATACTGCCTGTGTGACTACAATGCAAATGAAATTCAAAGCGGAAAGGCTTGCTTTATATCAAATACACTAGTGCTTCAGTTTGGGTAGGCTTGTATCACACACAGCATGCATGGAGCAGTCTGCAGGATCTTCTGCAAATAGTGACACGCTTCTCAGACTTGATGGTCAGGTTTTTTTTTATAGCCTTGCTCTTATCTCAACATAACCTGCTCCAGAGCAGGTTGCTCACTACCCTCAAACCCTGCTTTGTTAGTGTAACTTTGGGTTTATGTAATCTAATTCACACTTGTCTTCTCTTCCCCAAGGGTGGAAGTTACGTGCTCCCAATGCATTGGCAGGGTGTTCCAGTCTCACTCTGGTGTCCCACAACTGCTACACCACAACCTGTACCCACCTACACTCCATCAAACCCTGAGACGCTCCAGACAACCACAGAGAAACCAGTAACGGCCCAATCTCCACCATACCCCGCTTTCTTCCCTCCTTTTTACCCCTTTCCTCCTGCTCCGCCAACCACCACAGCAGCGCCGACTACAACCACGCCTGCAAATCCAACATGGCCTCAATATGTAAAATACCCCCCTCTCTTCCCTCCTTTTTACCCCTTTCCTCCTGCTCCGCCAACCACCACAGCAGCACCGACTACAACCACGCCTGCAAATCCAACATGGCCTCAATATCCACAATATGTAAAATACCCCCCTCTCTTCCCTCCTTTTTACCCTTTCCTCCTGCTCCGCCAACCACCACAGCAGCGCCGACTACAACCACGCCTGCAAATCCAACATGGCCTCAATATGTAAAATACCCCCCTCTCGTCCCTCCTTTTTACCCCTTTCCTCCTGCTCCGCCAACCACCACAGCAGCGCCGACTACAACCACGCCTGCAAACCCAACATGGCCTCAATATCCACAATATGTAAAATACCCCCCTCTCGTCCCTCCTTTTTACCCCTTTCCTCCTGCTCCGCCAACCACCACAGCAGCGCCGACTACAACCACGCCTGCAAACCCAACATGGCCTCAATATGTAAAATACCCCCCTCTCTTCCCTCCTTTTTACCCTTTTCCTCCTGCTCCAACCACCACAGCAGCACCAACTACCACCACTGCAAAACCAGCATGGCATCAATTTCCACAATACGCAAAATACCCCTTGTTCTTCCCTCACCCCCCTCCCAACCGCAACTCCTGCACAAACTACAACTGCTAACCCAGCATGGCCTCAATTTCCACAGCACCCCCTAAAATAAGTTTCCACCATATGGCACTTTCACCTATATTCTCTTTTCCCTCCCAATATCCAACCCCTAACCCGCAGATGACTACCACAACAGGCCCCACTTAATGTCTAGCCTACTGAAACTCTCCTAATAAATGGTATGGAAGGAAAAAAAGTAGCCCCGTCCAGTTCTTTTGTATTCACGCTGGTGCTGTTGAGTCCAGGCTTATCAAGAAGTGGTGCTGGAGGTGTTTGGGCAAGGTGAACAGTCAGCTATTCATATCAAAGATTTGTCTTGGACACTACTATGGAAGATTTTATTGTTTGTAACCCACAACAATCCACATTTGTACTGATGTGCAAATATTCACTATCTACAAATATGTATTTACATTTGTGATGTGACATTTTATCCACAAGTGACTTCCTACACATTTGTGGAATTTTATCCACTCTGTACCACAGATCTGTATGCATGAGCAGTTTATTAGCTACACCAGCAGGTGGCAGTAGACATTGCCTCGTGAGTTGTAAGAATGTCCATTGCAGTACCCAGGGTCATCTGTAAGAGACAGCTTCTGCTAGACCACTGGACTCTTCAGTCTAAATTTTTGTGTAGGTTACTATGGAGTACTTTATCACTGTTCTATTTAAATAGACTACACTTGAACCTACTGGTTGTAGGAGTTATTGTAAACCCTATCTATAAGGTTACAGTCCTCAAAGTACAGTCAATGTGTTTTTATTGAGCTTTTGCATGACTTGAGGCTCATGAGTAGGGTTTACATGACTCCTCAATACTGGATCTATCTTGGGGTGCCATTTGCAACCAATGCAAGACTGACATTACTGGGGGACCTCTTAAACATGAGGGGCAATATTCACTATCAGCCTAGCCCTATTGCAGCTAATGAATAGCCATTTGCTCAACCACCAGGGGTCCTTAAGGGGAATGATAAATTTACTATTTAAAATCATTTCCACCATAAGTAACACAATGATAGAACATGACTATTTGGGTCATAGGTTTCATACACTTTCTGTAATGCATCTAAAAGCAAAAATCCTATCTGATAAGCATGTCTGGGGCAATCTTATCAAATGCATATCTGTGGACTAATTTGTGTGAGTTGTGAAATTTGAATACCACTCAAGATTTGAGTAAACCACAAAGACAATGTAAGGCATGAGAATAAATATACTGTGTACCTAATGCTACGGTCTTGGTTTATTAACACTTTGTACTGATTGTGTATTACACTTTTTTTTTTTTTTCTTGTGATAAAGAAATGGAAATAAAATATTATTTTTAATCATTTCACATCAAAAGATGTTATAACTGAATTGAAATGCAGTATTCCTGATTGGGCTTTATAGAACTTCTCTGCTTTTCAAATACTTTTACAAAGCTTTCTTTCACAGCTCTGACAGGAAGGTGTAAAATATTACTACAAACACAATTTTCAGGCTCATATTTATTTAAATATAAAACAAATACAGTGATAAAGTATTCAATAGTAAACTATATACACTTGCACAGAAAAATTTAGACTGAATAGAGTCCAGTGGTCCAGCAGAAGTTGTCTCCTACAGATGACCCTGGGTACTGCAATGGAGATTCTTACAACTCATGAGAGGCAATGTCGCTACTGCCACCTGCTGGTGTAGCTAATAAACTGCTCTCACACGTACAGATCTCTGTTGACAGATTTCTGTGGTACAGAGTGGACAAAATTCCACAAATGTAACGTGACCTGCAAATTGACAGGAAATGATCTGCAAATGTGCTAAAACTGTTTTGTGTGTAAAAATAGATCTACAAATGCGTAAATAACACTTTGTATGTGAAATTAAAATATGTGAATGTAGAGTAAATTGTACATATTTGCAAATTGCACTGTATTTTAGTGGATATGATTTTACACAACACAAATGTAAAAATACATGTTTTGGGTAGTGAGATATTTGTGTATATTTTTTTTTACAGATCTTCGCAGTACACATTGGACAAAATTCCACAAATGTGTAAAAAGGAAGTTTACACATTGGCAGTTTCACTGCCTCTGCCACCGGAAATGATGGATTGTCTTGTTATATCTCTCATAGTTTGATATAGTGCATCCAAATACAGAATGGCTCTAGTAAACCAAGAAATATGACCAGTATTACCTTCCATCTGAACTTGTTCACTCCTAAAGGGATGTTGGAGCAGACATCACAGCCGGAGGTCGCCATGGCAAATGAAGCAGCATGGAGGCACTTGAATCCTTCCCTGCATTGTGGTCACAACAAGATGAAGTTGAAAGCCACTGGACCCAACACTGCAGGGGGACTGCAGATGTAAATTAGCCTAAGGCTAACTCTGGTGTAATGCATCAAATGTTTACATTTATGTTATTAATTGCACATGGTCCCTTCTAAATAAAAATCAATCAATCAATCAATCAATCAATTAAACTGCTGACTTGCAGCCAGACACGGGTATTGCAACAAAACAAAGCTTCTAAAATGTCAGTTTGTTAAAGCATCACCGTTATGACTACCAAGCCATTTACAGAGAAACCCCCTCAAATCATGCCTCATGCATATCTATTTGTTATGCCAGGGCTGCTTTTAGAAAGGCTAACAATGCTAACCCTGAAAGAATGAACCCTGAGCATGTTATTGGCTGTGGACCATCAAATTGCACAATTACTTTTAGCAGTAAATGCAATTAAAGGACTGATCATCTACTAAGGTGGTAAAATACACAGTCCTAATTCTACATGCTGATATTCTGCTTGTTGCCTCATTCTGTGCTTAATGATCTCTCACCCAGGTACTGCTCGCGTACCCAAGGCTCATTTTGCTGCTCCAGAGAACTTGCCAACTGAACTGAACCTGACAGCCCGGAGATGGGAGCAACCTTATGAAAAAAAGAAACCATGGAATAAATTTAAGTTGGATTACAAAAAATAGTCATACTTTTTCCAAATTTTTACTGTTTCTAAATACTCGTCTAGTTATTTTCTGTGAAACCCCCACACTCATACAGCGTGCGCACACACCCCACACTGTCTGTTCCTATATACTTCCACATGGTGCTCTCTCCTCTGGGCACCCTGTGATGACACACACATACACATCTACGCACATCACAGAAACTAAGCCATACGTGACAACAGCGAGACATGTAATGCTGGTCTTTGAAAGCAAGTATGCACGTCTGTATTTTTTCCTTTTCATTTACCACAATTCTTCATTGTTAGGTGACTGGAATTTTGGAGCTCAGTTAGAAGAAGAAAAACTCTGCAGAGGACCAAGAAATCTTGAAATCCATCCTTTAACGGTCCATCTTCAGTCCATCTGTGGCTATATTTCCAAACCAAGGCCTGTGTGCCTCCCCAAGCCCTGACATTTGCTCCACCCACTCCAGATGTTAAATTGTGAGTGGATACAAGGCCTGAGCAGAGCCAGGGAACACAGTGAGAATTTTACTTCTGTAGACATTGTGCCTCATCCTGTGGACATACAAGATTAAACAAGGTCAAGGATGTTCCATGGTCTTGTTGTGTTTACATGTGTATTAAATGGGCACTCCACCAAGATTATACATCAAAGTCAGAAGTTCTACTCCGCCTGTAAAAACACTTGTATGTCTTCTGTGTTTGTCATGACATGATAAACATAATTAAAGCTGTCAATGTGTGTGTGTTACTCACATGTATCTGCTACAGGTAGTTGGATTGAGTAATCCTCATAGATGATCCATTCTGATTGTTTATTGATAAAGGATACATATTACATCACTCTTGACTTTAATGCTGTAAAGTCATTATAGAAATGAGTGAGGAGTCCGTAGATTGAATCCAAGCCAGATGTGTTTATTACATAAACTTCTGTTGAGTATAATGAACTTACACAGCCACAGGCAACAAGCTATACTAACAACCTGGCGGGTGATGTACACACAGGAGAGGTAAACTAGTGCGCATGCGCACTTCCTCAGGTACGGTGTTTTGTAGTGTCCATATAGAACGCAAACATAATCATTCACCAGAATGATCTACAGTTATGTTTATTAAGATTTCCTTATTTTTGTGTTTCTGTGTGTTGCATAAAACATTGAAGACATCTTATAATTTTGTACCCAAGTCCACTCGGTAAATCCATGATAAACTTGTTGTGATCCTCCATCTCCCTGCCTTGGAAGAGATGCTCCTCCATCTTTGTGGCTGGCTTGTCTCCCGGTGATGTTGGAGTACCAATCCTCAGGTCACATCTCCCGTCAACCAAGCATCTCTGCTTCACCAGTATCATACACAGCTGCTGCCACCCGGCACAGCAGATGGCGCTCTCTAAGAAGGGCACAAAAGAGGATGCAAGGAAGTCAGCAGTGTATCTGGTATATTTGGGGACTTTGTGTTAGTGTACTGGTATTCACTTTCTTCCTCACCTCAGGCCCCTGTACCCATGTTAGATCCAGTGAAGGTTTGGTGTTTTCTCCACTGTACTCACATTTCACTGCCGAGATAATCCATCCACCTCACAGGTGTGGCATATCAAGATGCTGATCAGACATTATGGGTATCGCACAGGCATGCCTTAGGCTGGCCACAATAAAAGGCCAGTCGAAAATGTGCAGTTTCACTGTATTGGGAGGGGTGCTCACTAACAGAGTTTGACAGATTTGTGAACAATATTTTTGAGAAATAGGCCTTTTGTGTACATAGAGAAAATCTTAGATCTTTGAGTTCAGCTCATGATGAATGGGGGCAAAAACAAAAGTGTTGTGTTTATAATTTTGTTCACTGTATATTTCCCAAAATATAATATCAATTATATTTATTATTAATACACACGGTAATGCACTCACCTCAATGCCTCACACTTGCTGGTGTTGTCAGTAACCTTGGAGATAAAATAGCTGTCTACAGCATACCTGACATGGCGGCTGGCTGACTGGTTTTAACACCCACAAATATTATGACACACAGTTATAATATACTCTATAATATTGTCGAAGTGCTGACTGCACATTCCCTCAACCTGGTCTGCAGAAAAGAAGATATTGGTATCTAATGTATTTTATGTAAAACAACAAATACCGATGTCAGACACCCACTTTTTCATACAGTGACAAAAGTTAATCTGGGTCAGAATCCTCCTCTCCTCTACTTATTAGACTTATCAAAACACTGATAATAAAATCGTACACCTATAATAACCCGATATGTGGGTTCATAATAAGCTCACCCCTCCTACCACGCTGACTCTTGACCTCAAGGTAACTGACATTACCCAGGTGGAACCAATGCCAGATGATTACAGAACAATCAAGTTGCCAACCAGCTGCACCTGCCGGCAGAAAACGTTACAACATAAATAGCTTACCTGCGGCAAAGCACCATCTTTCAGTTTGAAACATTTTCACGAGTCACTGCGGAACCATGGGGAAAGGGAAAAGGGCTACTGTCTATTGGGCAGCGGTTGTTATTCTGGTGTGTTATTTGGTACACATGATAGACTGCTATCGACTGAAAAAAACACAAAGACAACACGGACAAAAAAAAGCCGATGCAGCTAAAACGGTAGCTGTCCAAGAAGGGAAGATTGTGTTTGGGAGAGTTTTTAAAAACGGGTCAGCCATTGGCTCACGAGTCCTAAAGGCAGATGCTTCCATGGAGGGTGGAGCTGTGTATCAAGCTGACTCTGCAGGTAAAAAAACCTGCAGTCTTTAACCTATATTGAACTGTATTTATGAACTGCACAACAAATTGTAATAGGCCTACATTCACTAGAAGGTTCCCTGTCAGGCTGGCCTAAAGGACAAAGCCCAGATCTCGGTTTCAGAGAAGCAGCATGGAGGCGCATGGCAGCTTCTCTACAATGTGGTGGGGATCAGTTGAAGTTCAGAGCAGTGGGACCAGGAGTATCACAGTTTACAGTGGATCAAGGTAATTAAAGTTTATTATATAATGTCTCAACTGTAGGTATTCCCACAACTGACTTCAGTCACATTGATCTGCATGCCCCCCCTCCCACACACAGGAACAGCACCTCCAATGCTTCTGTCCCAGGTGCCTTCCAGTTGTGGCTACAGCATGCAGAGGAACTCCCTTGCACTTGTTATGTTGGTTCCTTATGATGGCTGCAATGTGGTTAAAGAGGTAGGCCTAATGTTTATGGAAATGCAAGATATTGCTGCATGGTGGGAAGGTGGAAAATCTGAGCAATTGACCAAGAGCTTAAATGATGTGTAGAAACCAGCAGCTGTTTTGATAAATGCTCTAATCATTAGTCGGGCAAGCTCAATTGTAGGCCTACTGTAGAACTTGTGTGTTTGGTTGGACAAATGGGCATTTCAATTTTAATGGCAATTTTGAGCATTTTCTCAAAGGCTAATTGATTAGAGCAGATCTGTAGATAACTTTGTGAATTTTCAAAACTACATTACAAAGTGCTATAGAAACATAAGGGCCATATTTAAATAAAGGTCATTTAAAAGTCAACAAGACTTTGAAACATTAGTAGAGCCCTGTCGGAGGATCTCGTGCATCAGCCTGGCTTGTAGGAGTTCAGGGCTTGAAGAATAAAATTCTGAAACTCACAGATAACTATTGAATGGCGGCAAGGATTGCTAATCAATTAACTGCATTCATGTAGCCTGTACTAAGCAAGTTCACTGTACAATGAGATCACTTCATTATCTGGCTTCACTAATGTTAACAAGTGATCACGCTAAGCGGTCACACAACTCTAGTTATCAACCCAGGGAAAGGGTGTAGAATTAGGAGGGATGTCGGTTTCTCACAGACTTAAAGAAATTGTATGCTTTAAAACTTTGGTGTGCACATTAAGCTTAATATGAAGTTAGGTTATACTGCCTGTGTGACTACAATGCAAATGAAATTCAAAGCGGAAAGGCTTGCTTTATATCAAATACACTAGTGCTTCAGTTTGGGTAGGCTTGTATCACACACAGCATGCATGGAGCAGTCTGCAGGATCTTCTGCAAATAGTGACACGCTTCTCAGACTTGATGGTCAGGTTTTTTTTTATAGCCTTGCTCTTATCTCAACATAACCTGCTCCAGAGCAGGTTGCTCACTACCCTCAAACCCTGCTTTGTTAGTGTAACTTTGGGTTTATGTAATCTAATTCACACTTGTCTTCTCTTCCCCAAGGGTGGAAGTTACGTGCTCCCAATGCATTGGCAGGGTGTTCCAGTCTCACTCTGGTGTCCCACAACTGCTACACCACAACCTGTACCCACCTACACTCCATCAAACCCTGAGACGCTCCAGACAACCACAGAGAAACCAGTAACGGCCCAATCTCCACCATACCCCGCTTTCTTCCCTCCTTTTTACCCCTTTCCTCCTGCTCCGCCAACCACCACAGCAGCGCCGACTACAACCACGCCTGCAAACCCAACATGGCCTCAATATCCACAATATGTAAAATACCCCCCTCTCGTCCCTCCTTTTTACCCCTTTCCTCCTGCTCCGCCAACCACCACAGCAGCGCCGACTACAACCACACCTGCAAACCCAACATGGCCTCAATATGTAAAATACCCCCCTCTCTTCCCTCCTTTTTACCCTTTTCCTCCTGCTCCAACCACCACAGCAGCACCAACTACCACCACTGCAAAACCAGCATGGCATCAATTTCCACAATACGCAAAATACCCCTTGTTCTTCCCTCACCCCCCTCCCAACCGCAACTCCTGCACAAACTACAACTGCTAACCCAGCATGGCCTCAATTTCCACAGCACCCCCTAAAATAAGTTTCCACCATATGGCACTTTCACCTATATTCTCTTTTCCCTCCCAATATCCAACCCCTAACCCGCAGATGACTACCACAACAGGCCCCACTTAATGTCTAGCCTACTGAAACTCTCCTAATAAATGGTATGGAAGGAAAAAAAGTAGCCCCGTCCAGTTCTTTTGTATTCACGCTGGTGCTGTTGAGTCCAGGCTTATCAAGAAGTGGTGCTGGAGGTGTTTGGGCAAGGTGAACAGTCAGCTATTCATATCAAAGATTTGTCTTGGACACTACTATGGAAGATTTTATTGTTTGTAACCCACAACAATCCACATTTGTACTGATGTGCAAATATTCACTATCTACAAATATGTATTTACATTTGTGATGTGACATTTTATCCACAAGTGACTTCCTACACATTTGTGGAATTTTATCCACTCTGTACCACAGATCTGTATGCATGAGCAGTTTATTAGCTACACCAGCAGGTGGCAGTAGACATTGCCTCATGAGTTGTAAGAATGTCCATTGCAGTACCCAGGGTCATCTGTAAGAGACAGCTTCTGCTAGACCACTGGACTCTTCAGTCTAAATTTTTGTGTAGGTTACTATGGAGTACTTTATCACTGTTCTATTTAAATAGACTACACTTGAACCTACTGGTTGTAGGAGTTATTGTAAACCCTATCTATAAGGTTACAGTCCTCAAAGTACAGTCAATGTGTTTTTATTGAGCTTTTGCATGACTTGAGGCTCATGAGTAGGGTTTACATGACTCCTCAATACTGGATCTATCTTGGGGTGCCATTTGCAACCAATGCAAGACTGACATTACTGGGGGACCTCTTAAACATGAGGGGCAATATTCACTATCAGCCTAGCCCTATTGCAGCTAATGAATAGCCATTTGCTCAACCACCAGGGGTCCTTAAGGGGAATGATAAATTTACTATTTAAAATCATTTCCACCATAAGTAACACAATGATAGAACATGACTATTTGGGTCATAGGTTTCATACACTTTCTGTAATGCATCTAAAAGCAAAAATCCTATCTGATAAGCATGTCTGGGGCAATCTTATCAAATGCATATCTGTGGACTAATTTGTGTGAGTTGTGAAATTTGAATACCACTCAAGATTTGAGTAAACCACAAAGACAATGTAAGGCATGAGAATAAATATACTGTGTACCTAATGCTACGGTCTTGGTTTATTAACACTTTGTACTGATTGTGTATTACACTTTTTTTTTTTTTTCTTGTGATAAAGAAATGGAAATAAAATATTATTTTTAATCATTTCACATCAAAAGGTGTTATAACTGAATTGAAATGCAGTATTCCTGATTGGGCTTTATAGAACTTCTCTGCTTTTCAAATACTTTTACAAAGCTTTCTTTCACAGCTCTGACAGGAAGGTGTAAAATATTACTACAAACACAATTTTCAGGCTCATTTATTTAAATATAAAACAAATACAGTGATAAAGTATTCAATAGTAAACTATATACACTTGCACAGAAAAATTTAGACTGAATAGAGTCCAGTGGTCCAGCAGAAGTTGTCTCCTACAGATGACCCTGGGTACTGCAATGGAGATTCTTACAACTCATGAGAGGCAATGTCGCTACTGCCACCTGCTGGTGTAGCTAATAAACTGCTCTCACACGTACAGATCTCTGTTGACAGATTTCTGTGGTACAGAGTGGACAAAATTCCACAAATGTAACGTGACCTGCAAATTGACAGGAAATGATCTGCAAATGTGCTAAAACTGTTTTGTGTGTAAAAATAGATCTACAAATGCGTAAATAACACTTTGTATGTGAAATTAAAATATGTGAATGTAGAGTAAATTGTACATATTTGCAAATTGCACTGTATTTTAGTGGATATGATTTTACACAACACAAATGTAAAAATACATGTTTTGGGTAGTGAGATATTTGTGTATATTTTTTTTTACAGATCTTCGCAGTACACATTGGACAAAATTCCACAAATGTGTAAAAAGGAAGTTTACACATTGGCAGTTTCACTGCCTCTGCCACCGGAAATGATGGATTGTCTTGTTATATCTCTCATAGTTTGATATAGTGCATCCAAATACAGAATGGCTCTAGTAAACCAAGAAATATGACCAGTATTACCTTCCATCTGAACTTGTTCACTCCTAAAGGGATGTTGGAGCAGACATCACAGCCGGAGGTCGCCATGGCAAATGAAGCAGCATGGAGGCACTTGAATCCTTCCCTGCATTGTGGTCACAACAAGATGAAGTTGAAAGCCACTGGACCCAACACTGCAGGGGGACTGCAGATGTAAATTAGCCTAAGGCTAACTCTGGTGTAATGCATCAAATGTTTACATTTATGTTATTAATTGCACATGGTCCCTTCTAAATAAAAATCAATCAATCAATCAATCAATCAATTAAACTGCTGACTTGCAGCCAGACACGGGTATTGCAACAAAACAAAGCTTCTAAAATGTCAGTTTGTTAAAGCATCACCGTTATGACTACCAAGCCATTTACAGAGAAACCCCCTCAAATCATGCCTCATGCATATCTATTTGTTATGCCAGGGCTGCTTTTAGAAAGGCTAACAATGCTAACCCTGAAAGAATGAACCCTGAGCATGTTATTGGCTGTGGACCATCAAATTGCACAATTACTTTTAGCAGTAAATGCAATTAAAGGACTGATCATCTACTAAGGTGGTAAAATACACAGTCCTAATTCTACATGCTGATATTCTGCTTGTTGCCTCATTCTGTGCTTAATGATCTCTCACCCAGGTACTGCTCGCGTACCCAAGGCTCATTTTGCTGCTCCAGAGAACTTGCCAACTGAACTGAACCTGACAGCCCGGAGATGGGAGCAACCTTATGAAAAAAAGAAACCATGGAATAAATTTAAGTTGGATTACAAAAAATAGTCATACTTTTTCCAAATTTTTACTGTTTCTAAATACTCGTCTAGTTATTTTCTGTGAAACCCCCACACTCATACAGCGTGCGCACACACCCCACACTGTCTGTTCCTATATACTTCCACATGGTGCTCTCTCCTCTGGGCACCCTGTGATGACACACACATACACATCTACGCACATCACAGAAACTAAGCCATACGTGACAACAGCGAGACATGTAATGCTGGTCTTTGAAAGCAAGTATGCACGTCTGTATTTTTTCCTTTTCATTTACCACAATTCTTCATTGTTAGGTGACTGGAATTTTGGAGCTCAGTTAGAAGAAGAAAAACTCTGCAGAGGACCAAGAAATCTTGAAATCCATCCTTTAACGGTCCATCTTCAGTCCATCTGTGGCTATATTTCCAAACCAAGGCCTGTGTGCCTCCCCAAGCCCTGACATTTGCTCCACCCACTCCAGATGTTAAATTGTGAGTGGATACAAGGCCTGAGCAGAGCCAGGGAACACAGTGAGAATTTTACTTCTGTAGACATTGTGCCTCATCCTGTGGACATACAAGATTAAACAAGGTCAAGGATGTTCCATGGTCTTGTTGTGTTTACATGTGTATTAAATGGGCACTCCACCAAGATTATACATCAAAGTCAGAAGTTCTACTCCGCCTGTAAAAACACTTGTATGTCTTCTGTGTTTGTCATGACATGATAAACATAATTAAAGCTGTCAATGTGTGTGTGTTACTCACATGTATCTGCTACAGGTAGTTGGATTGAGTAATCCTCATAGATGATCCATTCTGATTGTTTATTGATAAAGGATACATATTACATCACTCTTGACTTTAATGCTGTAAAGTCATTATAGAAATGAGTGAGGAGTCCGTAGATTGAATCCAAGCCAGATGTGTTTATTACATAAACTTCTGTTGAGTATAATGAACTTACACAGCCACAGGCAACAAGCTATACTAACAACCTGGCGGGTGATGTACACACAGGAGAGGTAAACTAGTGCGCATGCGCACTTCCTCAGGTACGGTGTTTTGTAGTGTCCATATAGAACGCAAACATAATCATTCACCAGAATGATCTACAGTTATGTTTATTAAGATTTCCTTATTTTTGTGTTTCTGTGTGTTGCATAAAACATTGAAGACATCTTATAATTTTGTACCCAAGTCCACTCGGTAAATCCATGATAAACTTGTTGTGATCCTCCATCTCCCTGCCTTGGAAGAGATGCTCCTCCATCTTTGTGGCTGGCTTGTCTCCCGGTGATGTTGGAGTACCAATCCTCAGGTCACATCTCCCGTCAACCAAGCATCTCTGCTTCACCAGTATCATACACAGCTGCTGCCACCCGGCACAGCAGATGGCGCTCTCTAAGAAGGGCACAAAAGAGGATGCAAGGAAGTCAGCAGTGTATCTGGTATATTTGGGGACTTTGTGTTAGTGTACTGGTATTCACTTTCTTCCTCACCTCAGGCCCCTGTACCCATGTTAGATCCAGTGAAGGTTTGGTGTTTTCTCCACTGTACTCACATTTCACTGCCGAGATAATCCATCCACCTCACAGGTGTGGCATATCAAGATGCTGATCAGACATTATGGGTATCGCACAGGCATGCCTTAGGCTGGCCACAATAAAAGGCCAGTCGAAAATGTGCAGTTTCACTGTATTGGGAGGGGTGCTCACTAACAGAGTTTGACAGATTTGTGAACAATATTTTTGAGAAATAGGCCTTTTGTGTACATAGAGAAAATCTTAGATCTTTGAGTTCAGCTCATGATGAATGGGGGCAAAAACAAAAGTGTTGTGTTTATAATTTTGTTCACTGTATATTTCCCAAAATATAATATCAATTATATTTATTATTAATACACACGGTAATGCACTCACCTCAATGCCTCACACTTGCTGGTGTTGTCAGTAACCTTGGAGATAAAATAGCTGTCTACAGCATACCTGACATGGCGGCTGGCTGACTGGTTTTAACACCCACAAATATTATGACACACAGTTATAATATACTCTATAATATTGTCGAAGTGCTGACTGCACATTCCCTCAACCTGGTCTGCAGAAAAGAAGATATTGGTATCTAATGTATTTTATGTAAAACAACAAATACCGATGTCAGACACCCACTTTTTCATACAGTGACAAAAGTTAATCTGGGTCAGAATCCTCCTCTCCTCTACTTATTAGACTTATCAAAACACTGATAATAAAATCGTACACCTATAATAACCCGATATGTGGGTTCATAATAAGCTCACCCCTCCTACCACGCTGACTCTTGACCTCAAGGTAACTGACATTACCCAGGTGGAACCAATGCCAGATGATTACAGAACAATCAAGTTGCCAACCAGCTGCACCTGCCGGCAGAAAACGTTACAACATAAATAGCTTACCTGCGGCAAAGCACCATCTTTCAGTTTGAAACATTTTCACGAGTCACTGCGGAACCATGGGGAAAGGGAAAAGGGCTACTGTCTATTGGGCAGCGGTTGTTATTCTGGTGTGTTATTTGGTACACATGATAGACTGCTATCGACTGAAAAAAACACAAAGACAACACGGACAAAAAAAAGCCGATGCAGCTAAAACGGTAGCTGTCCAAGAAGGGAAGATTGTGTTTGGGAGAGTTTTTAAAAACGGGTCAGCCATTGGCTCACGAGTCCTAAAGGCAGATGCTTCCATGGAGGGTGGAGCTGTGTATCAAGCTGACTCTGCAGGTAAAAAAACCTGCAGTCTTTAACCTATATTGAACTGTATTTATGAACTGCACAACAAATTGTAATAGGCCTACATTCACTAGAAGGTTCCCTGTCAGGCTGGCCTAAAGGACAAAGCCCAGATCTCGGTTTCAGAGAAGCAGCATGGAGGCGCATGGCAGCTTCTCTACAATGTGGTGGGGATCAGTTGAAGTTCAGAGCAGTGGGACCAGGAGTATCACAGTTTACAGTGGATCAAGGTAATTAAAGTTTATTATATAATGTCTCAACTGTAGGTATTCCCACAACTGACTTCAGTCACATTGATCTGCATGCCCCCCCTCCCACACACAGGAACAGCACCTCCAATGCTTCTGTCCCAGGTGCCTTCCAGTTGTGGCTACAGCATGCAGAGGAACTCCCTTGCACTTGTTATGTTGGTTCCTTATGATGGCTGCAATGTGGTTAAAGAGGTAGGCCTAATGTTTATGGAAATGCAAGATATTGCTGCATGGTGGGAAGGTGGAAAATCTGAGCAATTGACCAAGAGCTTAAATGATGTGTAGAAACCAGCAGCTGTTTTGATAAATGCTCTAATCATTAGTCGGGCAAGCTCAATTGTAGGCCTACTGTAGAACTTGTGTGTTTGGTTGGACAAATGGGCATTTCAATTTTAATGGCAATTTTGAGCATTTTCTCAAAGGCTAATTGATTAGAGCAGATCTGTAGATAACTTTGTGAATTTTCAAAACTACATTACAAAGTGCTATAGAAACATAAGGGCCATATTTAAATAAAGGTCATTTAAAAGTCAACAAGACTTTGAAACATTAGTAGAGCCCTGTCGGAGGATCTCGTGCATCAGCCTGGCTTGTAGGAGTTCAGGGCTTGAAGAATAAAATTCTGAAACTCACAGATAACTATTGAATGGCGGCAAGGATTGCTAATCAATTAACTGCATTCATGTAGCCTGTACTAAGCAAGTTCACTGTCTGGCTTCACTAATGTTAACAAGTGATCACGCTAAGCGGTCACACAACTCTAGTTATCAACCCAGGGAAAGGGTGTAGAATTAGGAGGGATGTCGGTTTCTCACAGACTTAAAGAAATTGTATGCTTTAAAACTTTGGTGTGCACATTAAGCTTAATATGAAGTTAGGTTATACTGCCTGTGTGACTACAATGCAAATGAAATTCAAAGCGGAAAGGCTTGCTTTATATCAAATACACTAGTGCTTCAGTTTGGGTAGGATTGTATCACACACAGCATGCATGGAGCAGTCTGCAGGATCTTCTGCAAATAGTGACACGCTTCTCAGACTTGATGGTCAGGTTTTTTTTTTATAGCCTTGCTCTTATCTCAACATAACCTGCTCCAGAGCAGGTTGCTCACTACCCTCAAACCCTGCTTTGTTAGTGTAACTTTGGGTTTATGTAATCTAATTCACACTTGTCTTCTCTTCCCCAAGGGTGGAAGTTACGTGCTCCCAATGCATTGGCAGGGTGTTCCAGTCTCACTCTGGTGTCCCACAACTGCTACACCACAACCTGTACCCACCTACACTCCATCAAACCCTGAGACGCTCCAGACAACCACAGAGAAACCAGTAACGGCCCAATCTCCACCATACCCCGCTTTCTTCCCTCCTTTTTACCCCTTTCCTCCTGCTCCGCCAACCACCACAGCAGCGCCGACTACAACCACGCCTGCAAATCCAACATGGCCTCAATATGTAAAATACCCCCCTCTCTTCCCTCCTTTTTACCCCTTTCCTCCTGCTCCGCCAACCACCACAGCAGCGCCGACTACAACCACACCTGCAAATCCAACATGGCCTCAATATGTAAAATACCCCCCTCTCTTCCCTCCTTTTTACCCTTTCCTCCTGCTCCGCCAACCACCACAGCAGCGCCGACTACAACCACGCCTGCAAACCCAACATGGCCTCAATATCCACAATATGTAAAATACCCCCTCTCGTCCCTCCTTTTTACCCCTTTCCTCCTGCTCCGCCAACCACCACAGCAGCGCCGACTACAACCACGCCTGCAAATCCAACATGGCCTCAATATGTAAAATACCCCCCTCTCTTCCCTCCTTTTTACCCTTTTCCTCCTGCTCCGCCAACCACCACAGCAGCGCCGACTACAACCACGCCTGCAAACCCAACATGGCCCACAATATGTAAAATACCCCCCTCTCGTCCCTCCTTTTTACCCCTTTCCTCCTGCTCCGCCAACCACCACAGCAGCGCCGACTACAACCACGCCTGCAAATCCAACATGGCCTCAATATGTAAAATACCCCCCTCTCGTCCCTCCTTTTTACCCCTTTCCTCCTGCTCCGCCAACCACCACAGCAGCGCCGACTACAACCACACCTGCAAACCCAACATGGCCTCAATATGTAAAATACCCCCCTCTCTTCCCTCCTTTTTACCCTTTTCCTCCTGCTCCAACCACCACAGCAGCACCAACTACCACCACTGCAAAACCAGCATGGCATCAATTTCCACAATACGCAAAATACCCCTTGTTCTTCCCTCCCCCCTCCCAACCGCAACTCCTGCACAAACTACAACTGCTAACCCAGCATGGCCTCAATTTCCACAGCACCCCCTAAAATAAGTTTCCACCATATGGCACTTTCACCTATATTCTCTTTTCCCTCCCAATATCCAACCCCTAACCCGCAGATGACTACCACAACAGGCCCCACTTAATGTCTAGCCTACTGAAACTCTTCTAATAAATGGTATGGAAGGAAAAAAAGTAGCCCCGTCCAGTTCTTTTGTATTCACGCTGGTGCTGTTGAGTCCAGGCTTATCAAGAAGTGGTGCTGGAGGTGTTTGGGCAAGGTGAACAGTCAGCTATTCATATCAAAGATTTGTCTTGGACACTACCAGAATTTCCTGTGACTGAAGGGTTCACTTTTCCAGTGACTGTTGCTACACTCCCCCACAAGTCTCAAATGCTGATGCTTCTGTGCACCGGTGCTCACTGGTTTCTCTATGAAAATTTTACAGGCTTCAGTGATGGGATCACAGCTTAGTTTAACACAAATGGAAGCATTACACCATATCATTTCAGTGAAGAAATGACTGATTTGAGTTCAACTGCAACTTACTTTAAAAGTTACTAGCAGCAACAGGGGGAAAACATTGGCAAGCTTAAACATTTTGTGGTCAGATCAAAGAATGTGGGTCCAAATCAAAACCAGATAACATCCAGAGGTCATCTGTATACATGAAATGTTTGGTCAGTCTGGTTGGGGACCTTAGTTGCGTGTCCATCCTGTTTGATGGACTGAAATCTTAAAAGTGAAACTCAGCATAGATTTAAGTGTGTGGAAGTTCACTTTGGATTAATGGCAAATATTTAGCTGGGTGAAGCAGTGGTCATTCTACATTAAACTGACTTGCAGTGGAATAGATACCATAACTTTATGTACTTAACTATGAGGGATGGAAAATGGTAATTGCCTTTACTGCTGAGAAGCAATTGTGCAGTTTCATAGAACAGTGTTTGTGTAGCCTTTTTTGGGCAGGGGGTGGGGGGCAGCAGACCCAGTTGCAACATCCATGAAGGGGTATTTGCAGCAGAGCAACACTGTGCAGGCTTCCTTCTTTCAGGGTTAGACTTGGCACAAACTAGCTATGACACTTGCAATATACAACCTGAGATGTCAGTTCTTTTGTAAATTAAGGTAAATTGTCATTAGCGATCAGTTTCCCCATTAGTGAATTCGGACCACTGAGCCTTTTGCCAAGGATGGGTTATTCAAGCCAGTTCATACAGTATTCTCCTGCAGCTGCAATTGATGCAGAACAGTCACTTGCTAAATGTTGCTTGATAGAAAATATCAGACACTGGCCCTTTCAAGAGTTCCATTAAAGGATTGATCATCTACTAAGGTGGTGAAATACACAATCCTAATTCTACATGCTGATATTCTGCGCTTGATTATCTCTCACCCAGGTACTGCTCGCGTACCCGAGGCTCATTTTACTGCTCCAGTAAAACTGCCAACTGAACCTGACAGACTGGAGATTGGAGCAACCTCTTGAAAAGAAACCATGGAATAAATTTAAGTTGGATTACAAAAAATAGCCATACTTTTTCCAAATTGTTACTGTCTCTAAATACTCGTTATTTTCTGTGAAACCCCCTCACTCCTATATACACTCACACAGCGTGCGTGCACACACCCCATTCTGTCGGTTCCTATATACTTCCACATGGTGCTCTCTCCTCTGGGCACCCTGTGACGACACACATACACATCTACACACATCACTGAAACTAAGCCACACGTGACAACCGTGAGACACGTAGTGCTGGTCTTTGACATCAAGGATGCACGTTTGTATTTTCATTCACCACAATTTTTGATTGTTAGGCGACTGGAATTATGGAGCTCAGAAGAAGAAAAACTTAGCAGAGGACCAAGAAATCCTGAAATCCATCCTTTAACGGTCTGTTCAGCATGGGAGAAGCAGTTGTCCTTTTATGCAACACTGTGCTTATCTTTGTTTTGATATAATTGCTTTTTTTTTTATGGTTTGCACTCTACAATGGAGGTGAGTCCTACAGCATGTGCTATATACGATTTGGCTTTTCATTTTAGCCGTAGTTACAATTTAGGATTGAAGGACAATGCATATGTGCTTCAGTAAGTTTGTCATTATGGATGTTATTTTGTGACTTCTGTTCATGCAGACTAAATGAGATCAGAGACTGAAAGATCATTGAATAGGAACATGGCATCTACACAGGAAATATGACAACGAAATATACTGTAGCTATTACTTCATGTTTGAGCCCATTCTGCAATTGTTGCAATCTATTATATCTGAAAGCCGGAACATTAAGATACGATGTACATGAAAGATATTGATAGCCTGAATTTAAGTGATTGATTTCAGTCTGGGAACTTTGACCCACCTCTGAAAATCTTCAATCCATCTGTGGCCATATTTTCAAACCAAGGCAAACAGTCCCTCCCCCAGCCCTGACATTTGCTCCACCCACTCCATACAGTTTGTCTTTATGGAGGACTATGATGTGGACATGTATGTGGAAGAAGAGAGAGAGGTATTCATGAGACAGGCCACAATGGGCCATTGGTGGGAGGACTGCGGAGATGATGGCAACTGTGACATTCAACAACAGAAAGCGGGAAGAGGCTGCATGGTAAACAGCCGCAGCTGGGCCGAAGAGCTCCAGGATATCTTTACACCACAGGCAGAAGACTGTCACACTGGAGGGCGAACCAGACTTGCCAGCATCTCTGTGAGTGATTGACTTTCTCTTTATGTCTGGGCCACAAAAGCACTGAATTACCATTTGCTCTGACAAATTCCATTACATCTCCCAGGCACAAGAAAACAGAGCGAGACAGGATAAGAAAGGGATTCAGCACAAATCCAGGTTTCTACAAATAACATACATAGAAAAACACTAACAAACTCAATTAAAACCTGAGGCTATGCCTATCCAGTTTCTATATGTGTGTAGATTCAGCATATGATTATAATGGTGTAGGCTATACGTTGCCCTTAGAGAACTGCGAAAAAGGCTGAGGATATCTGGCATCTGATGCTGATGAAGGAGGAAAGATGACTCAAAAATGTTGTGCTGTTTAATCAGCCCACTGCTGCATTGTAACACAGCATTGTGGGAACTAACTGTGGGTATGTGTGTGCTTCCTTGAGTGTGTGTTTGCGTTTCTCTTCACACACGTGGCCACGTACACCCTGTGCTTCCTTGTCTCTCTTACGGCTCATCACACTTGAATCTGTGATGTGGAACGGGTCTGGAGGAGGATCCTTGAGGAGACTAAACAAACAGAGAATGTGCAATTAGAAATTCACTGCACTACTTTGGGCCAACAAGCAGATGCAGATGCCATGTCAGTGTTGTTGCTTAAAATGTATTAGAGGAGCATATTATTGATCAGCAGTGGCCTATTTAATGGTTTTGTTTTCCAGGGTTGCAATCTCATTTATCAGATATGTTTAGCCAGGCCTTCAGCCCACCGTGTCGCTCACCTTGCCATGCAACCAATAATTTGCCCTTATTTCTGTAAATCTATAAGGTCTTTCTCATCTTATCAGGATACAGATTTCCAGCAGCTGTTATTTGTTCTTTTCCTCCCATTAAAAGAAAGACAAAGAGGAGTAGCCAGGAGAAAGAAAGCAAGTGAGGAAGATGGAGGAAAAGATAACGGATCAGAAGAGCAGTGGCAGCACTTAGCAGCTCTGTCTCTCCCCTCCCTCCTGCATTTCTCTCTTCTCCTCTGCTTCCGCCTCTTCCCACTCTTTCCTCTCCTGCTCCCACATCCCCCCCTCCTCTCTCTGCTACCTCCCTCCCTCCATCCCCTCACTGCTCTCTCCCTCCTTCGCTCTCTTGCACAGAGCTGCAGTATATGAGAGGGTCTCCTGGGTCTAGCTTCGCTGCAGTGTAGAGAAGGGCAGGGCGGCTGTTTTAGTACGATGCGCTGAAGGATGGTGCACCAAGAGAAACGCGTTTACCAGGTGTGTGGATTTTGTGTTTGTTGCTTTAGTGATTCTGAGGGTGCAGCATATGTAGCCTAATGTTTACAGGTATACGTGATAGGTATCCATCATGGATGCGCTGGCGTAGATGAATCAGCCATAATGGATGAGTGGATACTTGATTGTGAGGTGGCGTGGGTGTGTTCTCATATGTGATCCTTACCTGTTTATCTCTATGTTTGCTAGACTAATCTGCTCAGTAAAATTTGAAATAATTTCATCTTTCATGTGATGGATGTGGGTGTAATCATATGACATGCTATGCTGTTTTCATAAATTAAATCTTTCTACGTCGACTATAAATATACTATGGGGTGCTTTTGCTATATAACATACTTTCTTACAGGATGGCAAAAATAAGTTGTGTGTGAATCTATGTGTGTGTATGTCTGCTGGTAAGGAGGACATCCGGCTGTCTGAAGTGGATGAGCAGGAGACAGAGCATTGGTTGGGAGAGTGAAGGCGATCAACTGTGATTTATGCTCTTACATCACAGTCTTATCTAATGACGCGTCACAGAAAAAGAGAGAGGGTGTTAGTGTTGAGCCGGTTTTGAGGTTATTTAGAGAGAGAACGTTGACAAATAAGAGAAACATACCTAATTTTGGAAGTGTTTTTAGTTATGTATGTATGGCACACACATACACAATAGTAAATCATGTCTCAAATATTTCGTTCAGTATTTCGAGAGAAAGAAATTTGAGAATTAAAGACTTTGATCTGTGTAACAGAAACCCAGGCAGCTCAAGTGACCTAAAAATGTAGTTTACAAAAAGAAATGAGATCTAAGGGCAGCTAGAGAGTGGAAGTGGAAGATAAAGAGAAAATTATAAACGGTTCAGGGTATGACATACACAGAAGAATACAAAAGGGGACAAAATGAAATCAGGACAATGAAAATAGATGCTGAGAAAGTAAGTAAAAGAAAATTTCTGGTCTAAAAGAGAAACAGGAGGGGAGCAGAGATTATACCTGTCAAAAGAGATTAGTCATGTACACGAAGTTGCCAATCAGAGGGCAGAATGACGTGGCATTGTTATCCATTTTACTGTAGATATTGGCCGCTGTCTTGATGATGGCCTTTGAATGGGCAATTCAGCAAAGGAAAACCTTTATTGATGACTTACAGCTAATATAGTTGTTGAAAATGATTACTACAGACCTTAAATACTTGATTGCTGTAATTGGTTGAAAGAAGATTAGTGTAATGTACTTCCTTGTAGACAAATGCTTTAAAACAGTATGGATACTTTTTTCCTTTTTACATCTGGTGTGGGGACCTTGAATGTAAACTTAAAAAAAAAAAAAAAAATGTGGATAGAAGCTGCTAGATTCACTCATCCATCCATTTACTATACCAGTTCGTCCTTATGGGTGCTGTAGTCTATCCCTGGATGCAACTCATAGACAGACAAATGCATGCATACTAACATATTCATAGCTGCAAGCAAATTTGAGCAAGTTTCCATTTCACCTGATTTGCATGTCTCTGAACTGTGGGAGAAAATCAGACCACCTGAATCTGCCAGATGTCCCTTTTTAATCAGGTTGCCAATTCAGTCCAGCTTTTATTGTAGTGCTTATATGTCAAGAGGAACAGGATATTCTGTTCTCAGTGTATGGTGGGCTGCAGAATCTTACACCTACTATTTAAACTTGATATTTTTGGGTTAGCTGATTATTTAGAGGCAGAACAGGAAATTAGAGGAAGAGTAATATGTAAGGTGTGATGTCAAGAGAAGGCCTTATAAATGTGTTGGCTAAGCTTTAATAGAGTAGTTAACATATTTATACAACTATAATGACAGTATATGTGAGCCCCCAGCTGTGTGAAAGGCAGGAAATTGGATTGCATGACTTTGCTGCATTCGTTCAATCTACCTTTCTATTCTTAATCCATATTTGTCCCTCCTCCGAGGTTTCTTCTTTTTTTTTTATTTCAGCCTCCTCCTCCTCTAAACCAGAAAGTGCTGTATCATTTGGTACAACAGTTTTATTAATAGCTTGAATTTAAAGAGCAAACTGCACACCCAGCTTAGATTTTTCTTCCTGAGTATGTCACACTTGGTCAATGAAGCAGCAGCAGCACTTTTATTAATATTCTTTATTTTCATGTATTTTTCTCTTTTCTCTGGCAGGCCCAGAGGAATGAGCGAGAGTCCATCAGGCAGAAACTGGCCCTTGGCAGTTTCTATGACGACGAGCCAGTCATCTACACCAGCTGCAGCAAGAACGGCCCATCCTCCCGGTGGGTTTGGACGGAGCGTGTGTTTGATCACTGTAGTATTTTGAAGGCTGGCATCAATATTTTTGTGTTGCACTCTTTAGAGCTTTATATGTTCTTGGATGGATGGCGGGGAAATAATACATAATATGCCCTAGATTAAATTAATTATTGATTCACAGAAAACCTTACCAATTATGTAAAGGCTTGATATAAAACACAACTGTAGATTTTGTAGGCTGTGTAAACAGGTAGTGTTGCCAATATAACCTGCTCATATAGACCACATGACTGACCAATATAAGGCATTTAATTATTTAACTGCCCATCATATTAGCAAATAAATGAATCAGTCTAGCCCGTTATTGTGTGTATATTCATGCAAAGTGTTAGTAGAAACAATGATAACATGTATCTCCAAATTTGGTCATTTTGAAATTATCAGATACATTTTCTGAACCTTCGTGGGTTGAGGACATTCTCTTACTTCTTAAACAAAGAAATAATTAAAAACCCATTGGATCATCTGAAAAACAGAGCTGTTTTTCATAGCTTTTGAAAAGTTGATATTTTTGGAGATACATACTTGAGCCAGAAGAGGGAGCTATTCAGTAGCTTACTTTATCTTTTCACTCAGAACTATAAACTAAAAACACACAAATCATAAATAAAAAGACTGGTTGGATTGTTGGCTTGTAGGTGTCAAGTGCAAATGACAGCGGGTCCATTGTGGAAGAAACAGTGAATCATGTGACAGTGCAGAATAGTGCAGTAACAGGGGTAAGTAAGTTGAATTATCCTGTTAGACAAACAGCGGAAGACAGTGAGTGACTCACATAACAGAAGTGCAGGCTGAAAATAAAAGGTTTCCCGGAAAGCCACAGTATACTGTTTACAGTCAGTCCAAGGGAATTGACATTGTACTAAACAATAACTATCAGGAGCAGAACAAAGAAGTATGTACAAGCATGGAAAGAGTAGGCACAGAGGAGGTGGTTAACCTCTGTTGCGTAATATGGTGCTGAGATGGAAACTCAGCAATGCCCGAGTTTCATGACTCAGACAAAATTTGAAGAAATTCTCACAGTGGGATATAGTTTAGATATGTGTGTAATGCCAAAATAAGATATTTCCCAATTGAAAACTCTGCCACCACCTGTTAGATAAAGCATTAAATGAAAACAGATTATAATGTTTTTCATATTATATCTCCAAATTATATCTTTAGTAATTATTACATCTTTACATGACAATTCTGCATTTTGCCTTAAAATGCGAGTGGATTAGTCTTCCATTGTTTTACTGTTTATATTTTTACTGCCCCTTTTAGTTTGTTAATGTAGTATCGTGATGTACACAAAAGTGCAATACAAAAAAAAATTACTTGTGTCTTTAATGTCTTAAAGTCTTCATTCCATAAAAATGAATGATACACAGTAGGTTTCACATATGAAATCAAACTAAGATATCATTTTCCCATGAAAGTGATATTTCATGTTTGTAATTGAGGTTTTGGACACCCAACAATGCATGCACACGTAGATGAAACAGGTGCATTACATCCGACACGAGATGGTTAACCAAAGCCACTGCAGCTACAACACAACTCTCCTTTCTTTCCATGACAGCTGTGACCTCCAGTAACTCTGTGGCACTTTGACTTTAACATTGGAGGGGCGTTTATATAACACAATGGGGCCGCCCCCCTCATGCTACTGCCGACTGTTTGAGGAACTGCAGTTCTATCTGTGGTCCAAATGTTGCTGAAAGAAGAAGTGAGGCTCGATATAAATCTGCAGCAGTGATTGGTGGACTTAAACATGTGACCTCCAAAGGAGGTAAAGGTGCACCCTCTGGGGTTTAGTTTGGGGTGGAAATTCCAGCACCACCCTGTCCAGTTCAAGAGATGTTGAAGTTATTGTTCTCATCCTAGTTTAGGGGGAGGTTATTTTGGGTTGTTAGGTTCTTTCAGAGTAACATGATCTGGAATTGAGTGAATGGTGTTTTGAGCTCTTGGAAAGGCTGAGGTTTGAACTGCAGTAGAGGTTCTGATGTCATGTTTGCGGCTTCGATTGTTTCATTGAAGCTTTCAATTGCTTTTCTTCCTACTTGATTAGGTGACACACTGTGACGTTACTGACATCAATAAACTTCCTGACCAAAAGTATGTGGACACCAAAATAATAATATTCCAAAACAATGTGCTATAACTGCCTCCACTCTTCTGTGAAGGCTTTCCACAAGATTTTGGAACCTGGCTGTAGGAATTTGCTCCCATTCAGCTACAAGAGCATTAGTGAGGATGGGTTGAGCACTGATGTTCAATGATAAGGCCCAGGATTGCAGTTGACATTCCAGTTCATCCCAGAAGATGCTGAGTAGGGATGAGGTCAAATCTCTGTTCACGAACTCATTTATGTTGAAAGGGGACAGGATCTTCCCCAAACTGTTGGCACACGTTTGGAAGCACACCATTGTCTTTATATACTGTAGCATTAAGATTTCCCTTAAAGGGATGGTTCAGGTTTTTTTGAAGTGAGTTGTATGAGGTACTTCTCCATAGTATTACTTGCAGTAAACGGGGAAGCAGAGCAATACAATGCTGTGGACAGGAGCACCAAAAGTCAAAAAATTGTTAGTCAAAAAACAAGGCCCACCTAAATAAATCTAAATCAGATTAAGTGTACACTTAAGATATTTTCATCCTATTTACCATTCCTTCAGACAGTCTTACCTAAACAAATCAGATGTTTGGATTAGAGTTACAGCAACATAGCCTGGGAAAAACACAAGCACGCAGCATCTTTTAAATCTTTAGAAATGTGAAGTTTGATTTCAGTTTGATCTCGCAACTTTCTGACCCAAACAGTGGATCCGCGGCGTAATACAGTGCGCAGTGCAGTTTGGCTTATGAGTAAAAATATGAGTTCTATGGTTAGTGCCAAAGAAGTATTTTTCTTTGGCACTAACCATAGAACTCTGATGGCGAGGTAAAGCCTGGAAAATACTTTTAATATAGGGTACACTTAAACTGATATTATTTTTTGTGTTGATAATATTCTTTATTTTAATAATCCCTTTTATTTTAAGAATATTCAGTGTGTTAGAAGTGTGTCAGTGTTTAAAAAGTCACCATTTGGACACTGCAGTGCTCCTCCTGCCTTTTGCTGTAAAAATAAAAATCCAGCTGATTCTCCATGGAATCTGGCACGTGATTTACAGTGCTGTATAGACAGCTACCAAACTTTTTCATGATTGTTTTGCTTTTTCATGGAAATTACAATAATCACCTCAATTAACTGTTTATAATTATTCATTTGTAGGATTCCGCAAATGCTTGAACCCTGGGTCCAAATATTTCCTGGCCTTTCCACTTCCCACTCCTTCATAATCTTGTTGAGGATACGTATAAAGACATAGATTCCTACCAAGTCCCCCATGTTGTGATTTCTTTCATTTAAATTGTGTTTGTGTTTTTTAGAGTAAACAAAATCAGTAAAAAAAAATTCCCTATTTTCTCCACAGGTTTCATTCTGAGTAGTAGATGTTTTCAGCATCTGTAACTAAAAATCAACATTTCCTCTCTCATATTCTTCACTTTTATGTTTTTCCTCTCAGTCTGCAGAGTGGGGTGAACTTGCAGGTGTGTTTTGTTAACGACAGCAGCAGTGACAAAGACAGTGATGCGGAGGACAGCAGGACAGAGACCAGTCTGGACACGCCGCTTTCACCTGTGGTATTTACAGCTTAGATAGTCTCTGTGTTTTTGCGTATGTGTTTCTCTCTCGTCCCACTTCTCCAATTACTCTTTTTAAAAACCACGTGTGAGAACCACATTGGCTTTGCATCATAATATTACTTACAATACCTCTTCTCCAGAGCAAGCAGAGCTCGTCATTATCGGACCGAGACACGGCGGAGGAGGACTCAGACCCATTAGATGACTGCGGCGGGTTCTGGCGGGTGCAGCGGAGGCTGCAGGAGGAGGCCCGGGTGGCGCTGGCTCTGGCTCGACCCATGGCCCGCATGCAAGTGGAAGTGGAGAGGCAAATCCAACTGCACAGACGTTCACCTGTGGCTGACTTGGTTAGTCCAAGAGAAGAAGAAAGGGGGAACAGTGAAAATAGAATTACTTAGTCTAACTTGCTGTTACAGTAAACACAGCACAATAAAAATGACATAAGGGACTTGCAATGGCCTGAATAGAAGGTCAGTCAGGGTGTGTAAGTTGATGTATGTCTCTCTGTGTGACCAAGAGAAAACCCCTGATACTGGTAAACAAAACAGCAGCTAATTTGTCCCACTGTTGATGGACAAAGGACATTTGCAAACCCAGATAGAGTCCCTGACAAAAGTCTTGTCGCTTGTGTACAAATTGACCTGAAGTGCCGCTGAAATATATTTCATATATTTATTTTTACAAGAAATGGCTCATTTTAATCCCAACAGCTTTTGTAATAATGTTTCAGTGCAAAACGAAACTGTCAAAAAGTATTCTAATATTCACAGCTTAGTAAAGCCCATTGAGTCAATTTTTGCAAAGACATAAGTGTTGTCGCCTTGTCATATGAGCTTCACCTGTGACTAATAATGGATCAATTAGGTCTCAGGTGTGTATAAAACAACCCCACTACACTAGACCTTCACATCAACAGCAACTAGACCTCTGCAAACATGCCTAAGATTCACCCTGAGACTAAAGTTTTGATTATCAAGAGGCTGAAGACCAGATCCACTGCTGATGTGGCAGACACCTTCAATGTGTCTCAGTGTCAAGTACAGAGGATAAAAAAAACATCTGGAGACATTTTTGACAAGCCCAGGTCAGGCAGACCCCGCAAGACAACTGCTCGAGAGGACCGTTTGGTTTGAAAATCCAAGGCCAGCCCATTTTCCACTGCAGCAGAGCTCCATGAGACCTGGTCACCTGAGGTCCCTGTGTCAACCAGAACAGTTTGTCGGATTCTGTCTCGAAATGGCCTCCATGGTCAGTGCCCAGAAGCCAGCACTAAACAAAAGACAATTGAAAAACCGTGTGGCATTTGCCAAGGCCTACAGCCTGCTAAAAGGAATGGACACTGGAAAAGTGGAAGAAGGTGGATTTTTCAGATGAATCTTCTGTTGAATTACACCACAGTCGCCGCAAATATTGCAGGAGACCTGCTGGAGCCCACATGGATCCGAGATTCACCCAGAAAACAGTGAAGTTTTGGTGGTGGAAAAATCATGGTCTGGGGTTACATCCAGTATTGGGGTGTGCGAGAGATCTGCAGGGTGGAAGGCAACATCAATAGTCTAAAATACCAAGAAATCTTAGCTACCTCTTATTTTCCCAACCATAAAAAAGGCCAAATTCTGCAGCAGGATGGTGCTCCATCGCATACTTCCATCTCCACATCAAAGTTCCTCAAGGCGAAGAAGATCAAGATGCTGCAGGATTGGCCAGCCCAGTCACCAGACATGAACATCATTGAGCATATGTGGGGTAGGATGAAAGAGGAAGCATGGAAGACGAAACCAAAGAATACTGATGAACTCTGGGAGGCATGCAAGACTGCTTTCTTTGCTATTCCTGATGACTTCATCAATAAATTGTATGCATCCTTGCCAAACCGCATGGATGCAGTCCTTCAAGGTCATGGAAGTCATACAAGATATTAAATTTGGATCTCACAGCATCACTACTTAATTTGCTGACACATTTTTGTATTTGCAGTAAATTTGTTCAATTTCTGTATAGGCGACAACTTTTGTCTTGCCAAAATTTGACCTTTCTGTCTTGTTTAAATGATAAATCTTTTTTCAGTGAAACTACTTTTATTTATTTCAGTGCATTAAACATCATTTGGGAGGGTTTTAGCTTTTCATATGAGCTATTTCTAACACCAATTGATTAATTAAAAGTCAGGTTAATAGCCGGTGTTTCTACAAAATAGATAAGCGACAAGACTTTTGTCAGGGACTGTAGATGCATAGATCCAGTTGACCTTCATCAATATTGAATGATTCAGAGCCTTTTTGCACATTTTGAAATGCAGTAATTTCCTATCTATGTGTGTTTACACACGCAGCTCCCCCATCTGCCCCACATCAGCGAGGGCTTGATGAAGAGGAATCTGAGGAGAGGGGACATGAGGGACATGAGTCTAGGACAGCTGCAAGTCATCACAAATGACTTACACTCACAGATTCAAAGTGAGTAGATCTTATACACACTGCAAGTATTTAATAAACCCAACAAACCTCCTACCCTTCCAACAGATTTCTTGTATCTTCCCATTTTAGTGGCATACTGTTGTTGGCAGGTGAAAAACATCTTTAAGGAAAACAGTATGGGATCTAACGCAGTTTAACTTATTCAAAATGGTTTGGAAGTGTGTGATAAACCTAAGGGTCACAGACCTTCTTCCCCATATGTTATATTTCAATTACATAGGCTGAAAAACAATACTGCTAATGCTACAAAGAGTCATGCTGGTGTATCCTGGTGGATTAGGTCAAAGAGTATACCGTTGACCAAACTGGTCAACTTTCAGCTTTCTGCTATTCAACTGTTCTGAAATATTTAAACAGAGGTCACAATATCAAAAGATTTAAAAACATCCAACCCTAAAAACAGACAGAGAAATGTAAAACGTACAGTTCAAAATATAGACATTTTCTAACTATTTTAACAGATCAGGCACTGAAATTCTCCTCCTCTGATCTGACATTTTTCTGTTGACCATCTTGCATTAGACTTGAGTTAATATATAAAAATATATATATATTCATCTATAATCTTACTCAGGTCTTAATGAGGAGCTGGTACAGTTGCTGCTGCTGAGGGATGAGCTACATGTGGAGCAGGACGCCATGCTGGTGGACATAGAGGACCTCACCAGGTGAATCTTTCTCATCTCTCTCGGCCCTGTCTCTCTGTCTGCAATAGCTATCAACTTCTCCATTTCTACTGCAAACGTCAGAGAGGAGTAGTCCGTGTGAACTGTATTTTGCATGTATGGACTGTGCTCGCTCTAATGCACTTCTGGTCTTTGTTGCCACAGGCATGCTCACAGCCATCAGCGGCACCAGGCAGAGAAAGCCATCTCTAAATAAAAACACCCCTGTCTACACGTGTGTTCGTCTGCACGCCATTTTACCTCCTGCTCCATGGACTGTCACCAGTATTACTAATGAAACTCCATCCGTGCTGACTGTGTCTGGAGAAATGAATATGCCATATACAGTAGTATTAAAACAGGCACACTCGTAATGTATTGCACCAGAGGATGTTCTGGAAGGACAGAGGACCTGAAATCTGAGTCATCACCACTTTCAGTAAGGACACAGTTAAGTTTGTGCAGGGTTTTCACTTTAACTCAGCATGATTAATCATGCCATATTTCATAGAATTAGGGGAATCCTCTCAACTTAATTCCATCCCTAGCCCTGATTTATCTCTTCATGATTTTGCACGGTACACTCATGTATGTTAATGCCGGGTTGGAGAGAGCGCCTGTCCACGTTGTTTCTCCCTTGTCTCAAAAAAAGATGCTGACTTCTCGGGGGCCACTCCTGACTGAACTGAGATTCAATTAACGTTGTCTTTTGTTTATGTCTATAATAATCAAGAGGATTGATCAGTTCATCTGTAGACACGCTCTGTTCACCTGTTCATCATTTCTTTCACTTAGAGCACTGTGTCGTCGCCGTTTAACGCTGGAATTCACTATTAAGCACCTACTATCTAAGCTGTTGCAATAGAAAATTATAAACACTGTTCTTATTTGCAGTTTGGCTTCACAGTGGTGTTTAAATGCTGCAGCAGCTTCACAGGGCCCCTCTTGCAAGGATCACTTAGACACAAAATTGGATGTAACTTGATAGCTGCTATGGTTTCCACCTGCTTTAAAGATGCATTCAGGGCCTTTCTGGATAATATTTTGCTACTTTATTCAAATTTGCATTTGTCTGATGACAAAAATCATAAGATGTGGGTTAAATAGGTATATATTGGTTAATACATAGGGACAGAAAAGCAAAAGTGAAGGCATGTTGACATGAATAAAAATATGCAAAATAATTTTTATGTGCAATTTACTAATGCTAAGAAAAGGGTAAATATAAACATGTAAAACAAATATATGAATAAATCACAGCCTAAACATATCTATTTTATCTGTTCAGAAGATTTATGGACATTCTAAATGTACATGTTAAAATATACTTTATTAAAAGGATGAAGAATATGCCTTGTTGTCTGGCAGTGTTTAAGTGTTTTCACTCACCTTTTTAAGAATGTAACTGAACACAAAGTTAAACTTTCTTTTTCTATTGAACGCTTCATTGATAAATGTACTGTATAATGATTGTTAAAAAAAGAATTCCAGTAATAAATGTTTCAAATGAGTGAAATTGGTTTGGGCTGTTTTAATGAGTTCTTTTGTTTTTTGTATCTCGGCTAACTCTGTGCGGGTTGATGTTATTTACTGTAAAAAAACAAAAAAACGATGAAATGATAAAAATAAATACATAGAAATTGCTCCATCAAGTGCAGCTTGGGGATGTGAGTCAGTTGTCATTAACAAATTCAGTCTGAGTCGGAGTTGCACAAAAGGGCAAAGTTTTTTCCTCACACATTCATAATTGTGTGCTGAGACTTACGTAAGTGAGTTTTGTGGAGGATTATCGTAAGAAAGAGGGGAACCACTGTGACTTTGGGGAAAAACACTCAGTTGATCCAAATTAACTGGTATATTTTTTTTCATTACAAGCCAAATATTCTAAATACATAAAAAGCATAATTTTAAATGAATAACGATTCACTTAAAATTATACTGAATTCATAATAAAAATCCTAATTTTCTAATAAAAAGGCAATTTAACTTTTATCAGACTTTATAGATGTAGACAATATGATGTCTCTGTGTGGCACCTAAATAAAATTAAATGTGTTTTTTTGCTGATTACTGAAACTGGACATGGCAGATATTAGACAAACTTTAGATGTGGTTGTCCAGGATTCCAGTTTAAATAGCATGTAATGTAATGCTTTCACTATGCACTCTTTGGAAATGTCAACAATGAACAGTAAACAGTGTGAAGCTCCATTACAGTGTTTGTGTTAATTCCAGTTTCACCAAAGCGATGTGATATAGGGGGGAAAGAAAACAACTTTCACTTTACAGTCAACACACTACAATACTGTGAGGGAAATCCCTGCATCAGTCTGGGTATAAAACACTTAAAGATGTCTGAGTTCAGTCAGTTACACCAAAGAATCTGAATCAAGAGTCTTATCCAAGATGCCCTTCATCAAGCTCTGTGAGTATCATATACCATGTCTGAACAGTATTTAATTTTTGCAACAAAGTAGTGAAAACTGTAGATTTACTAAGGGAGCTCTATATTTCTCTTCTTTGCCAGACTTCACTCCTGCACTGCTGCTCCTGGTGCTTTCCTGTCCTCTGTGGCAGGTCAGCCAGTCTTTGCCTGTGATGACTAAGGGGCCGATGATGGACTCCTGTGTTTTATATGCACGGACACTTCTAGAGAACATCACTGATGCACTCACACAGGTAAGCCTATAAAACTGACCAGAGATTAATTTCTACACTGTCATCTTTAACCTGCCTTTTATAGTTAAAAAAAAATCTCTTTCCGTGTCCTAGAATAACCTGTTCAGTGGAATTGACTGCAAGAAACAGAGTGTGGAGCTGAACATGGAGACTAGCACACCATCTGTGTGTGCACCAAAGGTAAATAATAAAAAAGTTTTCGTATTTGGGTATTTCAAGTTTGAGACATAGCAAAATTCATTATTGTTACTGTTAAAAACTAAATGACAGTTTTACATCCTAAAGTGTAATGCATTGGGATATAGTAGCTAGTATGGTCGTTCACGGTTGTAGCTGTACATCTGTATAACACACTGAACAGTGTTTGTTCCACAGGAGTCAACATGTTCAGGAATCGTTAAGTCAGAATTTGATCAGGTATGTTGTGCTCTGTCTTTGTGACTAAATACGTTAAGAATACCTTTCTTTGATCTTTTAATTTTTTTAATTTAATTTATCTTTTAAGAGCCTATGAAACTCAAATTATTTTGGTCAGGCTTTCAATATGTGCCACATATAAATATAAAAGGGGTGAAACAACAATTGACACATACTTTATGTGTAAAATCCGTGTCAACCTTAGAAGGTACACCTGTGCGATCTAATGCAATCCAATACAACCATAAAGTCTGCTCTGCCATTAAGTCTACTTAAATGATGCCTGTAATGTTCAGCTATTTTGAGGGGGTGTTTTAAATTATATTTCAGCACTGAGGTGATAGTTAGGGCTGGCACTGTACAGAACAACTGCATTATATTGAGAGCTCTTTCTAATATTCTGCCCACTTCGTGGATGCAAATGGGAAGGACCAAATAAAATAGACAACCCTCTCTCTCACTATAATGTAGCCCAGTACCACCTCAATAATAAACATATAATTAAACAGCAAAAACTGAACATTATGAGCTTTGTAAATATAGATGTTATGGCAGGGCTGTTGTATTAGGCTGAATTAGATTGTACAGGAGTTCCTAATAAACTGTGTAGTGTATATACACTATGTATATATGTATATATTGTCTTCATGGTGGTCTTTGCTGTTTTTCCATCTAGGAGATGTGTCTGACAAACATCAGGAAGGATCTGCATCACTACTACAAATTTCTAGCTGCTCAGCCGGATCCTGACAGTTTACTTGGTCCAACTGTTCTGTTCAGCCTCAGAGAACTCATGGAGGTAGCTAATTTTACACAATACCTACAGTATTCAGCTTCAGTGTTGTTTGATACCATTTGCAGCAAATCTTTTACCATTAACACTAGCTGGCTCATGAAGGGCTATTACACAAAAACACCTACTATAAACTCTTTAGGCACAGCTCGTGCAATACTGAATTGTTAATGAAAGTGTCAAATGTGTAAAAAATGTATCTTTTGCTCACAACAGAACTGCTTTACATGGTCTCTGCCAACAAACATGGCCTCAAAAGAGGTAAGAGATCTCGTAATGCATGCCATAACCAAAATTTAAGATGCAGTTGTGTGTTTTTTTATTTACTCTGGTATCTCCAATTTCAAACTTGTAGACAGCATTAAAAACATTTTAGGTTATAGACTGATTTTAATAAATCATTCATACCTCCTCTCTGTTTCTTTAAGGTTGCTGTAGACCGTCCAAGCACCTACGATGAAAGACTGAGCCTCTGCAAAGTGTTGAAGGGCTTCCAGGTCCGCACCATCACAATCAACAGAGTCCTTGCATACATGAACTCTGGAGAACACACTAAATAAATCAGTGAGCTCTAACAGATCAGTAGTTTCAGAAACGTATACAGAACCTCTTTACATTCAAATGACAAACTACAGTAACAGTTGTTAAAATGTTACATTCAAATAATCTAGCGGTGACAGAAAACACTTCAGTCTATTTTATTACTTCATAACAGTTTTAAAGGTACATATTTATTATTTTTAGTCATTAACTTATATTTGACAACAAGATGATGTGTAAAAGCTTTCTTTTATATAAGTGTATTTGCAGACTGTGCTATTTATTTATTAATATTTGTTTTATTCTGGACTATTTATTTTAAACTATTATTATATTATTTACTTGTTTGAAAGAATTACCTAATAAATATTTTTCCTGCATAAATCCTGCAGTTTTATCTCTCATTTATCCACTGTTGCTTACTTTTTTCACTTTAATTCCAGAAAATTGATTACTGTTTAGCTAGTACATACTGATCAAATTCATCATCAGTGTCATTGTCACTGGACTTTCCTTAAGAGCTTCACAGCTACAGTTAGTTAATCTATTGCAATCACACCAAAACAATAATATATGTGATTTACAGGAAAGATTTAATTTGCTTTTATTGAGAAAAGCTCTCACTTATGATGGGCCTGAAATCCTGATGTAGCCACCTGACTGTATTTTCCTGGAACCAACTCAGCCCCACCAGCTGAGCCTTGTGAGAATTATCCTAAAAGAATATAACATAGTGATTGTTCACACTTCATTTGGAAAGTCCAGTGTTAATTGTCCACTTACAATCAGGTGACCATAATAATGTCAGTAAAAAAAAAGTTTGTTCAGAAGGATGTGAAAGTCAGTCAAAATATATTCAGTTTGGTGTTTGGATTACTCTAATATTTGTAATGGAGTCACAATGATGTCAGGGTTAGGGATGTAGTCTACAGCAGATAGTCCTGTTTAATGCTGTTTACAAAATAGTAAAGCTTTAACAGTGGAATGTCCAGATAAAGTTTTCTTAGTCAGCTCAATTTGCGTCCCATCTGTGTTCAACGGAATAGGCACAGGATGTGTGGCTAATGGGGTTGAGAGAGACCTTTCATGTTCTTGCCACAGAAAACGTGTAAGACTAAAGATTATAAAGTGGATCAGTGTCAGCCACAGGAGAGACAGAAAGAGCAGTATATCTGAATACATGAATCATTCAATAATGAAAAAAAATGCCACCATACTAGAATAAGTCTGGGCACATCATACTGCTACTCTTATTCGAAAAAGTACAAAAAACACACAGTGTTAAAATGATACTTGTACAAAAGTATTGATAAATATGCAAAACTGAGGCAACTGGGGAGGCATGCTTCACAGTTTTAAAACTTCTGTACTACAGTATAAGGGTGGAGGGTTGGATTCAAAAGTGGAGGGGCACAATGAAGAAAAATGCATAACAATGCTATTTGCTGCATTTACAACTGTTTACTGCGTTATCTTAACTTCAATCTTTTTAGGTGAATATTTACACAGACTAATATTTCCTACAAATGAACTTCCTCTCAAACTGCACACAGCCTGTATGTAACCTGAGAGGCAAAATCCGGGGTTACAGAAATTTAAAAACCTCTCTCAGCTGCTCCTGAATCACAAGACTCTAGTCCGCATCATTCTCCTGTATCATGTCTTTCTCATTTAAGACAAAACAAAATGTATCAATATCATTGCGGAGTACATTTGTAATTTTTTAAAACATTTCATTAAACCAAACGGTCTTATCTCAGGTTAATGATTAAAGTGGATGTTAAACGGTGATGCTGCCTAGCTCCTCTGGACAAACCTCTAGGACAAAACTGACATATTTTTCTACACTGAGAACATGTTATTACCGAACTAATAGCAGCCTGCTGTTTAGGGGAAATGATTAACTTACTTCAATTCAGTTACAGTAGATAACAATGATTTTGCAGCTGGCAAATTATTATTTTTTTGCACTTGTAGTGCCACCTACAGGAACATTCAGCTTATAGCATTGGCTATAGGTTAGCCAAAATCTTCCAATCTTCCAAAATGCCTTCACATTAAGTTGTGATTGACTGTTATTAATTCACATGCTTTTATGTTAACACATTTCAAGTTACGATGAACTGAGTGAAACAGGGTTATAATCAGGAAAACCCTGCGTCCAGGTGTGTCTGAGAAGTTCAAATCACCGGAGATTACTTACAGCTGCGGTGATATTTTCAGAGGGCTCCTTCCCTAACCTTTTCGAGGAGGCCAAGAATGGACCGCAACCTCCAAGTAACCTCTTTTTGGCAGATTGTCGTTCTCATCTCAGTTTCCAAACTCACAGAAAGCCGGTTGGTGTCCAGCAGAGGCTCCAGTGAAGGCAGGACTCATGGTGACGTCCCGCCTCAACCTGTCGCGGTCAACTGCCACCCGGACTCGTTGGAGATTGTGCTGCAGGCAGACATGTTTGATATGGGAATTCAGTTGGACGGCAGACATCTGCGCCTGGGCTCAGATTCAGTGAGTGACGGGAGCGCATGCGGAGTAGTCCCTTCAGGAGAGGCGGAATTCACCATCTGGGCCCACCACATGGACTGTGGAACCAAACTATCAGTAAGCATTGTAATATATTATGGGATGCAGATTGAGTGAAATTCGTCACATATTCCAAATCCGTTTCGGTGGATTTGTACACTTCTGTGCATTTTAAAATGTTACAGCTCTCTGTGTGTTGTTATTTTGCTATGTAGAATTTTACGTTCTGAAAAACTTAACGTTGTTTCTTCCAGTCGACAAAAGGGAAGATTATCTATTCTAATGTTCTGGTCTACTCACCTGAACCTTCATCGGATGGTTTGCTTAGACTGAATGGAGCAACTATTCCAGTTGAATGTCATTATGACAAGTAAGTCCTGTACACTTTGACACAGTACTTGTGTGTGCTGTTGGAACCAGCTACTTGGATTTTGACATGACTGTATTCTTGCATTTGGCCTGCTGACATTTAAACAGTGCTAAGATGATGACCCTTGAAATATTACTGTTTTCAGGAGGTATGCTGTGGATGGCATTTCCCTGCATCCCACCTGGGTTCCTTTTGTCAAAACAGCCTCAGCAGAGGATCAGCTGGTCTTCAATTTGCGAACCATGACTGGTATTTAAAAGATGGCATTGATTAAACATCTTTTTCTCCTCTCACTCATCTTCAGTAGAGTGTAATGCTACCATTTTCATTATTATTGCTTCTCTTTGAAGATGCCTGTTGTACAAAAGAATATTACAATTATTTCTTGAATGTTCTCATTTCTATCATCTTCAGATGATTGGCAGTTTGAGAGGGGATCTTACTTGTATTTCCTTGGTGAACCCATTCATTTAGAGGTTTCTGCCATCATTGGTAACCACATGCCACTGCGAGTCTATGTTGACCACTGTGTTGCAACTGCAACTCCTGATGCAGAGGCTACGTTAAGATATGACTTTATCAAGCATCACGGGTGAGCTCCTCAACCAAATCTTAAAACCCACCATTCTGCAACCACAAAATAAATATGGTTATAGTTAAGCTGTTTTGTGATTTCCTTTGAAACACTTACCAACACTTGTCTTTTGCTGCCCTAACAGATGTCTTTTTGATGGTTACCTGACTAACTCCAGCTCCCATTTCCTACCAAGAGTTGAAGAGCACAAACTGAGGTTTCAGGTTGATGCCTTCAGGTTCTACCAGGGGCCCAGCAATCAGGTTGGCTAATTTTCCTGTATTTGTTGTTCTGTTAAAGGTATATTGTACATCCCAGTTTAACACTAAACTCTTTCCCATAGGTGTACATAGCCTGCTACGTGAAGGCTGTTCCAGTCGTGTTAACGGTCAGCTCTCAGAACAGGGCCTGCTCTGTAATTGAAAACAGGTATTATACAAATGATCCAGCAATTGTAATGTGATTAGCATGGTCAGTTCTCCCTTCACAGTATTTATATAAAAAAAAAAAAAAAAACTCCTGAATGTCCTCTGAAAAATGTTCTAATGCTATGAGGTGCGAAAAGTGAGTTCTTTTATTTTGCACATTGCCTACTTATACAGATGGAGGTCAGCTGATGGGAATGACCAGGCATGTAGAAGCTGTGATATCTCCCATCGGGTAGAGGAGTCTCTGCCCACAGAACCCCCTAAAACTACCATCAGCAACAAATCTTGGCCCTCCATGACTCCACAGGAGACTTTAGTCCAGAACAGGGCTAAACAACCGCCAGCCAGTTATTTCCGTTTTCGTCCAGGAATGCACCAGAAACACAACCATCCTCCGCAATCATCTGCTCGATTGAAGAGAGGAGCAAAGTGCAGTGCACGTGAGTATAATAGAAATTACATTTGCTGATTTTGTGGTTCTTCTTACGTGAGATCAATCTATGTGCAATTTAAACTTTATGAACATATCTTATGTAGACGATACAATTTACTGGCAGGTTCTTAATGCAGACTAAATGGTGATTTCAAAGGGATTGTTTCATAGTGCTAATGTTTAACTAATATGTATTCAGTTTAGATGATGGGCACAGCATATTTTAAATGTGGTTGGATGCTTGAATTAGATTTTAATACACCTGTTTTATGTGGTCCAATTATTCATTGACCTTCAGTGCAGCTGAAAGAGACCCTCTGACATATTTGAATGAGATCCCATGTGATTTGTTTTACAGAGCCAAACTATCCAGCTGGGACCCATTATTTTCCTGCCATCCAGCAAAATTGACACAAAGCCAATGGATTCCAAAACAACACTTTCAGAAAAACACTGAAGGGTGTTGGGATTTAAAATAAACAGATTTCATTGCTGCCATGTACAGGACAAACATTTTGGACACAACTGACAACACCTGTGAATGCAGAGATTAATCTTTTCATTCAAAATACCATCTCGCTTGAAATTTCTTACTGTAAACTTTTTCAACCCACTGCAAAGGACATTTACTTTGTTAAAGTTCTTGTATTTTCTGTACAAATGGCAAACTTTTTTTTTTTTTTTTTGTCAAATATTTTACATTAAAATGGTGCTGCTTATTTGTTGCAGCTTCCCTACATAAAACACATGAGCATTATCCCAGATTACCTGATATCTGATCTTTACAAAATCCGGCATTGCCAAAAACTTGATGTCATCAGCAAACAATTTAATTAGCATTGGGTTTTAAGCACTCAAAGTCATTAGGCCCAAGCAAAAGGATACATCATGGTGTTGTGTATTTTTAACAGAAATACACACGCAATACACAACACATGAAGCAATCTCTTTGCTGTAACTGTCGATCCAACATAATTCCAGCGATTTTGACCTGAGGAGATAAGCATACATGCTATTAGGGAGCACTTCCCTCCATTACTATCTGCAACCTACTCATCATGTAGCCACATTATTGATTTATCATTGTGAGGGTGCAATATAAATGTTTGTTTTTTGCCTACCCTATCCATTAAAAATAATTAGCAACAGCTCTACATAGTATTGGTTTACTTTGAGAGTTGTATGAAAATATATTTGTAGCATTTTTGGTCACTTACCTCTGTCATAAGTTGTATTTAGAATAATTTCATGAAATATTGTTTATTGGCTTTTTGGAGTTAAAGTACCACTGCTGCAACCTTTCCAAGCCTTTCATTCACAGCTTTAGTAAATATCCTAGACAGGAGCCAGCGGATTGTACTTCCAGCATCGGGTATACTGATCAGCATAAATGGACGTCGACCAAACCATTGAAGCCTTTTAACGAAAGTCCTGACCCCTTAATGTACACAAGTATTAATATTGCAAATGGAAAGTCTTTGTGCACCAGCTGGAACATTTAGTTATTTGGGTTTGGATGCGTCAGCACCTCGGACAGCGCCCCACTTGGTTTTCCCCAGAGGGCGTGTGGATCGCTGGTCCTGAATCATCTTCAAGGACCTCTGCAGGCCGCTTGTTTTAATGTCCCCTCCCACCTTCACCACCATAGGTCATTTGTCAGTGTTTCCGACGCGACTGCTCGATCTCCTGGGCGCCTGTTTACTTTCACATTAAATGAACAAGACTGTGTTTACGATTTGCTGGACGACATCAGTATTCCCGCTAAGTGCATAATAAATCACGCTGAAGTACACTTTGGCGTTATTGTCAAGCTCATTAGCATATTCATATGTTTCAGAGATACATTCATTGTCTGCCTACCTCCAATTGCACTTCGGCGAATGCTGAGTGCTGACGATTCATTGAGTGAACATGCGGACATATTGAATTGTTTTGACTCTGTTTCCCTTAATCTTTATATCAACATTTTTACATGTGATCTGGGCAAGCGGCGCGCTGACGATGGCTCTGCGTCAGCGTTTCAACCAATGCATCTTTCAGCATATGATCCACAAGTGAATCGTCTCGCCTACAGCCTGTTTCCCGAACTTTATTACCGATTCACTGGATCATATCTCCCCCTTCGAACACAAAAGCGATGCTTTTCTGCAAATGCCAAGCACTGACGGTGTTCACCGTTTGCTTTCTGGTTCGCACGGTTGTGTATTCCATCCGAAAATGTGGACAGGACCTTTGCCGGGATGACCAGATCTGCTGCGCGCAGGGAAACGACACCAGTGCCGTCACCTGTTGCAAGCAGTTCGTGGACAAGACTTACTACAACATCGCCATGGTCACCCGGAAACTTTCTGGGGTGCTTATTATGCTTCTTCTCTTCGCTATGGGATACTTTGTCCAGCGAGTGTTGTGCTCCAGATCCAGGCAGCTCACCCCGCCACATAATGGACACCCAACTGTTACCACGTCACAAGAGCCGCTCACGGAGAGCTGTACACCGGACTCGAGGATGGATCCAGCTCCTGCTGCTCAGCTGCCCTCATATGATGAATGCAAACGTCTGCCAACGTATGAAGAAACTGTGCGCGATGGGAGCAGCGGAGTCCATGGGACTAGCTACACGACAAGAACGTCAGTTGGATAAAGTGTGGCTTCGATATTTAGTACTATATACTTGACATTAGTGAATTTTATATCATTATAAAGGACATTTCAGAAATACAAAAACAAACCGCCCAGGACGTTGTGTGGAATTTCCCCTGCAGCAGTCTGAACTGTGTGCCTCTGAGTGTGTAGCTCTTTAATCCATTTATTCCAAGGGGAGTGTCCAAGTTTGTTTCCATTTTCTAACTACTTTGTTAATGTCTTTGCTGATGTTAATACATGGCCTCTAGTAATGCTTTATAAATCGGTAATAAGATAGTAGTTGGAGTTGCCAAGTCGTGAATACTCCCTGTGGCTGGTGTAGGCCTATTATCCTACAGCATGGCACTTGTTTTGTCCTTTTGACTCGTTAATCAGGAAAAAAAAAACGAAAAACAAGACAATTATTGTTGGAAGGATACACGCCAGCCAAAGGTGTCTTTCACAATCACCGTAGCCTCCTCCTCCTCTTCTAAACCAACAGGCTAAACATGTGCACTTGTCTTTGTTACTTATCTCGTTGATATCGATGCTGTTATCTGTGATGTGCCTCTACGAACCCAACATTGTATGCCTGTGGCTGCGTGAGATAATCGAACTCTGTTTAATAATTGAAAGAAAATATGCTGCACAACTCCGTTAAAATCATTTCTTATCGCGTGTTTGTTATACTCAGCAGTGCTATTAATGCACACTCATACACTTCATGGTTCGTTGGGTTTCCTGTGGTAGGCTATCCGTAATAGGTAGTATCATAATAGCTAGCCTAATGTTTCAAGTCTTAAGTAGCCAGCAAGGTTCTGTAGTCGCAACTGGGATTGGTACATGCGCATAAAAATGTATAGACTTAACCAAAAGGTCTGATCTATTCACATATGGTTTATTGTTGGTATGCATTAGTATAGATAGCCTAGTAAAAGGTTATTTCAAAATGAATTTGTCAGATTGTCAATGGTTTGAAAATAGCACATTTCATATAGGCCAAATAAAACCTAATGTTTGCGAGAAGCTTTGAGGTAGTGCACCGTTTCCTTGATATTGTCTCTCATCGCCCCAGAGTCTGATGGGAGTTTGACCATTTGGACCACTTGTTTGAAAGCCTCCTCAACTCCAACTCCCGTCGATGCGGAACAAGGCTGTACGAACCAATCCCGACCTGAGCAAATTTTTGTCAGGTTAAACATGTCCTTGATTTCAGTGACATTCAGAGCGCCGTCCACGTCCTGTTTGTTGGCGAGAAGAATCAGCGGCCGGCCCCGCAGCTGCTCGCTCCTCAGTGTGTTGTCTAGCTCCCTCCGCGCCTCCCCCAGACGCCTCCTGTCCGAGCTGTCCACGACAAACACGACCGCTGCTGTGTCCTGGTGGAAACTCTTCCAGTGCTCGCGCATCTTTCCCTGACCACCAACATCCCACAAAGTTAAGGCGATGTTCTTCCTGTTCTTTCTCACTTCGAGCATTTCCACGTTGAAGCCAATGGTGGGAACCGTGCATACGCACGCGTTGTGCTTCAGTTTGTAAAGAAGAGTCGATTTTCCAGCGTTGTCCAGGCCCAGAAGGAGAACTCTGGCTTCTGGTGGTTTAGATCCTCGCAGTCCCATGGCGACGGGGAGAGATAAAGGCAGTCAACCCAATTAGAATATGCACATCTTCCCCATAACTTACCCTTTTGACGAATGTTTGCTTAGTGCGTTGCCCGGAGTTAAATAGATAAGCCATTAGTTCCATGCTCACTATAACTTACAGCTCACCGATAAGGCGCCACACCAGAGGGCAAAGTTTCGACCAACCGGAGGATATCCCTTGTTTATTTGCGCTGTGAGTCATACAAAGGTCTATAAGAACAATATTTTTAAGTGATCCTGAGTTACTAATTACATTCTGCTGTTTAAGCCATGCTTGTTTTTGGACCATGTTGCACACATGAGATACAATAATTTGCCTGAAAATCAATTTTTAATTGTAATTACATATTCACTCGCAACGTAATAGCTGCCCTGGTGTAAGTGACAATAAATAGGCAAACGTAAGGAACAATATACAGACTTCCTCTGCCAAAAAAAGAAATGCCGTTTCTTGCTGCACCAGCGTTAGATTCCTCTACAGTAAAATAAAGAAATTAATATGAGAGGTTTAAATCTTTAAATTATTCATTTCAACATATACATTTCTAACAGTTCCAACCGTGACATCCAGTTGACAGAAATGTGAAATGTGGATGCCGTGTCCCTCAAATGCGCCTTTACTTTCCCCAAACCACTTCAAACCTTCCAGAGCTTCTCAAAAACAAAAGGCGCCATAAGCCGCCTCAATACTGCCATGACACCTTTCAGTTATTGAGAGACATTCTGGACAAACATTCTCCTTAAATCTAAAGGTGGGTCAACACTGACCTCCAGTCCATCACATTCAAACTACCGTAAACATACCATATAAAAAAACATTTGATTTAAATACATTTGTGTGCTATGGTATTACATAAATTAATAAAAAGAGGATACAGTCAAATTAAAAGGAAGGAAAATAAATAAAAGTTGGTCAGCCATTGACAGTAGGCTAAAGTACACCCTGTTTACAAACAATCTAAATAGCAGAGTTGTTGTTAGCCAACTCTCAGCACTGACTTAACCCAAGCAAATTCTTTCATTTGATTTGATTATTCTGAAAATTAAAACAGTTAGGTTTGCATTCTTAAAAAAACATAATCACTTACAATCATGTCAACAAGACAATGACTCTGTTTCCAAAGAAAACATATTATCTCTGCGTGCATGACGCATGGCACTTTTCGCATCCACTCATCTCCCTCTCCTGCAGTCTGACACTGACTATAAATGTCCGATATGGACTAAATCAATAAATTAGTGATCAGTCCAGCCAACTCCTCTATGTCACTAAGACAATTTAAATCAACCTTAATTCCAGACGCTGCAGTGTGGATGCACTTCAGCGCAGGAACCCACATCGGTAGCATCCTGCTGCTCAGAAGACGCCAAAGCTTCAGTCACAAAGTGCTAGACTTAATGCCATCGAATAATTCGTGTGCAATTCGCCTGGAGATTTTATTTTTGTATCAAGAACTGGTCCGTTTCTCTCCCGGCTTCACCCACACGCCACCGGTTGGATTATCCATCACGTAAACTAGTCCTCCAGTGTCACAGCGGCTTTGGGGTCGGTGATGGGGTGTTGACTTCTCCAGTGCCCGGGAAGAAGAGTGAAGACAGGCTGACTGACTGGTCACCTTCTTCTGAATGTGGACAACGAAGGCAGGAGTGAACATGCGTCCGTTTTCTGACACAAGTCCACCGAGCCAACTCGTTGGAAAATCACCCGCGCTTCTATGGAGGATTTGGAGCCTTGCTGTCCCATACTGTATCTTCAATTCAAAATACCCCTTTAAAGGATACAAGGGAATTAAAAAACAAACCAGAGTTGCTTGGTTATTTATGAGTTGGCTAAATGACAGTCGTCTTCTTCCTCTGGTGCCTGCGAGCACTTGTCTCACTTATAAAGTGCCAAATCCACATAAAATAGGGCAAAGAGTTCCCGTAAAGCTGTAGTGTGACGCACTTGTGTGTCTTTATGGTTATTAGACGCCTGAATGTTGCAACACGGGTCTTGGGCATTTGGATCAGTTCATGTCTGAGCTATTCTGAGTCCCCCCACCTGTTACAGACCCGTCAAACGTGGCATCATCGAGCGCTTCCCCTCTGAGGGCTGCAGCGGGGCTGAGTAGCCTTGCAGGCGACAGCGCAGAGTTATGGCATGGGAAGGTATTTGCGGTTCGGTAGAGGCATCCCAGAAATACTCAGAAGACGTCACGTGCCAAGCCTAACTCTGAGCTCACCAACAAAACTGCTGATCGCTAAATGATCTACAACAAACAGGTTCTTGAGACCTGCGGTTGGTGGCAAGAACACAACTGAGAGAACGGAAGAACATGAGTCATGGCTTGTCCCTTTCCTCAACATCTACATTTGTTGTGCTCTTTAGCAACTTCTTCAGGGGCTCTTCTGTAGGATCAGCAGCACTGTGCATGTGTGAAAATGCACCTAGATGTGTTGTGAATATACAAAAGCATAGTCTATGGATGAATAAGTTGTGAAAAATAAATTACTTTTTTTCATCTCAAAATTGACTACACAAATACCATAAACTTACTGCTAAGAATCTGATTTAAAAAAGGACACTTGAGAAAAAAAGTGTGTCTTTGTAGTGAAATCATGCTGCACAGTTAGGCCAGAATGAAATGTCAGGCCTTTGAGATATAAAGAATGAAGTGGCATATACATTTAAGATGAAAGAGTTTGTTTAATACTGATAGTTTACATACAGAATGTCTTTACACTGTTTTCTTTTCTTTTACACTGAGCAACCGCTCAACATGTGTGTATCAAGGACTACTTCTCAACATGAAAGTGATGGGTATCTAATTGATTGTAAACTTCTGCTCATGTGCAGAAGAACAAAAAAATTATATACTGGCACACCGCCAGACGCATCCAAAAACGTATTAGTCCAAAAACAATAAATAAGGCATTAGGTAAACTGTTAAATGGAGGAAAAAATAAAATACAAAAAGCTTCTCTCAGCTGATGCAAAAAGTCATGAAACACAGTGGTAAAAAGTAGTAGAACATAAAACAGTAGTAAATCATGTATGGTTTACTGTAACTTTCCTTGACAGGTTGCTGCTGTCCATGACACCAGTTGCATTGCTCATGTCATATTACAAGCTACTGGCATTCAGGCCGCAGCAGCACAGCTCATGATGAGTCATCTTTTAGCAGCAGAGGTGTGGAAGTCTGTTTCGTGTGCTTCCCAGGTCAAAGGCAGCCACCAGTGTCCATGGAGACATACACAAACATGGATAAGCCAAAGCACATGCCCTGATGCAGATGGTGTAAAACAACTTTGACGGAACAGTTTACATGAGCTCCACAAAATTGCAGTACCAAAAGGGGAAAGGTTAGGAACTAAATCAGGTTCTACATACATTGAAACCCTCGTGTTAGGAGGATATTGAGAGTTTACACTGGCTGATATGTGAGAATTTACCATTCCAAATAATAAAAACATCTTAAAAGTGCATTTTGTTCTCTGTGTGTGTGTGTGTGTGTGTGTGTGTGTGTTAACCCAAAAGCATTTCTTGAGCATCACTAACCTTCTGAACACTTGAAAAGTGGCTGTAAAATTTTGCTTAGTTTCAGGCTTCAAAGACAAGAGTGGCTATAGTAAAGGATTCCAATGGTGACCATTCTTTACAGTGAAGAAATTTGAAAATATCCATAGAAACTTCTGAGACTACTCTTTCGTGGCTCACTGGCTAGCCACCTTCTGCTCATTCATTGGTTTAAATGTAGTCTACTGGTTGGCTCACGCAAATGTCTAACAGTTACATCCATCCTTAAAACAGCTAGTTATCCTGACCAAATGTGCACAAATCAACAGAAGATGTATATTTAACAAGTTATGTATTTAGCCATGTTAAACTGTTTCATTATTACTAATTATTACAACAATTAATACATTGATCAACTACAACAAAAAAACTATTATAATTTGATTCATTAAATCAACATTAAAAGTATGCCTTATAAAAGTAAAAATAATAAAAAAGATCATTAAATTAGACCATTACTAATTCTATTTCAATAATCCACCTTTAAATGGTGCATTTGTATACATTTTAAAATGGAATCACGACGTTTGTTTTACAAAAGGCTTTTATATGTAACATTTATTCCAATTATTTAGGTGTCTGCCTTTCATATTCCCTCTCGCAAGTCATTAGTTTCCTGATTAAACAATTACAATTAAAAACAATTGTAGTTTCCATTTTGTGATCTCTTTAATTTAAAGATGTGTAAGTGGTGGGCCACGTAAAGATTAAATGAAATCCAACCCACAGTAGTAGTAGCAGTAGTTGGAGCTGTGATGGGTCAGAGTCCTGCCAACACATAGAAGCCAGCCAATCAGAGCTCCTGCTAACTCCATATTTATGCTACTTTTTTCCCATCGTGATGACCGCTGGCTTTAGATTGTAAGGAGTATGAAATGAGGCCATGAAACTACAAATTGTTGACAGTTACCTCTCATGTCTACAGGGGAGTGTTTGAATCTCAAAAAGTTCAAATTTAGGCGTAGCATCATTTCAAGTTAAATAAACAGGTATGGATGCACTGGAGTCTTTTTATATTTGAGAACATTCTCCAGGTCAACAAACGCATACAATATTTAAGCGCATCATCAAAATGCAGCAAGCAGGGTGGTGTTTTCGCAGATTCATTGTCAGTTAGCTTCCTGTAGTTGCACAGTAATTCTTGAGTAGGCACTAGTTGAAGCCTCCTCTGAAGAAGCCTCCAGTGGAGCTGTACCATTAACGTGCATGTGCAGTAAACAGTAGTAAAATCAATCACAGTCTAATGTGTGCTGGTTAAGAGGAAATCCCCTGTTTGGTGTCTGGCTGTCTTGTGTTTATGCATCCCCATTGTTTGTTCAGTATTTTAAAGTATTCATCATTAAGCATGATGGTTATGAGATTGTGTTTAAATGCCCTTATCTCAATCAGAAACTTACAAACAAAACAAAACCCGAATTTTTGTGTGTGTGTCTTTATGTGTGTGCGTTTATCAAAAGTACAGTCCTCAGTGTCCACACTTTAAATTCTCCCTGCCCTCCTGTGATATCACACTAGGTGCTCCATCCAGAAGATGGGGAAAATCTTAGAAAACATTGATCACAATGTGAGCTCTAAACATGACCGTGCCCTACTGCACCCCCCGCCTTGCTACTCCCCCCAGCTCCACTTTTGAACTTCACCACCATGACAGTGATGTTGTCGGGGCAGCCGCGGTAGAAAGACTGGAGGACGATGCTCTTGGCACCAAAGTGAGGCTCGTCCAGGCGCTCGCGGACGAACCGGACGGCCTCCTCGTTGCTGAAAGCGTCCCACAGGCCATCTGATGCCAGGATCATGAACTCTGGCTGCAGTTTGTCCAAGTCAAAGGTCATGATATCAGGGTCGGGGATGACTACGTTGAGGTTCTTCAGCGGGTAGTCCCCTAGAGAGCGGGACATAGCCAGGATTCCCTGGACTCTCCAGGATCCATTAAAACTGATAAAACCTCCTGGAAATGAAGACATAACAATGAAAAAAAAACATGCTTGGAGGCTATATGCTGACATACTGCATATCAAGCCGACTCATGGCTGGTGGAATACTAAAATAACCTCTGAAATACTGAATCAATTTGAGATAACTTGATTAGGTTCAGACATCAAAATCTGACCCAGTGCTTTAACTCGTTTAACTCAATGTTGTTCCTGAATACACCAACAGGTGGCAACCAAAGACCCCAAAATCAACCACAAGAGATTTAGTACAGGCACATTCAGTGTGTGCTTTAAATTACAGGGCTGTTTCTCTCATCATGTACCTGCCCTCTTGATCCTCTTGCGCTCTTTGAGCTGATATGGCTTGTGGTCATGTGATAGTGCTACAGCATTCCCATCTTTGTCACACAACACGCCACGAGAGTCTCCAACATTGGCCACTGTGAGTTCTCGGTCCGACAGCAGCGCTACAAGACATGTCGTTCCTGCATGGGGGATGGAAAGTCAAAAATGAGAGGAAACAGCTGAGAAGGCCGTTGTGTGCCTAACAATCCTGAATCAAATCTGGCTGTGTGTTGGGAGTAACAGAAGCTCAGGGTTTGCCACATCATAACATAGCCTGTGATGATTCAAAAAACATGGCATTAAATTGTTGTTGTTTTTTTAAAATCAAACCATATTTGCAATTACTATTTGTGCCAAAGTCAATATATTACACAAAACAACTTTATGGTAGCTATTGAGAGCAAATAAGAGACATAAAGTTAGTGTTTGGTTAATGTGATCTTTAACCTTGGTGAGCAAGGGCTAAGATTGCATCCAGTGTTTTAGTAGATACCTCTCTAGGAATGAAAATGTGTAGAGAGCAGACAGCCACACTATAGTAAATACAGTGACTAATCCAAAGGGCTGAGAGTACGTGTACAGAAACCTATGGTAGAATATAGGAATGTTTGACCTTTCAAATGTGGTATATTCGTGGAAGAAAAGACATTAAATCAATGGTGCAACTTATAGAGTGGGACCACCGGCAGAGAAACCACTTGGAGAACATTGAGTTTCATGTCTATAGTAAAACAAGCACAACAAATACAGACTGATCAAAATGAGTCATATAGAAAGAGATTCACAAGTGAATTATTGGGTTTTCCATTGTATCTTAAATATACTGAATTTACACAATCCCAGAATGGCACCAAACAAATCAACAATGAAAAAACATAGACCAAAAGAAATGAAGGAAAACTGTTTGAGGTATCCAGTGCCACCAACTGATCAATCTGGACAGTAGCTCTGAATTTTATATCAACGCAAAGACTATCAATTACACTATTATCAATGTGCAGCGGCATGATGTTACAACACAGCACTCTCACTTTTCTCAGTCAGTATTACAAGTGGAGTGCACAGAGGGAGCCCATCACAGAGGTAAATGGCACTGCGCAGAGAGGATGTTATATTTGATAGCCGAGGAGCTGCGACACAGCGTGTCCTTTAAGAGGCAGAGAGCAAGAATGCCGATCGAAAAGGCACTTGAAGACAGTGCAAATGTTGAGTTTTAGATTAAAATGTATGACCAAAGATGTAAAGTGACATTTTTAAAGTATTTGTTTTTTGTTTGTACGCTTCATTTGTGTGGGTGGAATTTTAGGTTGTAATTTCACTATACATCTCTGCTGGTTATTTTCACTTTCCAAAAGAGAACTAATATGTTTGGGCTAACCTACCTGCTGAGATCCATAAAAAACGTTGTACAAGTGTTTGCTTGAAGAATTGATGCTGTTTTGAAGGCAAAGGGTGGTTACCCCAAATATTGATTTGATTAGATTTTTCTACTGTTCACTCACATTATATTTGGTAACTGATAAATCTAATCTATTAAAATAAAAACATTAAAAATAACTTACTCTACACATTTTGCCACACTGGCCCAAGACTTTTGCACAGTACTATATGTATTCACTTCCCACCACTCTCCTCTCCCTCCTGACCTGCTTCATCGTGGTTGGCAGAGAGCTTGTCCAGCATCTCACGATCCACAGTCAGGATGCGCTGCTCGAGGATGCTGGCGTAAGAGAGAGCGCTCTCTCTCTTCTCTCTCTCAAAGGACTGCAGCTGCTGCTTCAGGGTTTCTGGTAGGTGGGCCTTCACATAGTCTGCTGCAGCCTGGGAGAGGGAGGAGGTAATTATACTACAAGAATTTAAGACAACGTCTAAAATTAGTGCAGGTTCCATGGTAAGATGGTAACTTTCAGATTTTACTGTAGTTATATGATGTACAGCAAGTTTCTTATACAAATAACTTGCTGACTGTATTATACATAAACATTTAATCATAATTTAATAGGCATAAAACAGCATAGGATAAATATTATTGTAAAGATGTTATAGTTAGCCATAGTTGCCAGGTAATATGCTCCAGTGTACTCAAATTAATTATTTTTTTAGTTTCTTACAGCAGGTGCTCTGCGCTGAATTATTGAACAACCTCTTCATCCTCTAGCCCACTTTCCCTCCTCCTCCTGCCTTTGCTATTCTGCTTATTCCCTCATTTTCTGTGCCAAGATTTCCATTATGCTAATGCATTCGAATCAAATCTAAAATGGGAAAATGTTACACCATCTTAATGTCCCAATGATGCAGAGTACATATTCTATATTTCATGTGTTCATGTGTTAAGGGTCAGGCCACTTCCAACCATTGATCTACATGCGTCACTGTTTTGTTCTGATGCGCCAAAACAGTTCGACAGCACAAGTATGAGACGCCATGTGAATTCAGTTTGAATTTTATCTTAATTTTGACCCTTCAGCACTAAAACGTTCATGGTTAGGATCATTGCATTTTGGTTTTAATTAATACCAACTCAAATACAGCCAAAAACCTAGCAAAGACAAACATGTGTCTCAAGAGTTTATATTTAAACCTCTCTGCTACATTTGTACTTAAAATATTCATCTTTAGTTAATTGGAATTGGGAATAAAATACAAGGGGACGAGACCTGGACGTGAAATATTATAACAGATTCACTAAAGTAAACCATCCTGTCCTGCAGCCCCCCGCCCCCCTGTCTTCCACTTTCGCTGCACAAGTGTACTCATTCATTTATTTAATTGGAAAGAACGGCACTCAGTGAGGTTTTATCATGAAAAGAGCTTCAAGTATAAATTTCCATTTGTCGTAACCTGCTGAAAATGCCAGTGCACTTCATAAATGGCTCAAATATTTCACTGTCTGAGGATTTAATGACTGTAAAATATTGGACCAATTTTATTAAAATTTGATTAATGGATCTCTTATTGACACTGCCGCTTTGTTAAATCCCATTTGGCTCCAGAGTTAGCGTATGAATATAAATTCCATTTTATACAGCAAAGTAGTGTGAAAGCCTTTTTAAAAGTTCTTGCTTCAACAGCAAATAGTCTCAGTGAATCATGTTAAAAGAGCAGCAGCAGCTTGTGCTGACTTTTATAATTCTGGGCCATAACTCATTCTGGGCCTTACCGATAAAAAAAAATACAAGAACCCCCCTCCCTCCGAGAAAAAAAAAGAAAGAAAAGAAAACAGGGACCTGTTCCCTGCATATTTTCAGAGCCAGAGCGCACTGCAGTGGCAGAGAAAGCCTGTTCTATCTGCCCGTATTTGGTTTGGCGGCATTGCTGCATTTAATAATGGTGATGTGTGTGTGTGTGTTTGCTTTCACCAACCTGCATAAAAATGCACTAGCAAATAAATCACAAAGGATATCCACACATGTGGTGATTTTTCCTAACGTCATTAGCATCATCGAGTCCCAGAAGCTAAACACAGCCTTTACTAAAGAACCCTTAACATGAGACTTATCTTATATAACTACTATCTATATATTGTCAGTGCTTTGTTTTTAGACTGGAAACTGTAGTTATGGGAATGAGTATGATTCCATATCTCAGGAGGTGTGGTGTGATGCTAATGTCCCTATGTCCCTATGCTGTGCTTGATGTCACAGCAACCCATTCCTGTGACAGATAAAAGGATAGCAATAGAGAATAAGCAAAAGGAGGGGAACCAAACAAGCAAACACAAATAAACACACTTATGCACAGATACACACATTAGACTAAAATAAGGGAGGACAGGGTGGAAAGCTTGCAGGAGAGAGAGAGAGTGAAAGTGAGGGAGAAAGAGTGCAATGTCAGGAAAAACAGGAAGGATAAATATTTGTTCATGAAACAGAAATAGACAGAGGGATCAGATGGGTAAACAACCTACTACTCTCTATGACTGAACAAAATGCAGCAACTCCTGCAACTCATCTTTTTAAAAAGAGAACGGGCAGCTCCTCTAGTATTTTTGATGATACAAAATGTAGATGTACAGCATGTCATTCAAAGGGATGAATATTCTGGTGCAATTTTAGAACATATAGTTTAAGAGATGGAGCTCCCAACTGTGACACAAATGTAATTTAACCATGACATCATCTTTTAGTTACATATGAAACTTTGTATGCAGAGCTTGATAGGTGCTTTTTAAAAAACATAATAATTGAAATTCTTGGATTAATAGGCTACAATGATGACTTTGTGTTAAAATAATTGTCACCAAAGAGTTGCTTGCAATCTATATCTGTTCATGTGTTGCATTAGCGGAAAAATTTAACAATAAATGATGTGAAACAGGAAGTCTGGGCTCTAAATCAGAAACCTAGACAGAATCCTTGGGTGAAATGTTTCATACTGGAACCCCATGGCGGACAGTGGTGGTGATGGTGGTGTGACAGATGGCATCCAGGACACGTGGTCATGAGAAACCACTGACCCTTAACACAGGGAGTGGAAGAAAGACAGACAAAACCCTAAACACACACACACACACACACACACTCACAAGCTCTTTGTGATGAATCCCAAGTTAACTCCCTAATTGGCCGTGGAAAGGAGGAGGTTGTATCCACAAAAGAATACAATGATGCAGGGGGTGGGTGTCCTATTGTTATTTTGTTTATTTTTTTCCAATATAAATTTATCTCTACCTTTTAAATAATATATAAAAAATATGATATGCCATATTATGTTAAGTCTAAATCTTCCTAAATGTCATGATGGGATTAAAATAGGTCTAAAAGCAGCATGCAATCTCCAGAGAACTTCCAGTCTGTCTCTGTACCTGCTCTCAATCCAAATGATGCTACCCTGTGTGCAGCAGGAGGTCTGTGGGATGATATGATTGACCCTAAAGCTGGAAAAATAATAGGCTCACGGAGCTTCTCACTCATTAGAGCATACATGTACACGGCGTATGTGTGTTGCTGTGAGTCCTTCTGCAGAAGACTTAAATAAAATTCACAGAAAGACAAGTGTTTGTGCCTGAGCTGTTTATCTGAAAACTCGAATTGCCACCACAGGCTCCAAACGTATTGTGATAAAACTGCACCCTCTCCCTCTCAGCCTACCTCTCCACCGTGGCCGTCAAATATCCCGAATATGGACGGGTGGGTCTTGTTGGAGATGTCGGTGAGCACCTCGAAGCGGTCCTCCATGTGATCTCGCCTCCCCTGTATGGAGTACACGGCGACGTTGTTATTCTTGAACTCCCAGGTTTTGGAGAACTCTGCGTCCAGGACACTGAGGCCTCCCAGCCGGTCATTCTGCATCATCTCAGCCACTTTCCCCTTCACCATCTTCACGGCGTCCCGGCTGGACTTGACGATGGTTTTCACCTCGTCCGTGTGAAAGAAATAGCTCCACAGCGCCAGACTGATGCACAACAGAAACAATGTCTCAGGCCTGAGGAGAAAATAGCGCATGATCCGACCCAGAAGAGACAAGAGCGTCATTGTGTCTCCTATCATCACACGCAACCAAGCTGCAGTCTATCTCTCTCCCCTTTTCACTCCATCCGCTCAGCGGAACTATAAAGAGATCGATTCACTACCACAATTTCTGGCAACGCCTGAGTTTCAACATTTAAAGTGCTCCTGGGGGGCCTGTATTTTCTACTCCGACCGCATTACCGCACTGTGCACGGCTGCCTGCCAGACACCGGCCCGAGAGACGCAGGACAAAAGCGTACAGGCCACCCTCATTGACTCGGCCCGATGCCTTGGTCCTATCCTCGGCTCCCGGAACAGCTGCAAGGGGATTCTCCGAGTTTAGCCGATCTCCCGCAGCCCATTGTTGGATGACGGATTTTTTGGGTTAGACCCACACCGGAGAGAGACATGGGAGTCACCGGAGAAGGGCGAGGGTCGACGATGTGACTCGGAGGTGTCCTCCTTTGCTGCCGCTGACCCCGTTTTTATTTAGGCCTATGTGTCTATTCAGTCTTCGCATAAACATACAATTTTTCACACACACACGCCTCCATTCTTGAGCTGTGTCAAACCACCATGGGAGAGTAAGAATGAGACCGGAAACATTAGAAGGAGCTGTAGGCCAAAGCTCGTGCTAAATGGATGTTTTTAAAGCAAAGGCTTTATTTTGAAAGTCTTTAGCGGAAGTGTGTTTGATAGTTGCCAACTTGACATGGGCTCGTCCTTTGAATGTAGCCGGCGCTGACAAGAGTGCGCAGCTGCGAGTTCACAGCAACTGACAAGCAAAACACTGGAACCAATGACGGTGGCTGCGGAATCAAATGATGATGTCATCGAGGAGGCCTATAATTTGACATAGGCTATCATACTCGTATCATAGGCTGCAGATTCAGTCCATAATATCTCCAATTCATCATGGAACGGTTTATAGCCCTGCTGACTTTTTATGAGCCAATGGACATTAATAAATATAACAGACTAGAAACTAGGCGTAGAATAGAACAGAATACACCCACATACAAAGTACAAATAAATACAATACCTAGGCAGCAACATTTACATAAAAAATGGTAGGCTGTTGCACAATAATAACTAATTCTATATTATAGCAAAACATATGAGCTCAATACCTGATGTGAGATTATAATAGGCATTATGTTCAGATGGTATTTACTGCATTGATCAAACACTGCCTCTTCGTGGCTCTCTGCAGTAATACACCTCTGGCTGCGATATTTACAGTAACCAGGTGTTCAGTTCATCTTTATTTATTCAAGAAGTCTCATTGAGATTAACATCGATTTTACAAGGGAGGCCTGAGAACAAATTACATAAATGCAACATCACAACATGCATGCTGTCACACAAAGCAGTGATCACACATATCATGGTTGTTCCCTTTGAACTAAGGATGTTAATTGATTCTGCTACTTAGATAACAAGACCTTATAAATGAACACACAGGTATGCTGCTGCCTTTTGTATGTCATTGATCAATTGACTTGGCCGAGCATGGTGGCTTGGGTGAAAAATTGAATGGCAGTAAGGTTGAGGGACATCAGGGACAGCAGCATGAGCATACAGGATAGGCTACCTCCACAGTTCAGTGTAAATAGTAGTCTTCCTACAAAAACAAGCTCTGTTGTGGTATAATTAGATTTGCAGCGTGGTGATATAGAAGCATTTTGTAGGCTAATCTGCTTAAATGTATGGATTGACATTAGAACACCAATGCATCGCACTCTTCTTTACATTTGTTGGGAGTAAAAGTTAGAGTGCGGTGTGAGATATTAATCAAAAGCCTCAAAGCCTGAAATTGTATTTACAGTATTTCTCAATTGCTTTGGTGCATTTCTCGAATCATCCTTTACATTTGCAAAACACTAAGGGCATTTCTCAAAACAGGTAGTACAAACAGCACAACACAGTGGATTACCTGCAAAAGCCCATAACTTGCTCAAAATCCTTAGTCTATCTCTCAAAAGCAAATCTTTATGTCATTGAACTTGACAGTGCCATCAGAACGACAAGTCCTTGTGTCTTGTTTATGAACAAGCAAGTCAAAATGTTTAGCCATCTTGTCAATATAACAGTGTACTCTGTAAGTATTTTCTGATGTACATTTTAGCTAAGATTGTGATGATAATGATTGAAAATGCACAAGGCTGCACTTTTTTTTGTATGGCATATATCACTTTCACCTGTACAAAGTTATACATTGCAGGAGAGAGGACAGGAATCACAGCTATGCTTTTACTGTTCGTACTGTAATTTGTTGACAGAGCATGTCATTGTAAGAAGAAAAGAAAGAGACAGGACTGTTGCATGGGATACACCCCTTTGGCTGACGTTCCGGTCTGTTGTATCACAGATTCTCTTCCACATCACAACAGATATCTTCATCAATTCAGGACACATTTACAAAAAAATTATAATAGACATGTATAGAATGTCTATCTATATATACATTCATATATATATATACGGAAGCCCTAATCAAATATTTTTTTACTCATCATTTTCTCGTGATTTCGAGATAACCATAATGGTAATTATAGTGTTGTTTGTTGTATTATTGGTTCGCTCACTTGGTAGAGCATAGTAATTATAGGTTTATGGTTGTGTGTTCAATTCTCGCTGAGGGCTAAATTTTTCTTTTTTATATTTTTCATAATCCTCTTCAACAAAGTTCTTATGAAAAGACTGTTTCACATGCTCACATTACTGTAAAGCATGCGCTGGACTCTGTGCATTCTTGGTCCACATCCATCAACCTATGGACTTTTCATTTCCCCATCATTCCCAGGCAGAGGAAATTGCTTCTCATTCAGGGGAATCCATGTAACGTTACACATTTCCTGACCACTTTCGGAACCTTTGAAGTAGCTGTAGGGAAATGTGTTATTGGATTCCCCTCAATCTCTTCATAACAAATTTGCTGAAGAGGATAATACACACAAAAGAAGAAAAAGAAAGTCAACAAGAACAGGAATCAAACTAATCAAACTGAGCCCGGTGCTATACCAACTGAGCTAACCAGTGACACTGGTAATTGCTTTGAAATTATCCTAAAGAAATGTACCTGCCAGCTCCTGTATTCAGCTATGGTTTGTTATCTCGTGATCACGAAAAAATTAATTATCCGTTCTCAGGGGAAAACAACTATCGCTATATATATATATATATATATATATATATATACATATATTACTTCTCACTTTGTATTGTTACTGTTTACTGGTATTGAGTATTGGTATGAGTGTTGCTATTGTGATGTTGTGGTCTATTCTTACTTTGTTTATGGTCCTTAAGAAACAACATTTCGTTTAGCTAGAGTATATACTTGTAGGCAAAGGATATGAATAAAGTATTTTAACTTTTTGCATGTAGTGACTAATGCAATGAACTTATGCCTAGATGTTTTGGGGGGTAAGATTATTCAACAGACACTGGTATAATTCATTGTGATCAGCAGGACATAAGCAATTGATAATGTAGGAAACAGCAGACAATTGTACATAATCATTTGCATCAGTGTGTCAAGTCATTTTTAATTTGTTCAAAACAATGAGAAATTGCTTTTATGATGTGCACAAGTGACAAGATGATGTGGAGGTTGAACAATTAGTTTTGAGAACTTCAATTCTGATCTGAGAAATGCACCAAAGCGACTGAGAAAAACTATAATATAAGGCAGTAACAAACAGGAAAGTCTTCAGCCTTGATTTAAAAGAACTGAGAGTTGCAGCTGTCTTCTGTGAGTTTGTTCCAAATATGTGGTGCATAAAACCTGAACTCTGCTTCTCCATATTTAGTTTTAGACTCTGGGGACAATCAGCAGACCTGTCCCAGACAACCTGAGAGGTCTGGATGGCTCAAAATCAAATGTAGAAATGCATTTTGCAATGCACTTATTCAGCCCATGTGTGGGATTATAGTCCATGGTGAAATGGTTATGTAAATTTGTGTGTCGTCTGCATAATTATGGTAACATATTTAGTTGTTTTCCATAATCTCAGCCAGTAAATGTTGAACAAAACAGGCCCCTAGAATGGGGTCCTGGGCAACTTCACAGGTCATTTTTGTCATCTTAGATGTGTAATTGCCTACAGACACAAAGTAGTCTCTGTCGTTTAAGGAGGATTCAAACCAGTTTAGTACTGTGCCAGAAAGTCCCACCCAATCCAGTCAGTCAAGTAATATGTTGTGGTTAACTTTGTCGAATACAGCAGTGAGATCCAATAATACCAAGACTGGTGTTGAGCACTCCAGTGCTAGGGCTGTGTTCTCACTGTGGAATCAACATCAAAGAGAACCTGACATGGTCATCTTACATCTCCACACTGGTGAATAAAGTTTAAAAACTGACTGTATATCTTAAGGAAGCTTAAGAAGTTCCCAAATTCCTGTGCTAAGCAGTTTTTACTGAGCAGCAATAGAAAGCATCCTGACTGGAAACATCACTAACTGGCATGGGGTGTGCACGACCCAGGACCTGAGGGCTCTGCAGCGAGTGATTAAAATTGCTCAGAATATCATTGGTACTCATCTCCTGATCATCATCAGTGATATCGGGGAGGTGCCTGTGCAGACCCCAAAGGATACTGAAGGACAGTATCCACCCCAGCCACAGTCTGTTCACACTGCTGCGTTCTGGGAGGAGGTATAGGAGTTTCTGCTGCCGCACCACTAGACTGCAGAGCAGCTTTCCCCTCAAACTATCAGACTCTTAAACTCTAATCCTCAACACTGCTCCACTGATTGTTGTTTATTTCTGTTTACCATTTTATAATAGCTTCTATATTACTGTATATTGTCTGCTATGTAGCAGAAGGGAGTTATACTTGTAATGTGACAAATAAATCTACCTTCCACCTTGTATTTTACTTTAAAACGAGAGGTTTGATAGGGGCTTATAATTGTTCATTAGTAAAACTTTTCTTTCTTTGATGAAGAATTACAATATGTAGAAAATCTCAGGCTGTTTCTTAAGTGATTAAACTTACATTATTTAGGGTTTTCTTCTTGCATTTTCTTGTTTACTGCATAACCTGCATCAAACTACACTCAGTTTGTCATCTTAAGCTAGACAACTGTAAATGGACATAGTGACCTTCTCGGCCCTTTTGCTGTGTCCACCATGCATCCTGCTCTTTTGAGTTGTTCATCTATTCTTTTGCCACATCCAGTATCATATGGCTCTGCATTAGAATTTGTGTGGAACTTTAGCAATGAGGAATCATTCAGAGTTAATGTCAGAGGCTGAAACTACATCTAACACATTCTGAGACATTTAAAGCTTGGTTCACTGGGGCCAGGTTTCCATGAGATTTACTGGGTGTACTGGGCTCTTTGGGTTGGCTAGATCAAGGAACAGTTGGATCAATGTTGCCACGTCGTCTGTTTAGGGACATTGATCCTTCTCCCACTGGGTGTACGGAGATCCATTTTCTGCTTTGAGGTATCGCCAAATGGTGTGGTCACCACGAGGTGTTGCACTCGGTAACTCTCACACGAGATGTTATTCATTAAAAACAATGCGTTGAGCTTGAGTATATACTGCATGTGCATGA